GGCTATATATATTAGTAAGCAGTTAAACCTTATAGTATTTTATATCCTTAACCTTAATACTAATTATATTAAATTAGCCTAATAGCTAGGTATTTATAAATTAATATAGCATTTTAATAATATAAATGCATATAGTTTAGTAATATAATACTACCTAAAGCTATAAGTCTTTAACTTTTATATTACCTTTTATAACTTATTTACCTTCTGCCTTATTTAGTTACTAATACCTTTATACTTTATACTAATATATTATATTAAGCGTTAATAATATTATAGCTTTATATATATTTAAATTATTATAACTAGAAGTAATTAATAAATTAATATTATATTTAATAAATGCTAATAAAGTAAGTTATATAATACATTTAGCCTATTTATTATCTCTATCTTAACTATTATATGCCCTTAACCTAAAAGACCTTAATTTACTATAACTATATTACTATACTATCTTAGCTAGCTAATTTATAATATACTAACCTATTTATTAATATGCTATTTAATATAACTAGAGTTACTTATAAGGGATTAATTAAAATAGTTTAAAGTATCTAGCTTTATTATAAAAAATAGTAAAATATTAGGTAGCTTAATAAGTAAAATTAAATTAACTAAATCTAAATATATATATTAAGTAGGATTAAAGCTTTTTTTATATAAGTTATATCTAGTACTTTATATATAGTTTAAGTAAATAAATAAATATATACCTTAATATATATTAATCTAAATATATATACTTTATAATATAGAATTCTAGCACTAGTTATAACAGCCTAATACCTCCTAGTATCTCTAGCACTTTAATAGCATTATGCTAGCACCTTTTAGCACCTGCTAAAATTATAGTATTATACTAGCACTATACTAGTACCTTTTAGCACTATGCTAGCATTATGCTAGCACCTGTAGCACTATGCTAGCACTTATAGCACTATGCTAAAATTTAGCACTGTTTTAAAAAATGTTTTAGTGCTGGCAGGGTTTTAAATCTTTAGCATAGTGCCAGGAGGTGCCACACTAAAATCCCCCACCTACAATTTCTACTATGGAGTGGACGTCGGCGCCCTACCAGCCCCCCGTAGCCTCAGCTGGCCGGTGCCATCCGGGTACGTGGCGGTACATGTGCCTTTGGAAGGGGAGTGAAAGCTCCAGCTGCCAGAAGAGCAATCGCCAGAGCTTCTCTGCTGAGGTTGCCATCATCTGGACAGAGAGCGCAACAAGGGCATTCCCTGCAAGTGTTAGTATGTATTGGATACGAGATGAGATGGCGATGCTTCTTTGGAATGTTTGTCAAGGAGAAGAGACTCCAGGCCAAGTCCTTGTACAGGGCATCTACAGGATGGCTCCATTGCTCCTATCTGGGGGCCACTTTGTTCGATCGTCAACAGATCCAACACTGACTCGAGCGTCTGAATGTCTCTACCGTAATAGTACTGTACAGCTCTGGAGCCAACTGCGTAAAGTAGGCTGGACGAGGAAAAACTGATCTCCATGGGCATTTGAGTGTGATCCATTGATCCTTGTCTCGGATCGTCACCTCTCTTCCGGTGGACGCAGCTGTCAGTCAACTTGAAGTGTCATCAATGCCCTAGAAGCGCCCTACGAGCCAAAAGCTGGGGCATCTTAGGGCTCTCGTCAGTGGGGCACGGTGAATCAGGTCCACTGGACAGAAGCTACAGTACCTCTGGTACCTGTAGGTACCGCTGCTCTCGGCTAAGCTGCCAGCAAAAAAAAGAGCCCTTGAGCGACCTGGAGCTCCATCGTCGATCCACGCGTTGACATCCGATGTGTCCAGCTTTTCGGCGGCCATCAATTCATCGACTTGCCTCGTTTCCTCTTCTTTCAGGGACATCCCGTCTGTGGCGTTGCTGGACAAATGACAAAGCTTGGCATGTCGGCTCCATTCCCTATTCTTTCACTTCGGCCAGGGCGATGCCGGCGATGGCTGGCCCCAGTGGACGGATGGCTTGATGGCAGTTTGCGCCCCCAAGTTTGCACATCCAGTACGAGAGCCGCACGGAAAGACGAGATGCTTGTGGAAACTAATATCTGGTGTCCTGCTTGTGCAAAGTACTAGGATCCATGTTAGCAACCGCTCCACCCGTCGGCCGACGTTCGCAAATGCGTACGAGTACCTACATCCGCCCATCCCATGACGATGCAGCTTCCACTCAAATCGGCCCCCTGGATCGTACAATCTCTGTGGAAAGTGTCCCTGTGATGCTAATGGGACACCACTTCCGCATGCTTGTCTGACATGACAACCAACTACTACCGGTGATGCCGTGGCTTTCACGTCCAAATGTGTTTGTAGGGTCATCGGACAACAGATAGGACGACGCGGCCGATCAAGACTTTCGCTTCCATGGTGAAGTTGGAGCCCGTTCCGAGGGGCAATCAGCAGCGATGTGCCGCCGGATATGATCAAGGCAGGCGAAAGTCTCCGTCTACATGTCCCATCCGGTGTCGTGGTTCCTAACGACATACCGAAACTGGAGCAAGTTTCTTTGTCCTGTCTTTCCGTGTTCAGGTGAGGCTAGCCTCACAGACCACTCTGGTTATACAGTCATTACCCCCAAGAGACAGCTTTGGTTATGGGTGACTAGCTCAAAGCCGTGGGCCAATCCAGACACCATGAAAGGTCATGCCGTATCGAGCCAACGACAATTCTGTCGACTGCGAGCCTCCGTACTGGAAACCTGAGTTCCCAACGGCCACGAAGCAGTCAAGCATTTTCTACCAGCACGAAAATTCTGATACTACAGACTGCTGCTACTGGCCCCCTTTGCCCTTGGCCAGAGCCTTACAACCGCACCGAGCAACTTTGTTCGCAGACCACCGTGTTGTTTCTCCAACACCACGTGCACAGTCTAGGCCTGGAACACCATGCCGTTGATTCTCACCCGTATTTGCCAGATACCTACGAAGCACATACGCAGCGCCAGGTGCAGAAGGGGCTCATCAGCTATCCGGTACGTTGTGCCTCGTGCTAGCTCGCGGAGGGCTGTCCTCTTAGACCCCGGCTATAGGAGCCGTCACATCTCGCTAAATCGGTACCGAGATTCATCTTGAGCCATTGTGAACCTATACATGCTGCCATCACCTATGTGAACACGCCACCCTGCAGCAGGGGGGCACGCCACGATCACAATTCTTTCCGAGCTGGCCTTGCGATCGAGCTGAGCATCAGATGCCAGCTGTGGGTCGAGCTCGCGGCTGTTCCTTTCCAGCAGAGGCTCCTACGCTTATCGCCTGTCAACATCTGTCAGTGCATAGAACAGCCCGGTCCTATAGGGAAAAGGAAATAGCGTGCTGTTGACGTACGCCAGCAGGTGATGCAAGTTGGCTCCAGGCTACCGCTGGATGGTGGTTGCTGTCACGACAAATATGTTCGCAGATCACGCCAGGGATTTCCGTCCCATAGGAACTGAGGCCACCTCGGTGACGGCAGATGGACGCTTCTGTTGTCCTTTCGGAGACCGAATTGGCTAGGGAGCTTTAACGCAAAAGGCAAATCATATCCAATTGTGTAACAGCACACATGTCGGTCTTGACCGTGATTGCTACGATTGGCAGCTCACCAGCAGGAAGCGAATCTCCCCGTTTTGGTTGCGGTATATCTTTATTCACGGTCAAGACATGCGTAGAGAGAGGCCACTCCTAGGAGAATACTATTAGCAAACAGACTGGCCAACAAGCAGTGTCTAGCATGTTGGCATCACAGACAACAATGAAGCTCACGTTCCGGTGGAAAGCAAGGGGTCCTCCTTGCCAGTGCTAACAGACATGTTGCTTGTCGGAGGGACCGAAAACCAGGCTTTTGTGCTTTTCTTGGCTCAAAAGCGATGATACTGCGGAGACTTGTTCAAGGCAATCACCTCGTCACGCGAAGTTTAGGACCCTTGTGGCTTTCGGCTGGGGCACTGTCCAGCGTCGAGGTGAAGTCGATCATCAACTACAACACCAGAGACAACACCAGACATCTGCATGGTGTGCCTACAGATTGTACACATGGCGGTGGCTCTCGACAAATCAAGACGCTTTGTTTGGCGCGCGTGGCGGCCAAAGACAATGAGAAGGCTGTCTATGAGCTTTTGCGGCCGATTGACTGCTCTGTGGCGGAATTTGTCATTCCGCAGATGGGCGCTGATTCTGCCAGATGAGTCGCCCCATGTTGTGTCACTGAGGCTGAGATAGTTGACGGTGGCATATGCAAGACGATTGTACCAGGCTGCGATGGCCGGGGTGTGTCGTTCACGTCAATCTCATATGAGCGCCGCATCAATTGGTGGAGGCATGGCTTCCGACCTTTATTGGATAACTACGAGCGTCTCCTCTCATCCCCCCTGTCGAGTCCGCCTCTGTCGCCGTCTCGTTGATCAATTCACACCTTCTTGACCCTGATTCCTGGTTTAGGTAGTGGCGAGGCTTTGACCCATATGCCGGTGCCTGGAGGCTGGATCATGTGCTACCCCAGGTTTGTGATGGGTTTCATTGACCAGACCATCGGGTCTCAGATTGTGATGTGCTCATATCCGATGCTCTTTGCAGCACGAGAAGCGCTGTGGCGCCTCGAGGTCAAATCCCCGCTTCCATGGGTCGAGACAGAGGTGTCATCAGCTGATGCATCTTATCGCTGTTGGTTTTGTCGCCAATGGACGAGTCGAGTTGTGCCAGTACTGACTCAATGGGTAACACGACGATATGGAATGGTTGATGCGGCATGTTGTTGCTGATCTAGGTGCTGTTGAAGTATTGGGCCAGGCGATGGGTGATGTGCTCCTTTGCAAGCAACATGAAGCAATAGAATCCACTCTTACCTTGACAAACTGGGTATATTTGATATTACTTATTTGGTATATGTCTACTTCTAGTATTGCCATGTCTACCTATGTATAGAATTCAAGATATATGGCCATATTCCTTGGCACCGGATACCCAAACATCAACGGGGATGGGAAACAAGGAACGCACCGCTTTACATGACACATCTACAACTCGTCTGAAAACAAGCCCTCCTCGGCCTCTCCGTCCACAAACCAATCCCTGACCAACGCAGTACCGGCAACAACCTTGTCCCACAGTTCCGGCACGCAGCTCTGAGGAGACAAGATGTAGCATCTGGGCGCAGGCGCCTCGGGCGGCTCGTGTCTGACGTGCCAAGTGTCGCTGGGTCCCTCCGTCGACAGATCGTCCCTGACCGGCTGCAGCCCCGTCGGGATGTCGCGATTGAACGTGGCGCGCATGAAGATGTCGTAGGCAGCCTCCGGCTGATACGACGGGACCATGTGGCCTGCCTGGAACACCCTCGAGAAGCTATAGTTGCCGTGCTGCCGCGTCAAGCCGGCGACGCCCCTGTCCGTGAGCAGCGGCGCGTAGCCCGCGCGGGCAAAGTCCGCGGCGCGCGAATAGGGGACTACCAGCGAGGCCCTTTCGCCGCCGATCCAGTTGCAGGCGTAGTCGCGGTCGCCATACATCATGTGGACCTTGACGCCGTGGTCCAGCAGGTAGCCCACGGCGTCGACGAAGCCGCCGTGGAACTCGTCGTAGGAGCTGGCAAAGTTGCTGCTCACGGCGGCCGAGGTGGCAGTGAAGTTGACGGGCGAGCCGAGGGCGGCGAGGACGCTCTCCTCGGTCAGGTAGCCGTACGCGTGGCTCGGCGGGAAGGGATCCCGGATAGGGTGGCTGATGTCGAACCAGCCGCTGTTGAGGGTGAAGTACGTGCTGACGGCCGGCGACATGCACCAGCTCTCCATGTCGCACAGGTCAACAAAGTTGACCCTCTGCGCGTTGATGGTGGCGACGTCGAAGAGGCTGAGACTCTGTTGGCATCGCTTGATCTGGTCTCTGCAGCCGTTGGGCTTTGTGAAGTTGTGCTTTAGCTCCTCATAGATGGACTGGTTAAAGACTTGAATGCCGTACGTCTAACGGTTGATATTCATTTAGTAACCAGAGTCAGTGCAGCAAGGTGATCCAGATATGCTCCGAAAGGTGCCCATAGACTTACATTGTTGTACGGAAAGTCAATGTACGCCTCCTCCTGGATGACAGAGTCAAGCCAACCATTAACAATGCCGAGGGTATCCAGGTGGAGATAGTGGGCGTGCTCATCCTCGATTGTGCCGTTGGCAATCTTCTCGTTCTGCTCTTGGAAGAATCGCATGAACCCTGGGCCGTAGTGGCCCCCATAGCTCTCGGCCCAGATGCTGATGCGGTCGTCGCTAGGCTTGTAGTGAGGAAACTCAGAGAACCAGGCCTGGGCAAAGTGCCACAAGGCGTGAGCGGCCTGGGCGGTGCTGTTGGTCGTGTGCGTCGGCTTCTGGCTGCTAAAGGTGCCGACCATAGAGGTCAGGTTGAGCTCGGGCAGCTGGGCAGAGAAGTCGGCGGGGTTGAGGATGAAGCCGTCGTGAGAGAGGTTGGCCGTGCAGTTGGTGGGCGTGTCGTAGGAAAAGCCCACCTGGTTGGGCTCGTCAATGTACAGCATGTTGACCTCGTTGTTCCAGCTCCACGGATTCAGCACCGTCGACTTGGAATCTTCATTCACGAAGCACGGGCCGTTTTCCATCAGCAGGCCCAGCATGGATGAGGACCCGGGCCCGCCATTGAGCCAGATGGCGAGGGGCGCGGTGGAAGGGTTCTCGCGGGCTTCAAAGAACCAAAAGAACCTGAGCATGGGCGATGAGATAAGACAAGGTGACTCTGGCTTCAAGTGACAGAGGAGGATCGATTCGTAGACCTACGTGTTGACGGGATAGTTCTGGGGCTCGCCGTCCGCATCTTCGAGCAGCCGCGGAGGGAGATGGACGTGGCCGGCATACGACTTGACGCCTGGGGTGGTCTCGCAAATGCCCGGCTGATTCACTCACTTCAGTCAGCCAACGAGTACCGGATTGTAGATAGATTTGAGTTCAGTACGCACCTCTTTAAAGGATATGGTGACATTCTCGTGAAACTTGGACCTGAGCACTGTGACGCCCTCTGGCTTTGGCGGGAACTGCGCCAGCGCCACGCTCGACAGGCCGCCCAGCAGCACCGCAGCCGACAACATGCTGCCGCTTATCGGTCGTTGTCAATCGCCGCGCCTCGCAACAATCGATGACTGTCAGCACTCAGAAATGAAGCAAGACGCGATGCTCTGCCTCAGTTGCGGGGGCGGGTAGAGCGCGTGGTTGGTTGGGTCCAACAGGAGGGAGGCTGAAGTAGGTACGTGTGTGTGTGTGTTGGATCCAAGTTTGGATGCTCTGTACATAAGCCGGAGAGCAAAAGCCCCGTTTAGCCGCTGGCATCACGCCTTGGAGAAAAAGCAGTACATAATGAGGAAGACTATATGAAGCGAGTAAATGTACTCAACTTGTTATAAGTAAAAATATACATTTAGTCTAGATATACTACCATGGGCAAGTGAAGCAGAACCCACTTCCGCCGCCCAGATCAGTGAGATTGCAATGATAGGCGTTCTGAAGGAGATGTAGATTGGCTTACTACATGGTCCTAGGCCGCTGAATAGGTACATGTAGCCAAGCGAGGGTGCTGGCTAACCACTCCCTTTGTCTATTTGCACTGACAGCAGAACGATTCCTTTGACAAAAGACAGACAAAAGGCTCTCAAAAGAATGCTCTCAGGGGCGACCTTTGTCTATACCAATCGCGTCCCCCAACGGCTGTGACCTAGTATTGACAATGTGCTGTAACCCATCTGCAGGTCCGCATAAGATCCGAGGCAAGGAGACAAGGGAGTGGTTACTGGGCCAAGCTCACCGCGTGGACGCAGGGAGGGTTGGGAGACTGGCCCTGAGAAGAAGCAAGGGGGCAATTGTCCTGCAGTGTAAGATTAAAGCACGAGACATTGAACCCTATTGACTCATCCAAGGCGACTCTACACGACTAATATCTTGACCTTGGCCACGGTCAACAGAGACTGGCCTGCGGGCTATGTATGTGGGTGTGGAGAGCACAAAGCATGAAGGCATTATACATGTATCCATTAATGCAGTATGGTAAAGGGTGTATATCGAAGTGAAGCCATTTGATCCCTCCCTCCCTCCAGACTCCTCATCTTCCCGACTCCCGGTCATCTATCCGTCGTTTGACCCAAAAAGCCAGCACATTATTTATTGACACATTTACTTAACAAGGAATTAGGAAGCTCAATGTACAAAGCTTTTCCAGCAATTTGAACCGGCGTTCGATTCGACCAGGAATAGGACTGGTGAGCTCTTTTAGATGGCCGGGATGGGGTCGGTGCAGAGAAGAGCCACGCCGGCCTGGATAATGACGGAGTCATTAGATGACCGCGACTTGTAAAGGGGGTGTTTAGAAGGGAGACTTACGACGGGGACGGCGCAGCACCTGGGCTTGCGGCCGATGGAGGCACAGACGCTGCCAAAGGACTTGCAGCTGGAGGGCTTTGCGGGAGCTGTTCGAATTTCCGGTGAGCCAAGTTGTCTTGATAGGTAGGGCACTCGAGGGTGGGCATGGTGGTACTACTCACGAACAACGCAGTCAACGTCGGCAACGCCGAGGACGTCGAGGTCACAGCACAGCGGGTTGGTGTAGAGCAGGCCCTCGGGGCAGAAGGCGTTGGCACGGCGGATGATGCCGTTGACGTCGGAGGAGGGAGCCGCAAGGGCGGTGGTGAAGAGGAGGGCGGCGACGGCGAGGAACTGCATTTTGGCGGTGATGATGTTGTAACGAAGAGTTACTTTTCTGGATTATAAAACGAGTGGATTTGAAGTGAGAGAAGAAGGAGAATATGAAGGAGTGTGTTGCAAGTGAGTGAGTGGATGAGGAGAATGGAACAGGACGGGAGCAGAAGGGGGGGAGGATGGACATGCTATTTATCTCTGTCTGAGGATATGCGCAGGGAAGCTGGTCGATGGGTATTACTGTCGAGGAAATTGGCTGTGTATCTCGAGATGCGAGGCCATGGAGTCGTTGTCCTCTCCCTGCATGAAAGGGGGCGGGTTGAGAAGGCAATAGTCTGGAGCTACGTCTGCCGCTTGTTCTCCCTCTGCTGAAAACCATGATAGTATAAGATTTAATTTTGGAATAATAAAACAAGGGAAGAAGAGAGAAAACAAGGCTTAACGAGCTGTTATTGTCTTGAATTCATTTGGGATGGCTATCCGGCCGTTCGGAGAGACAATGGGGGTGAAAATTCGGTGAGTTGGGTGGTTGAGGGAGCGAGTTATTTTGGCGGTGGCCATTCTTTGGTGGCGAGGCTGGGCTACGAGATTATTGTGCGAGCTGTTTACTGGTCCTCGCATCGTCTATTGCTACGGAGCATAATTGTTCAAGATACCAAATCAACGATTGTTTGATTGATAAGATGGTGAGAATGCTCTGAATAGAGAGAGGCTGAAGAGGACGGGAAATGCTGGAGTTCGGGATGCCTCGCTCTTGGAAATTGACTTGTGCCACAAGGCCCTGCATGTCGCACTTTTTTTTCCTCTCTCTTCTCGCCGGGACTGCTTCCGGTGAGAGAGACGGAATAAGCTCTGTTGATTGATGCAGGGTTTAATTTGACTGTCAGGCTTGTTTTTGTTCCTGTCGGGTTCGTATAAGTGAGCCGGGGAGGATCTGGCGAGAGATACCGTATGGTGCTTTGCTCTTGCAGTGGAGGCTGCAAAAGAGATGGACCTTGTCAGGCAGATGATACCAGGCTCATGGATCGGGTTACGTACAAGTGAGATCGATGGCATATGAGGTGTTGGTTGCATTCAAGATGCGCGTCGGAGATTATTTGCTGATAGGCACCAGGTTCTGACTCGGTGAATGTGAGACGACACGATGATGCTGGAAACGACCAGGTACTACCACAGGCCAATCGCATGGATGTCTGGCTGGTCACATCCGCCTTTGTTGTTCCTTTCTTGCTTCAATCAAGGCACTGCTGCCATCGAGACCGCTCACACATATGCAGGGGCTCTTTGAGACTGGGTGAGAGTCCAGACCTCAGCCGCACATGCAGGCCCCCTGTCTTGCAGCTCTGGCTTGACGCCGCTCCTGCAGGAGAGATGCGCCGCCAGCGTCCCTTGCTTGCGAGCAGAAAACCAAGGCACGTGAATTTGGGCATCTGGGGTCTTGAGTCTGAACCAGTCAGTGGTGCTCATCATTGTTGGCTGATCATCTTCCACGGTTTACCATCAGAACTGGGTCTTGTATCAATGTCAGACGGGACTGGTCGACTCTTGCTCGAACGGCATTCCATACCTACCAATACTTGCAAACAGTATCTTGAGCAGCTACTGTACATGTACGGCTTGCTTTCAGGCTCACTCGGTCAATCTGGGATCGGGATGAGGGCAGATGCTGGTGGTGGTTTGCCGCTGTTTATTGGCTGGAAGGCGTGCATCCGCGTCTCTTGGCGTGAGATTCGATCAGCGCCAATCTATGCAAGGTACGACATGATCAGTGACAACCTTAATAGGCTGTGCTATTGTAGTACCTATCGATTGACACGGCATACAGAGGTAGTAGTCTGTTGGTGTTATTCTTGGAGCTTCGCTTACAGAACATGCAACTTGAAGTGATTCTCAAAGGGGGAGAAGCACGAAAGGGGTACGTACATGTAACTGTTGCTCCATCACCGGCAGGAGCGGTGACGAACAGAAACACAACAAGGAAGGCACGTTGCTCTCCAGTACCTACCCAAGTAAGGTATTACTGTATCTTGCCTTCGTTTCGCATTTCCCTGTTCCTCAGGCATCAACTTCCATCTCCTCATCATCTCCATCTCCAACACCATCACCATCATCATCATCACAAGTTCAGCTCAGCTCCATCAATCTTGCAGTCCACACTTACTCCCCCCCCGTTCAGCCATCGCTTGCATTGCTATCTCATACTACATAGTACTAGACGCAATCCAGCTGCTCCTCACATGGACATCCCCTTTCCCACTGCTTCATCATCATCACTGCCACCGGGCACGACACCGCGCAAGTCCATCTACCATGAGGCGCCGTCTCTGATGCGCGAGATCTAGAGGCTCGCCATCCCCGAGTGCCGCCCCGGCGTGCAAATCTTCACCCTTGAGCCGCCACCGCCATGGTACCAAGACGATCCTCGACGCAGGCCGTACGCCCCGAGATGGCAGACGCTGCAGGCCCCGCGAGTTGCGCCCAGGGACGCTGCCTTTGGCTGGTACTTCCGGGCTGCTCACACCGTCGCCCCCTCGTGGGACGCCAACAACCCGTCGACATACCTCGTCGCCAGCGGCCTGTGGACCGCCTGCAGACAGTCACGCCAGGTGATGCAGGAGACGTACGAGACGGTGCTCTGGGACGAGTATCGGCGCTTGTTCCCGGACCACGTCAAGTTCTCGCCAGACACTGCGCGGGAAGAGCTCGAGCGCATGCCGGCGACGCTCCACGTCCGGGACCGGGGCAAAGACCGCTACTTCACCGTCTTTCCAAACCACGACCTGTTCTATTTCCAGTCGATGGACCTCGCCTATTGCCCGTGGACGTTTCCCACGCCTGTCGGCTTGCCCATCAAGCTGCGGAACATTGCGCTGCAGTTGAACCCGGCCTGGGCAGACGGGCTGTTTCCGACAGCGCGAACAGCGTGGGAGGAGGACGGGCGGCCCCGTGCCCTGCATTACTTTGTCCGGCTGGCAACCATGGTGCCGCCGGATGGCTTCATCTGGTTCATCGACTACCGGCTCCAGCGGCGGCCTTATGTGCCCACCCGCGCCGAGCAAGTCTGGGACGCGTCGCGGCACGCCTTTTACGGCAGCGACCGCCGCTACGTCGAGGTCATGGGCGCCGTGCCCCCCAACTTTGACCAGTGGCACGTACCGCACCAAACGCTGCTCCCCATGCTTGACCCTCCGCCAGTGTCGCCCTTTGGTCCCGGTCTTGGACAGAATTGGAGATGGGTCGAGGATTTGCGCCAAGGAGAGGGGTTGAAGCTCAACGGCGCCTTCTTCATCGAGCACATCCGGAAGCTTCTCAGGTATGCGTTCGAGAAGCAGCCTGAAGGCACCCGCATTCTCGACGGCACCGAGGGCAGCCGCTTCGGCGTGCTGGCATGTGAATTCTACTGAGCCATGGCTGTTGATCTTTGCTCAACACGGTTACCTTGCACATGATATGATGCTTCGGATCATTCCCTTTGAATTTTTTTTGGGAACAGATAGAACCCAAGTATACAACAGCAAAAGTTTGGGTTACAAATGGATGTTCTGGACCTTCATGAACTGAATCAGCTGATCATACGACTTCTGCCGTAGTTACAAATTTCTGTAATAACTGCGTTGCTCTACCAAAGCCTTGTGCGGAACCTCGTATATGCTGCTTACGCGCAAGTAGGATGGACGTGGAAGCCCCATGTCTCCGTACGGGTCATCAGCCAGGTGCAGCTGCATATGCGTGACAGGATCTTGCGGCATCGGTGCGATCGGCACGAAGAGTCTCTCATCTATGCCGGGGGAAACGGTTGTCGTAATCTGAATAGGGAGCTTTAAGTTAAGGTAGGTAGACTTATCTCCCTTAAAGGAGGGATTAGCGTAGGAAGAAGTTTTACAGTAGCGACGCGCCAGTTGTCGTTGTTAATGGGTGATTTCCGAATCACCACGACCATGTGGTTTCGGACGGCTTTGGGGACGTGACAATGCCTCTGGGTCCAGTCGTCCCATTTGTGATAGGGCTTGAAGCGGTATACTTTGCCATTAGGCGAGATTTGATCTCTCATTGTTCATGAATCAAAGAGTATCATAAAGCCTTGAGAATGGGAGGGGGGAAAGAGAGGTAGTCAGAAAGGATCATGATTGTAGTAGGGTAGCCAAAGCTGGAGGAAGAATTGCTCCAAGTTGACGGGAGGTCCGGACATCAAAAGGCCCCACCTGCTGTAAATGGAAGTTCATGAATGTGGGGCAGCTGAAGATAGTGTTTATACAATGCGTCATATGTAGTGAATTACTTGTGTAGTAAGCATACAACAAGGCAAGGTGCCAGAGTGGTTAATGGGTATGACTCGAAATCATATGGCTTCGGCCGCACAGGTTCGAATCCTGTTCTTGTCGTGTTTCTTTTTTTGTTTCTTTTTCCTCCGTCACTCACCACTGGTTATGATTTTGCTTTTTGCTGTTTGCTCATCTTTTTCATCTGCTCTTTTTGCCATTGCTCTCTTTACCTCCATAAGATCTCACACTCATCCGCCAAGTCATCTCTCTAACGGGAAAACTGAACACAGTGTCTCGCCTGCGACGGAACTGGCCGCAACATTCAATTGACATTCCCATACCCCAAGTCACGACTCTCGGGCATCCATCGTATACAGATCAAACAGCTGCAGCATCCTCGCTACGCTCCTATTCACCAGACCGTCCACCGAAGTCTCCCCTGTGTAAAACGCCGGCGCAGGGGGGAAACACGACGGCGCCCGCTCGCGTCACGCCGAGCATGTTGCGCAGGTGAATCTCGCTCAGGGGCGTCTCCCGCGTCACCAGCACCAGCCGGCGGCGCTCTTTGAGACACACATCGGCCGCTCGCGTAATGACGTTGTCGCATAGGCCGTTGTAGATGGCCGCCAGCGTCTTCATGCTGCACGGCACGACGATCATGCCGTCGACGCGGAACGAGCCGCTGGCGATGCGGGCTTCCATGTCGTCAATGTCATAGACGTGTTGTGCGTAGTTATGTAGCTTTGTAGAATCCCAGCCGATCACCTCGGAGTCGATTGTGTGCCTGGCCCATTTGCTCATGATGAGGTGCGTCTCGACGTTCAAGTGGCGGAGGGCCATGAGCACCCTGACGCCCAGAATGGCGCCGCTGGCGCCTGTCATGGCGACGATGATGCGTTTGCGGTGAGGCGGAGGTTTGATCGCGTTCTTTGGTGCTGGACGCGGCGGAGCCATGGTCATTCTCTAGTTCGATTGATATTTGTTCGTTGGGGGTTCTTCTCTTTGCAGATGAGAAGAGCGCTGGCTGTATCATGGCGCGGTGCCTTTGTACTTTGCGTGGCCTTATATCGACCTCCATAGCTGACATCTTAATGGTGATTCCAGTCATCGAGGCACATTATTGTCACCTGCCTCGCTCAAGTGAATCGTCGCAGCTGTGAATGAGCGGATGAGTGTAAGATTGCATGAGTAACTGATGAAAGGGTGAGTAAATGGAGAGCGCTTCATGAGTTGAGTTGAGTGAACTGTGCAGATGGCTGTATTCCTCCGAGGTGCCGAACCGCCGAGGTCGATACAACCAGCAACTTGAACCTCGGTCACTTTGAGAAATCAACAGTTGTAGATCGATACAATTGCATCTCTAGAGGCCGTGTCACTAATTGCTTTGATAATGATCCTTCAAAACTCGTCAATTGCCTCGTACGGCGCTGTATTGCCATCAGCCGCGTCCTGCAACAAGCCGAGCAGTCGCACTCACCTTTCATGATGGAGTCGAGGTACATCAACGGCGACAGTCCCGACATGTCCCAGGAATCCATGGAGCCATCTAAAAGCAGTCTAGGGCAAAGACTCAGCGTGAACCACTCAATTGCAGGACACAGGCAATGAAGACGTACCCGTCACCCAACAGCGCGGTAAAGTCATAACCCATGGCGCCCTCCGCCGGATCTACCACAAGGGCATCTTGAGCCCTTGGCAAGGCTTCATTCTGTAAGACCAAATTGTCTGCCTGCTGACGCCCAGGAGATGATGGTGGGCTGGCATCAAAGGCGGGAGCCTTCTGTAAGGCGGCTTGCAGAGCCACGAGGGCTCGCGTGTGGTTCATAGACAGCCAGTGGTTGGTACCGGTTGCGTCAACCATCATACCCGTCTCGTCATCGGCCTGTGCTGCCCGTGAAAAGATTTCAATCACCCGCTGCAGCACATCTCGGCTTTCTTGGTCGCATCGCGTTTCCTCCCACAGGCAGAGCAGTATGGTGGCGCTCAGGACTGCGTGAATCATGGACCATGTGCGAATGGGGATGTTGCTGAGGGCTTGGAATTCAATGAATGCCCTTGCTGTATCCATCAAGCTTTCCTTGGCCCGAGCTTTGAGTAGCTGGACGACTCCAGCTTGATCACTGCTCGTGACAGCAGAGGTCGTCAAGACGGGCCGGCATAAGAACGAGGCTGCCCAAGACAGCTGAACCTGAACAGTGAGAGCCTCGTAGCGCTGTTGAATGTTTGCACACTTTTCTCGGCCCTGTAGATAGGGCAAAGCTCGTGACAGGTATCCGTCTAGCTCGGCTAGCAGCTTCATAGACGATTCACAGCTTGTCTTTTCGAGTTCCAAGATGCCGGTGCACACAGATACCATGCCATACAGCGTCTCTGCAAAGTTCAGTGGACGGTCAGGGTTGGAAAGAATCTTCCTAGTGGCAAGCGACTGCCTCGAGGCAATGTGCGGTCGACCATGACACAGACTGAGCAAGCAATCCTGTCTGCAAACGGTGTCCCTGAAAAATGATATAGAATCAGCCATCGCTTTTCTGGACATCACAGTGTTGTACCTGTACCAACCAGAGGCTCCGCTTCCTCTTGGCCCCGTCCTCCGACTGCTCAGACACACTCTGAAGATGCAATCCCAATGCCTGCGCTACCCGGACTGTGGTGCCCATCATCACCCAGGCGCCGTCCGACTGTCCGACGTCTTGGAGAACGGTTCCAATGATGAGGAGAGTCTGAACCGCGTCAAGGGACGGGTGCAGGACGTAGTTGGCCAGACATAGAGCGTCAAATGCGCGTTGTACTAAAGGGACACGGATTAGCTGTGTCATGAAGTAGCACACGAAGGAAGAGCCTCGTTCTCCTACTCACAAAAGTCAAGAGAATGCTCAGCACGCTTCCTCGGTGATTGCATCACTGAATAATGGGCACTTGTGGCGAGGGATGCCAGTAACAGAGCAATCCGTGATATCCAGACTTTGGAGACCCATTTTGGTGACACCACATCAGGGTTACGAAGCTCGCCAGCGTCCAGGGCAGACAGATAGTCGCAAAAGGCCGATTCCAAGTCATCAGGATCCAGCAAGACGGGGTTGAGGGGATATATCGTGGCGCCATGGGATGGAAAGTATCTGGCATTAACGATGAGATCAAGGTTCCTCAGGCATTTTGGGGATCAAAACCTACCTCAGCACTTCTTGCCTCTGAGGAATAATCTTCAACAGCGCCGCCCACCTCTCCTGTAGCGTCTTGAGCTTCATAAAGGGGTAAAACTCCAAGGTGTTGTGCAGCCCCAGAACCGGGCCGGCCTTGCGCCTCATCTCCACGGCTGGGGAGTCGGCCGAGCCGTGCAGCATGGTGAGCACGGAGCTGCCGCCCTGGTAGAGCTCCTTTCGGGCAGGAGGCCAGTCTGCGGCCTCTGTGTCTTGCTGTCGAAAGAGAGTAGAGTGTGACGTCTGTGGAGTATCGAGGAAAGACGGAGAGTCCGCGGTGTTGTGAGTGGGAGTGACGGATGGTCCGGACTCGAGGGGACCATTAGCACCAGCCCCAGCACCACGAATGCGTCGTCGAGGAGGTCGAGGCTGAAGCGAAGATTCAGCCCTCGGCTCATCCTCCGAATCCCCTCCTACCGTCTCTCTCCCCCGGCCAGCCCTCGAAGGCGCCGCGCCCGCAGCAGCTCCCTTGACCCGCCTCCCGCGCCTCTGCTCAAGACTCACGCCGACATCGTACGAGCAGATCTCGGGATGCCCTCGTTTCTGGCACGTCTGGCAGGGATGCTCATGATCGCACTTGACCTTGCGCTGGCGGCACGGGTAGCAGGACCGGGCCTGGGAGAGGCGGCGGAGACGCAGCACGCGGTCGATCTCGACTTGCCGCGGAGACGGCTCGGGATGTTGCCGATGCTGGAGACTCATTGGCGATAACGGTCGAGATCTAGTCCGGCGTTGAGTGCTGGGCATGAGATAAGAAAGGGGGTTAGAGATCCGAGATGCCGAGGGTGTCGAGGTCAAGGTGATTGATTGATCTTACTGTCTGTCGTTGATGGAGGGCGTGGCGGTAAGTCGGACCCTCGGAGCTGTTTATCCGTCGCTCGGCGCTGAAGCATGCTCACTGTCCGGCATCGTCTTGAGCATCGAGATGAGTGTTATGATGGTCTTACTGAAAGCTGCAGTCACAGATCGAAGAGTGGCGTGTCTCTAGATAAATCGACAGAATGGATGAGATGTTATCTAAGCCAACCTACCTATTCATGACTTCGTACCAGGTGAGCTTATAGGGGAGTGGCTAAACAGCCTCCCAAGTCACTTCTCCCCCCTTTCACTATCTCTCGACATGCCTACCTACATGACATTTTATGGTTCCCATCACAATTTCAGTTCATTGACGCCCTTATTCCTGATCCAAAGGCATACATTGATACTTTTACGGTACATTGCGCAAGTACAATTGTAAATCTGCTTTTCTTCTCAGTAGCCCTCCCACGTCCATCATCAACGCCTCGTGCCCAAGCCCTCACGCCACCCATCTATCCTATTCCATGTCCCTGTTGCTACAAGATCTTATACCAAGGCTGCTTCAACTTTTTTTGCTCCTTTTCATGCATCATTTGCCATCCGAATCCGGTGTCTCCAGCCATCTCGATCAAAAACTCTGTACAAAACAGTGCCGCTCCATCACCCTTCCTCCAACTCTAGCAGACAATTCTATCGTGTGCTCAATGCGTGAGTAGATACATACATTCGAAATTAACTACAAATACAGTGCCTTCATCCTCGGCCCTTACTCTTCCTTCTTCGACGCCTTTTCAGCATCTAGAGCCTTCTTTGACGGCTCCTGTTTGCTTCCAGAAGCCTTCTCGGCCCTGCCCTTCTTCCACTTGGCCATCTTTTCGCCCAGGTACCGCCACGACCTCTTGAAGCCGCCCATCATCAGTCCCTTGATGCTCTGCACGGTGCTCGGCCAGTTGACCGTCTGCTTGATGACCTGCCGGGTGATCCGCCGAAGCTCCTCGGGATCGTCTGCGGCGATCCGCTTCTCAAACTCGCCCGCCTGCCGGCGCTTGACGGCCCCGTCTTGGTCAGAGGTCGCCGCCATCATGGCCTTGAACTCGTCTTGGGGGATGCCAAACTTCTTGCGGTACTGGAAGTAGAGCCGGGACCTGAAGCTGCCGGGCAGGCGCCTAACCATGTTGCCTCGCTTCACCAGGTCCATGTCCTGCTGCAGCCTGGCGTTGGCGTCCGGGTTCAGGATCCAGTTCTCGTCGTCCAGCCGGACCGGATCAACAAAGGCCACGTTGGGAAGAGTTCGGATGAGCGGGGCATAGAGTCGTCGGAAGTGAACCATGTTGTTGGAGACAATGTTGTCGACCTTGCTCTTATTTTCTGTGGGGAGTGCCATTCGCGGATCGCCGAGGTAGCTGAGGCCGGCAATGGTGTTGTACAAATCGGCCTCTCTGAAGTCGGGCGGCAGCAGAAGAAGGGCTGTTCGCACGGCAGCAATGAGATTAATCTGATTTGCCAGGCGGACTCGCGGATGGTCTCGCAGAATCTTGACCGGCTTCTGCAGGCGCCCTGCTAAGTAGAGGTTCTCCCAAGTCGACAGGTCCTTAACCAGGTTGTCGATGCTTGTAACCCCGTACTTGATAAGCATGCCGTTCATCTCGATGTAGGGGTTGAAGTAAACACCGGCGCCCCAGTTCTGGACCCTTGAGACGAAGCCCGAGCCGAGCGAGGCGATGCCCGAGTAATGATCCCGATGCTGCTTCATGTTGATGGAATGCCAGTGCTCTGTGTGCGTGACGCCGAAGATGAAGTCAATCATCTTGGGCGATCCCTTTTGGGCCTTGACCAGCGCTTCGGGGGGCTTGGGATGGACAGCGCGGAATTCGGCTTCGCTAATGCTACGGCCGGCCTTTTCCTGGGGGAAGACGCCGGATCCGTAGGCAAAACAGTAGACGATGGGCGCATTAAACTGGCGCAGCATGACGCGCAGGGCCTCTTTGAGCTCATAGTTGATGATCATGTGCTGGTTGACGCCAAAGAGGCGATGGGGGAGCTCGTCGAAGCGCTGGATAGCAAAGTCGACGGTATCCTCCCACTCGTCACCGTACAGGTTAAACTTGCCCCCGGCGGATTCTTTGCGACGGGGGTTCGAGGGTGGAGGCGACGAGGATGAGGATGATGACGGCGACGATGCTGGTGTCGAGGAGGAGGAGGATGTCGCTGTGGATGATGTCGGCGTTGAGGGCGATGATGCCTGATCATTGCTCTGGTTATGTACCTGCCGGCTCTGGTGGGAAGCCCTCGGTCTGCATGGCCATCGCTGTTGAGATGAAGTAGATGGTGATGATGACCACAGCAGAGACGTGGAGGAGGAGGATGATAATCGAGCGTAGCCGTATCGCGCTTCTGAAATGGGCGAGAGGAACAACGACGGTAGCCGAGGCGCAGCTGTCGCTGACAGGGAGCTCCTCGTTGCCTGTTGAGGGGTTCTGTGTCAGCCAAGATGAGCGCAACAAAATGCTCGCAATGCGTCAAGCTGTATTCCTTACCCCGATGCTTCTTCCAAGAGCGACCATTGCGATTGAAGTCGGCGACTCGGATCAGAGGATCGTGGGAGCCGAGCAGTTCCTCAGCAGTTCGAGTTGAAGGGAGGTTTTATCTGTTTGTGAGCAGCAGCGGGAGCAGCGGCAGAGGCCACGGAGTGACGCTCAAGCGGAGCGATCCATGTACGAGAGAATCAGGGTCCGGATTCTCTGCGGGATTGGGCGCGATGCAAGTCCAATGGCTTCTGGCGGTGTTTTGGCTGGGTTCCAAGATGGTGGGATACAAGCAAGAGAAGCTGCACGAGAAGCTGCCCACCATCTCGTCGAGGTACATGTACCTACTAGCACTGTACCGTACCGCAGGTACCTTGCTGGCATTTGCGGGTGGGTCCAGGGCCGTTGAGCTGCGTCATGGCTTGTGAGGAACTCTGCAATCGGTACCTGGTTGCACAAGCTGCTGGTGCTGCATGTTGTTGCTGGTCTTTGAGAATGGCTGAAGATCATCATGACCTTCTGTTAAATATACATACATATGCTCTTTCAAGTTGTATCACATCAATCGTCATCCTACGACAGTTGCTGGTTGGACAAGCTGAGGTACGGCAAGGGAAGTGCCAAGGTACAAAGATCAGCATGCCCAGACAATGAGCCGAGTGCCGATTGGCTGCCCAGATCTAATCTGATGCCGCGAGCTGTTGTACCTGGTTGAGTAGGTAGACATGCAGCTTCACTCCTTGTTCGGATATCGACTGACTTTTATCATGTTTAATAATAATTCATGGTGTAGAAAGCTCTGAAGAGGCATCAGAGCGTCGGTACCTATACAATCATCAGTGACTTGAATGCTGTTTGCACCATCACAACGCCGTCAATTGACGCTCAGTCTCTGGTAGCTTCAGACATGCCTCGAGTAATGGTACATGGCGTCTGTTCCAAGCTCAGTTTTCATGTTTGCACCTCGACAGCCACTCAGTGAATTGCATCTGATTCTCAACATTCTTGTCTCCTCTTCATGTATCAACAATAGCAGACTCGTTTCCAGTCGACTCTTTCAGGTTGCATCATTGTACATCTCAGCTCCAAGCTGCCAACCCCAGTGAACGTCATTCAGGCACCTACCCTAAGCTTCAAATCACGTGACCATTCGCATTGTATCTCCTAGACGCGAAGCAGCGCGTTTCGCAACAGATGGGAAAACAGACGAGAAAGCCAACAACAATCGTCATCAACGTCCTCAAAGGCTTCAGACAGTCGAGATGCGCGGCCGCGCAACGCAGGACGCCGGAGGCCCTGCCAGTCGGCCAAACTCGCGCTCGAGCAGCAGATTGCGCACTCCAAGCACCTCGAGAGTGCCGCGGCCGAACCTGTCACTGCGGGATTCGAGGGTGAGTTGATATGACGAATTGATGGTTACGATCTGACATGGCTAACTGTGTGCCTCGTATGTCATCTCTAGATAGCATCGTTTCGACCAAATCAGCCCACGCCCACCCCCAACACCCACTCCGGAGACGCAAACGCAGACAGACCCCCTTCAAGACAGAGCGTCGCCGTCGCCTCTGTTCAGAGCTCGCTCGAGCATTCAAGATCCAAGGAAAACCTCGTGCCACCCGACACAGACGGACATGAGAAACTTCGAAAGGAGATTGAGGCCCTCAAGGCCGAGGTGGGAACCCTGCAGTACCGCCTCCAGACCGCCGAGCAAGAAAAGGACATTGCACTGTCTCAACAGAGCAACAAGATGGAACAGGCCCGGCGGCGCGAGCAGGAAGAGGTCCAGCAACGACAGTCTGCCGAGGCGGAAAAGGCCAAGACGGACACCAAGCTGGAGTCGCTCAGACAGGAACTGGAGCAGCTGAAGGAAGCCTCGGAGAACGAAAAGCGACAGCTCGAGTCCAAGCTTCGCGCCGCCGAAGATGAAGCCCGTCTCGCCCAAGAGCAGCTGGAGGATGTGACCAGCGCCAAAGACGAAGCAGCCAGACGAGCAGACAAAACGGCCAGCGACCTACATATGCAAATTGCTGCCGCAAACAATACAATACAGGAGATGCAGCAGGAGGGCGAGGCGCGTGAAGTCACCTTGCGACAGTATCAGGAACAAACGCTGGAAAAGGACCAGCTGATTGGCAAGCTGGAGGCAGACGTACTGCGGCTCAAGGCGCAAAGCGGCGATGCGGAAACTATTGAGGCAATCAAGAGGGAGCTGTCAGAACAGGTCTCGCACATGCGGGCTCTGGAAGCCGCAAATCGCGAACAGCTTGCCGAGCTGAAACGACTCCGAGCCAACAACAAGGCTGTGGAGATAGTCGAGGAGGAGAAGAGGACGCTGATGCGCAAGGTCGAGGCGGCGGAGCGGCTAGAGGCGGAGCTGGCTGAGGCGAGGATACAGCGGCAGAGGCTGGAGGATGAGCGTCTGGCGTGGTCGGCCTACCTCGAGAAGGTGTCGGAAACTGGCCAGGCCGAGTTCGACTCTCCCGAAGCAATTGCTCGCGCTCTCGTCCAGGAGCGGCTGACCAGCGCCGCCTACGTCGAGCAGCTCGGAGCTGTCCGAGCCGAAGTCACAGCACTCCAGGCGCAGCTGCAGGCTCTGGAGGAGGAAAACGCCCAGCTCAAGAGCCAGCTCGAGAACGCCACGACGACTGCGCAGGCGGCCAACACCGACAAGGTCCGCATGCGCCTGGATCGCCAGCGTGCTCTGGCCCTGAAAGAGGTTGAATACCTGCGCGCGCAGCTCAAGGCGTTTGACACGGAGGAACACACAATGCAGCCTGAGGGATTCGACGAGGCGCGAGCAGCACGGATTCAGGAGCTGGAGGACATGGTGGACAACTACAAGATGGAGGTGCAGCGGCTCCATGCCGAGCTGTCATCTATGGAACAATCGGCATCGCAGCAATCATCCTCACCACTACCGCAGCTGCTGTCCGCGGGCACCAAGCGGAGTCGCGCCGAGGACGACGCCGTTCACGAGCAGATGGGCCAGCTTACGCGTAAGAACCGCAAGCTCCAGGAAGAGCTGACGAGCGCGCAGACGCAGGTCGCCATGCTGGAAAAGGACCTCTCGACGACGCGCGAGCAGCTGGCGGCGGCCAAGGAGCAGACCAAGACGCGCATCCTGTCGCTGCGGAGCAACCCGACGTCGGACCACGAGGCCATCAAGCGGGCGACGCTGGAGGCGCTGCAGAAGGAGAACCGGGATCTGCTGGCGACGCTGCGGTCGAGGGAGACGGACCCCTCGATCCCGCTGATCCCGACGTCGGTGCTGGGCGCCATGGAGCGCGAGATCGCGGCGGCCAAGGCGGAGACGGCGAGCGCGCAGAAGTCGGCGCGGCGGCTCAAGGAGGTCTGGGGCTCCAAGTCGCACGAGTTCAAGGAGGCCATCTTCTCGACGCTGGGGTGGACGGTGACGTTTATCCCCAACGGCAAGATGCGCGTCGAGAGCACCTTTTACCCGTCGCAGACGGACGAGCACGAGAACTCGATTGTGTTTGACGGCGAGAGGGGCACGATGAAGGTCGGCGGCGGGCCCAAGAGCGCGTTTGCGCGCAAGATTGCGGATCACATTGCCTTTTGGGTGAGGGAGAAGGGGTGCATACCAGGGTTTTTGGCGGCGCTGACGCTCGAGTTTTATGAGGAGCATGCGAGGGCTTCTTCAGGGGAGTGATGGCGAGGAACTTGAAAACAAAGGGGGGATAAAGAAGGAAAAGGCAACGGATATCGATTTCTTATGCAAGCGCTGCCCGATATCGTGTCCTTATTTTGGGGGGTTGTGATTCGTTGTTGATGTTTTGAGGCATTGTGTGGATTGGGTTCATCTTGTAGGGAAAGATGGATTAGAAGTCAGGATGGAGCAGGGCATCATGCTACATCTGAATGATGAAAACGAGACACAAGCTTTGCTGTGTATTTGACTCGCTATTGTGCCAACAGTTTTATCAATTGACCAATGTAGAATGGGTCATTTGAGAGAGGGGATGCCTCATTCTTTGCAGTTTATATTTCTGCAATATGGACAGTGATTCAAGGTAGCAAACAAGAGGAAAACATGTTTCATCCATTTGTTTAGGCCAAAAAGAGAATTATTACTACATTCGTACACTTTTGACACCACCAGTCTTTTCTTTTCTCCCCTCGATATAACAAGACAGCACAAACACAGAGAGAAGAAATAATAGGAAAAAAATGAGAGAGAAAGTCTGGTAAAGAGCGTCAAGATATGCAAAAAGGAAAGGAAAGTATTAGTCGGAAATGAATGGAATGAGCGTGTATACACATCAACAATAAGGCTTTTTTGTTTCATCCTTGCGGAAACATATGACAGGGCAAGGCAATGTAAGGAAAATGAACCCCTTGGCGTTACGGGTGGTAGACGAATAGAGTCGGACAGAAAGAAGATGGAAGATGAAAAAGTAAGAGATCGGTGTACAGTTGTTCGTGAGATACTTTTTCTCATCTTTGCCACAAGCAAAGCAAAAGATAATAAAAATGCTTGAAATCAGGAAAGAAAACAATAAAAGAAAACGGATGATCGATCGCTCAGGAATAAGTATCATCTCGGAACCTAGTGGCGCCCCAGTAGGTCAAACATGATTAGCAATAGTCTTTCCACATACATCTATAAAGAATAGACATATATAGAGTAAGGTATAAGGCACATATTTGCAGGTATCTTATCCCAGGCCCCCCCAGACCCAAAACGCTGTCCAATTTCAGACAAAAAGTCACCCCCCGGAATCTACTTGGCCTCGTACTTGCCGCTCACAAGCTTCCTCGTCACAGGCACGTCAACCCACGTCTGCTCCGCGAGCGACGGGTTCGAGCTGGCAGGGTTCTCGTCTGCAAACGGGTCGCTCTCGACGACATCCTTGCTTGGTGCCGCCTCCAGTCGCGAGATGGAGATGCCGCTGCCGACGGCGTCGTTGCCCGTCACGGCATACTCCCACCGGGCCTCGACGTGGCCCGGCTGCGGCTCGACGCCGTCTGCGCCGACGATGCGGCAGACAATCTTCTGCACGGCGTCGGTGAGCGTCACGTCTCCCAGTCGCCAGTACACCAGGTGCTTGTCCTTCAGGTGGGTGCCGCTGGGCTTCGTCTGGGCTCCAGTTGCCCTGCCCTCGTACGACACCACGAAGACGACATTGTGCAGCGTCACGGGGCCTGTCCACTTGCACTCGGGGTTGAGCTGATACTGCAGCAAAAGGCCCAGCTTGTCGCCCTGGGGCTTCCATGCGGGGGTGATGAGGAGAGGGGCGTGTCGGGCCAGGGAGGAAGCTTCGCCTTCTTCGGAGAAGACGCGGTATGAGAAGGCAGTTGCCGTCCTGGAGAGGTGGGAGACATCGAGGGAGAACTGATCGGGCTGGTCGGGCGAGGCGTTGTGGACAAAGATTCGGTTGGGGCCGATGCGTTCCAGGTTGGCAAAGTTGTTGATGCGGATGGTCTCATGTGCTAGTGGGCCTCAGTATTGACTCTCTACAAGCGGATAACACCAGTTGCGGCGGTCTAAGGAGAGGCCAACGCGGCAGTGTCTGACAAGGGGCAGCAACTTACTCTTGGTAGGGTCAGCATCAGGAGTGGGATTGTTGGCAAAGGCAATCTCGCCCGCAACCGCCGCGCTCTTCAACACGCCACCCTCAAAGAGCACCGAGACCGTCTCGATGATGGAGGCGTTCAGCCCAGGCGCCGTCAGCTCGGGGTGTTTGGTGTGCGCGCTGCTGAGCGAGTTGCCGGACCGCACGGACTGGGTGTCGGAGGCGGCGCTCGCCTCGGAGGCAAGCGCGGCAACGGCGGCCGGCCTTGAAGACGGAGGTCGAGGAGGAGAGGCGGGGGAGACGGGAGATGCGGGGACGGCCGGTATGGTCGGCATGGCGGGAATGGAACCCTCGGAGTAGCTCTCGGGGAACTGCAGCACCGGCGCATAGATGGTGTTGCGCACGTCGCGGCGGCCTCGCACCGTCATCGAGCGCCGGTTGGCCGCCGAGCCCAGCTTGAGCGTGTTGGCCACGCTGGAGAGGGCCGCCTGGGCCGCCTCGGGGTCCTCTTCCTCAATGGGCTTGTTCTGGATGTTGAGCTTGAAGAGCTGGTCATTCTCTTCGTTGGCAGCCTCCCTCTGGGCTTCCGAGATGGGATCGTTCATGGGCGCCCGTATCGTGAAGCCCTCGTCGTCCTTGGATGTTGGCTGACGGGCGGGCTCCTGCTGGCTCTGCTGAGATGGCGGCGCATCGGCCGGACCGGCGGCTTCGGGTGTCTGATGCTGCTGCTGTTCGATGTTGAGGTTGCCATTGACGGAGCTCGAGGGTGGCATCGCTGGCACTCGGCTATCCAAGAGACTCTCGCCAGCTCCAAGGCCATTCGTGGTTCCGTCCCCGTTCGTCGACAGCTCGCCCTCGCGTTCCCTGTCCCGGTGCATGGCGTCCGACGATGACTGCGGCCTGCGAGCTGCGTCGGGCGTCTCGGGGAGGATAGACAGCCGGTTGGACTCGTGGAGGTTGCTGGAAGATCCCATTGGCGAGGCGCCGCGACCGTGGCTGCTGCCGAGTCGCCCAAAGGTAGCTCCCTGCGCCTTCTGGGGAGAGAGGGAGCCGAAGCCAGCATGAACGCTCTGGCGCCGTCGACCGCCAAACATGGTTCCTAGCCTTCGCAGCTTAGATTCTGGCAGCAACCACTCCATTGGTCAGTAAAATGTGCCTTCACTTGGTACTTGTGTCGTCAGGTCATGGTTTAGTAACTCACCCGGCTTTCCCTCGGTGTTGGGGAGCGAATTGTGCTCGCTCACATCGTCGTCCGGGGGCGGCTGAGTGGGATTCGGCGTCGACGGAACGCTGCCCGAGTTCTGCGACACGGCCGAGCGCCTGGTGGCCGTCCTGGGCGGCAGCTGGGCCTTGCCGGCCGTCACCTTTTGCACAAATGCCTGGACCTCCCTCTCGGTGCTGATCTCGAGCATCATAGCCAGCGTCTCGACGGCAATGTCCGTGTCTCGTTGGGCGCGGTCGGACTCGTGGGTCTGGAATTGGGTGAGCAGGTCGCGCAGCAGGTCAACGCGCGACTCGTCGAGCACCTGCAGGGTCTCGAAGATGAAGGGCGCCTGCGACTCCCACTGCTGCGTGGCCGCCTCCAGCTTGGAGGAGGCGGCGTCGACCTTTTGCGCGCTGGCCTTGCCGCCCTTTTTGGTCAGCTTGTCGGAGCGGTCGCGCGCCTCGTCGAGCTCGCGGGCCATGGTGGTCAGGTTGTTGGAGATGTTGGTCATGTTCACGACGTCCTGGCGCTGGTGGAAGTTCCTGAGCGGCTGCTCGACATCATTGCCCACGCGATCGGCGAAGAGCTGGTGGGACTGGGCGAGGCGCTCGACGGACTCGATGATTCGGGACCACGGAAGCTGGAAGACACTGCGTGCCACGATTGGAGTCGTCAGCAGTCGACATTCGGGCAGATGAGGGATAAGGCATTGGCGCGGCATCTTGTCAGAGCCGCCAGCAGACTCACCCCAGCTCCGACTGCGCATTGGGCACCTTGAACTGGGCCAGCTTGCGCATTCCCTGGACATATTGCTCCTCGACGCGACGGCGCTCCTACAGCAATAGAGGCAGACCGGGTCAGCTTTCTGGTGTGCGTCACGGCGTGTGACATCATCGCGTGCGTACCTGGAGCCAATCGGCAATCTCGACGTTGATCTTGTTGATGCGCTTCATGCGGTCGTTGAGCGTCTGCACGGCTTGGCCGGGCTGCAGGTGAGCCTGGAGGCAGCGGCGCCACGGGGGGCAGCCTGTCAGTGCCATTGCGCCTGGAGAAGCTCGGGGGATCCGGGTCCGGAGTCGGCATCGGGCTTACCAGCATGGCCGGATACTCTGTCCTCGCCGTCTCGTCCATGGCTGCGGCTGCGGCTGCGTGGCGGCGTATGGATGTTTGTGGAAGTGAAGCTGGAGCTGGAGCTGGAGCTGGAGCCTGGAGAGGCTGGGTCGAATCGAGGGAAGAGGCGGGATCGGGAGGAACTCGGGCGGAATGACGGACTGCAATCGGGGCTCCGTGTCCTAGTCGGATGCGCGCATGGCGAGCTGCTGCGCGGATGGAGAGAGCCGGATGCTCTCGGGGCTGGCGGTGGTGGTGGTTTGGCGGGAGGGTAAGGTAAGGTCGGGTGTGTCGTATGCGAGGTTGACGATGGAGAGAGGCAACTGGAGCGCAGGTGGTGGAAGACGCAAGAAGCTCCAGAAGGGCTGCAGTGGTGCCAGAGCCTGGAACCCAATGACCGCACCGCTGTAGGTACCCACCTGGGCAGGCTTCCAGCGCTCCCCCGTTCCCTGCCGGTGGGCCCAGCCTCGCTGTGACATTAGCCGGACGCCCCCCCAGTGGCGGCCAATTACAGGCGGCGAGTGCGCTGTGGCCCCAGCCTCGTCAGCGCCAAAACAGCCAGCCGAGCGCCGGAGAGGCATGAGATGAGGCATGAGGCACATGAACCTCCTCCACCGGTTTGGGGGGAGTCCCAAATTGCGTCGGAAGAGGCCGGGGGGTGGCTTGCTGATGCTGTAAAGAAGATCTATACCTAGCAATACTTATACTATTGCTATTATAGTATCCAATTCTTCCGTGAGTAATCTTCCCATTCCTCTCGTGATGCTATAGATCACTACCTATTCCTTCCTTTGAGTACAGGTAATCAGGTAGATACGTACATCGCTGATTACATGTACATTGTTCGGCCAAATTGGGTGTCCGGAGAAGCCTCGGGTCCTTGCACCTCCAATTCCACGCAGCTTCACAGACAGCTTCAACTGAAGCTCAAATCAACCGAAGCCAATCCACCGCATTCCAGCATGGATCCCGGTCCGTTTCAATCAAAATGGAGCCCCGTCCTCAAATGACGTGTCGCATGATCCAGAGGGGGAGCCAAGGGCCAAGACGTGCATAATTGACCAGTCGCCAATTGTGCATTGCATCCGTGGACAGCGTCCACTCTCACAGTCGAATATTGAAGCATCTCGTGCATGTGATTTCAGGAGCTCACCTCAACCTCGACCTCAACCTCAACCTCAACTTCAACCACCAACATCGCCGTCACCATCAGCTAAACATGGCCTCATCCGCCTGGAAGGCATCCGTCTCAGCGGTAGACCGCTATGACACCATCTCCAAGATGTGCGTTCTGAAGATCATCTCCCCCATTGTCACCTATATACATATCACTAACCAAAGCTTCACACAGAATGGAAAGCCTCCCCTCACGAGACATGAATGAGGCCGTCGCCATCGAACAGGCCGCATACGACAACTCTTCCTCTCTGGTAACCTCCCTCTATACCCAACCTCAACTCAAGCCACTCCCGTTGCTAACTTTTAACCCAGGAAGAATACACCGCCGCCTGCCAGCCCTCCAAGCCCCAAATCCCACCACCCTCATCCTCCCCCCTATCCGCGCCCTCACCCCAACCTCCATCCCCAACAGCGTCCTCCAGCGCCGGCATCCGCATCGGCTCGTACAGCAACTGCACGCCCATTTCCGAGGGCGTCACATCCGAGGTCTTCCGCTCCGGCACCACCGCCCTCAAGGTCATCGTCCACAGCACCCCCGAGCCGCACAACCCCCTCCGCGAGGTCAAGATCCTGCAGACGCTCCATCCGCCGTGCATCCCCTTGCTCGACTCCTTCCGCGACCACGAGCAGCGCCTCGTCCTCGCCTTTCCGTACATGCCGCTGACCCTCGCCGACGTCCTCGACCGCAGCAGCAGCACCTCTTCCTCCGCGCTGGACCTTGACCTCGTCCGCTCTCTCTTCCGCGACATCCTCCAGGCCCTGCGCGAGATTCACGGCCAGGGCATCGTCCACCGCGACATCAAGCCCTCGGCCATCCTCCTCGCGTCGCCCTCGGGCCCGGTCTACCTCTCCGACTTCGGCACCGCCTGGCACCCGACCTTCTCGGCAGCCTCCGAGCCCCGGGACAGCAAGATCCTCGACATCGGCACGGGGCCGTACCGCGCGCCAGAGGTCCTCTTCGGCGACAAGTCCTACGGCCCGCCCGTCGACATGTGGGCCCTCGGCGCCGTCCTGGCCGAGTGCATCCGCAGCCCGCCCGCGCCGCTCTTCGAGTCGCGCCCCGCGCACGAGGACGGCAACCAGCTCGGGCTCATCCTCAGCATCTTCAAGACCCTCGGCACGCCCACGCCCGAGACGTGGCCCGAGGCCAAGGGTTTCAAGGTCACACCCTTTGAGCTGTGGACTGTGTTTCCGCAGAGAAGCTGGGAGGAGATTCTGCCGGGTGTTGACGAGGGCTTTAGGGAGGTTGTGGGGAGGCTGGTGCGGTATGATGGTAGCAGGGCCACGGCCGAAGAGGTGAGTTCTGCGTCTCCAGAATATACATATATATAGGTACGCATTGAGGGACTACCGACTTGCTGACGGGTCTTCGTTCCCAGGCTCTAACATACAAGTGCTTTACAACTAATGATACCGCATAATTCTGATAACCGCCACCACCCCCCTTTTAAAACCGTCATATACCGTCTTCCATACATACATAACTCATGATACAACATACATGTACAACATTCAAGAATGAGTCTCCTCCATCCAAGAACCTGCTCAATTTACATCCAAACCCATCCAATCCAGGCACAAATCAATACTCATCCCTATCCCTCTGCGCACGCCTCCTCTTATCGGACCCCAGGTAATCAATCGGGTTCCTGCACAGCGGACACGTATTCTGGCTACTGCTCTGGAACCACTTGTACAGGCACGTCCGGTGGAACAGGTTCTTGCACGTCGAGCACCGCTTGTCCGGCATGCGCTTGTCGGCCGCGATGACGCTGTAGCAGATGGCGCACTCCGTCTGGCCCTTGAGCGCGCCGACAATGTTGCGCTTCAGGATCTGCAGCCCGTCGATGACGCTGCCGCCCGAAAAGGTGATTACGCCCTGCGTCGTCATGATCCAGCTGTTCCACGTGCGCTCCTTGACGGCCACGGCTTCCTGGCCCGTCACCGTCACGGCCTCGATCGGGTAGTTGGGCGACACCTTGATCACAATGGACGCCTGCGTCTCGTCCACCTCATAGCCCACGAGCACCTCGCGCGCGTTCTTGGAGATGCGCACCACCACCTCCTGCTCGTCGGGCCCGGGCGGCTCCTGCTGGTCCACCCACGCCTGCACGTCGTCCAGCATCTCGGAGATGATGAGCGGCGAAAAGTACTTTGTCGTCCACGCCTCGACCGCGATGCGCGTCTGCTTGGAGCGGCAGGCCAGGTACCACGCCTTGAAGAGCCCGGGAATGTACTTGAGCGTCAGGTAAAACAGGTGCACCAGCAGCCACTGCATGCTCCGTTCTTCGGGCTCCGACCGGGCAATCTTGATGTCATACGTCTGGAAATGCTCCGTCGTGAGCTGTTCTCTCTCGAGGCTCAGCGGATGTGCCGCCGAGTGGCCGAGCACATCAAACATGAAGTCTAAAAAGGGTCCGATGTAGTTGTCTGTCTTCAGGTTCTCCGTGTAGTCGCTTCTCAGCTTGAACGACGACGCTGAGTACGCATCAAAGACGAGCTTCCATGATAGCAGGTAGCTTCGGATCGGAGACGGGAATTGCGCCAGCATTTCGTCGGAATACCGCTCCAGAGTCGGGGCGTCGAGGAGCAGAGACAGAAGCTCATCAGGCAGACGAGCATCTTTGATAACAAATTAGTCATGTAATCAGATAAAATAGTAAAAGGGAAGAAACCTACCAGTCTTGTCCAAAACAGTGTCAATGGACCGCTGCTCCTGAATAGCCGGCAACGCCCTGTGCAGCAGATCAAAGGCCGCCGTCTGAATGTCCTGCGACTCCGAAGCGACCAGCTCGTAGATATCCGAGACGTCCTTTAAATTCTTGACCGACACCTTCTCCACTTCCCTGCAAAGCATGGCGTCAACAATTTCCAGGGGCTGGCTACTGGCGCCGCGCGGCAGCTTCAGCAGCTCAATCAGCGACTTGGACCTCTTGACTGCTGATTCTCGAAGTGCGTCTTGTAGGTCATCGTTGGGATCCTCGAGGCTCTCTAGCGTTTTGACAAGCTTGAGTGAGGAATGGATGAACGGAAGGGCGTCGGGAAGGGGGTAGCTGGCCGCCTGCTCCCACAGGTCGAGACTGAACTCTATGGCTTTCTCCCAGTAGGAGCCAAAGACGTCGCTCATGCAGGGCAGCAGCTGGTTCAGCACGCGGCAGATCTCGGCCGAGAGGGGCGCGCTCAACGGCTCGCCGTCTTCCAGCCACGACGTAATCTGTCTGACGGCGAAGACGATGCGGTTATTGGCCACGGGAAGCTCTCCGCCGTCATACACCTGCGCTGACAGAGAAAGTAGGACAAGAATCATCCTGGTTTTGCTATCGTCTGCAGAGGCTCCCGCAACGTCGCTAACGAGCCGATTGCAAAAGTTGCTGGCCAGTTTGGAGGATTTGATTGTCTCACCGAGCCCTGAGATCGCGGCAGCAGCGAGGAGAGCGGTCTCGGGAGCAGCCTTCGTCAGCACTGGCTTGAGCAGTGTCTCCTCCAGACTGGGCAGCAGGCCGTGTGCTTCAGCCACAGCTTGGATGATCTCGCTCAGAGCCCGGGCACTGTAAACACCCCTGGGTGTCAGCTCTCTGGACTCCTCCTTGAGGAGATCAACAAGCCCGCGGAAGATGTGAGCCTGCTCTTCATCCACCGAGTTGTCCCACCACTGGGATGCCAGCGAGCTCTGGTTAACGATAGAGGTCCTAAGGGTCGTCACAAGAGATTCCGCCTCTGACACGGCATCGGCAGTGTCCAAAGTGAGCCACAGCCCGTTTTCGTCCCTCGAGGTGATTTGGTCGGTAGCGAGCTGAATAGTGAGGCACTGAATGTATAGCAGCTCAATCTGGAATTCGCGTGGAAGCTTGGCAACATCTACCCCTTCTTTGAGAAGATGCGCAGAGTAAAGAGACATTCTCAGTGGGACTGAACGACCCTTTCTGTCTCTGGGCACGCGGATCTCCGTCGGCTGGGCTGTTGAATTAGCCAGGGTGGCGGCGCCGCCCAGGCTGTTGGTGATTGACAAAGACGGGTTGATTGGATGTTCCAAGAAAGGCGCCAGCTTCTGCATCCAGGCATTCGTGCTGGGAAAGATTTCCTCAACGGCAATGCCGGCAGCGTGTGCTTGTTGAGCCTGCTTTGACAGCGTCTCGATATCCAACGACTGAGGGCCTGCTCCCTCGAGGTTACCTTGTATGATTTCAATGACCGGCTGAGTGCCGGCAGTTCCCTCTCCCTGTAGGATGGCGCGGATCGCAACGGCCTTTGACGAGATAACAGTGCTGCTAAGTTCAGACAGACTCAATAACTGCGCAACCAAAGCCGTATGGAGAGACTCGTCCTCGGTAAAGAGCTGTGGCTTGCCCTTGGCGATGATCTCTAAAGCTCTCAGTGCCGGTTCTGCCAATGCGTGTTCCTTGTCTAAGATGTCTAATAGCTTTTCGGATAGCTGTTTACAGCTCTCATCAGAGAGGCCTTTTTCGTTCATGGCAGCTTCTAGCAGCTCCCACCCGGGCGCCTGGCTCTTGACAGCTTCAATTGCTTCTGAGATGATGTACTCCTGGAGCTTGGCATTTCCTTGCGTGGGCTCAGACGCCTTTTCCTCGGAGACAAGGGAGGCGAGAGCCGAGTTGCGAGTGGCGCGGTCGGAGAACTCCAAGACTGCTTCGACCCAGGAGCCCCAGATCGTGCGGTATGCTTGTTCCCTGGATGGGATTGCCCCGAAGAGGTTGAGGCAGGACAGCAGCGGCCTACTAGAGGCAGACTGTATGACTTTTTCCGCCGACTCTCGTGCAGCTGTAGACAAGAAGTCCGCCACCTTGTCTCCGGTCTCGCCGTCGAAGAGATGCTGGGCGGTACTGAGTGCGTATTCAAGAGCAACCGCAGCACCAAACGGCTTCATGTTGCGATTCTGTAAAATGGAGATGCATTGGTCTATGACAGTCCTTGATGGAGCGGCTGTCTGGTCAGGCAAGGATTCTCCGATGTTGGCCAGCTTCCGGTGAATTTCTCCAACAAGGCCGAACCACCGGCGGCCCTCCTCGCCAATCTTTTCCTGTGACGACTGGTACTCGCGGGACACCTCCGGCAAAGAAGCTGAGATTCTGGTGCACAGCAACTGAGCCAACCGTTCCCACTCCTCTGCTGATGCTGCAACGACGACTGAAGGGCTTCGAAGGAGTGTGAGATGGGCTTCTACCAAGATGCCCATGGCGTTGGGCCCCAGGGGAATAGCCACCGGCTTGTCGGACACGGTGAGAAGCGAATGTTCAAAGAGTGGGAACACTTGCTCGCGGGCAAAGACCAGCTTCTCGTCGTCGGAAAGATTCTTGATCAAACGTTTGAGGGTGTCGATGTAGCACTTCCAGGCCATGGAGGTGTTTGTTCGAGGCTCTTCGCGGTTCGTGACGCCGGCTTTGACAGCTTCCAGGAACTCAGAGGCCGTCTCCAGCTTCTTCATCTGGTCCACCGGCAGGACGGATATCAACTCGTCAAGATGCTCCCAGAACTTTGCGGGACAGCCCTGCGATCCCTTTTCGATAAACTGTCGCAACCGTGAGAGTGCGGGCTTCTTTTCTTTCGGCGAAGGCGTCCAAAGATCAGGAACAGCTTGTGACAGCCTCGTCAGGGCGCGGACATAGTCGAGTGCGGACCCAGCCTGGTTGGTCTTGAGGCCGCCCGTGACCATGGCCTGCCTCGCCTGTGTGGATTCGGCATAGGGGAGATTGCGATTGAGGCAAGTGATGAGGAGATGGCACGCCGTCTTCCGCACCGCAGCGTCGTTGAAGGTAATGGCGCGCCAGACGGCCTCCTCGGAGAAGAAGTCGTCCAGCTTGTCGCCCAGGGCGGCGATTTCCTCGTCGTTGAGCCGCTGCAGCAGGCTGAGCACCAGCGACAAGCTGGCGGCCACGACGCGGATGTACTTGGCCTCGGCGTCGTCCTTTGTCGTCGACCGGTCATCGCTGAGGGTGTCGGGGGTCTCTCGGATGGCATCGATGGCGTAGTCGAGGATCTGCGTCTGGCACTTGCGCCAGAAGGCGGCGACCTTGTCGGGGGTGTTGATGAGCGACGACAGGCCGTCGCTGGCGGCGCGCGCAACGCCGCGGTCGCGGTCGTACAGCCCGGCCAGCCAGGCACCCACGATCTTGGGGATGTGTCGCTCGGCCCGCCGCCGCGCCGACTTGATGAGCTCCAACTGCAGGGTATGCGCCAGCTCGCGGACGCGGCGGGCGTTGTCGATGCTGAGGCGCGGGTAGACGGCGGTCCAGACGTCCAGCAGCGCATCCTCGACGCCGCCGTTGCGCTCGTGCGGCCACGCCTGGACATGGGCCAGCAGGTCCTCGAGCGCCTTGGTCTTGGTGGTGCTGTCCTTCTTGAGCAGATTCTTGAGGCTGACAACGACGTTCGGATCCGACACGGCGCTAAACGACGGCGGCTCGGCCAGGTACGACAGGGTGCCCGTCCCGCCCGGAGCGCCGAAAGCCCCGAACGTCGCTCCCGGGGCGCGGCTGGAGCGCTTCATGGTCGGCTGGCGGGTTCAGTTGCGCGGGAGGAGAGGCGAGGAGGGGGGACGAGGGAGGTGAGGCGAGGCTGAGACGATGGGTGGGCGAGCTGCGTTGCGCAAGGCTCCAGAAGGCTGCTGGGCGAAGGTTTGGCGGAGAGGGACCAGCTCTGTCCGGAAAATTACTAATGGGGAGCTCCAGCTGCCAGAAAGGCGCCTGTGATGTCAGCATCGCCCTGCCAGAGGCGCTCAGGGCTGCAGCTGGGGCTGGAAGCGCTGAAGAGTCACGCCGGGCACAGCGGGGTGTGCTGCTGAGGTAAGCGTGGATAAGGTAATCAAGTTTGGATAAGGTAAGCAGTGCCGCACCTCGAATTGGAGCTGAATCCAGCTGAGATGGGGGATGGATCCAAAGCGACAGTGAGGCTATCCACGCTTATAAATACCATTAATAAACAGAAAGCCACTCCTTTATATCCCTCTAGGTAAGGTGTTAAGGCCAGGAGGACATGGCATCTTGTCAAAGTCCAGGCAAGCAACAGTGGCAAGGACGTGGTCTTGCTATCAATACTGAGCCTATCTAACGTGTGGGATACCTAGCCATTAAAGCCATCCCCAAAGAACAGGACAAGCCGGAAGACAGTCGGCTACAGAGAGCCTTGAAGTCTAATCAGCGAACCTGATGAATGCACAACAGTTTTCAGAGGGGGCATCAAGATTCAAGGCGAACTTTAGTCAAGCCCTGATTGAATTCATCCAGCGAACAAAAGGTTGATGCGTGCAAATGATTTGTTTGACGATGTCAAGTAGGTACATGTGCCTACCTACCTAACGACGGATGTCAGCTCCAAGTACGAGTATACATGTACCTGCCGTAGCACAGACATCAAGGTTCGAAATCCAGGCCTTTGGAGGATTCTTTCAAGTCATTCGAAACACCTGTCCTGCAGTGATACAAGCACCCGACCCATTCGCTTCGGTCTGCCAGTGCCTGCCTGACATGCTGCACCGATGCTCTGCTCTGCTGGCCGGCCGTCTCGTCCTACCTGCACTGACTCGCCGGCTTGACGTCTTTCCAGTCACATCACGACACGCCGGCCGACGAAACCCCCCGTCAGCCTCACTCGCCAACCAGAGATGGCCAACCCGACCGGCCGGTGAGGAACAAAAAAGCCCGGTGACCAGCTGCAGCGGCCCCTTGCAGACGCTTCGACGAGAGAGCGCCACTCGGCTCCCGACGGCCTGGCTGGGCATTGCCAGATTGCATCTTCATCCGAACTTGTCGACTTGAAACTCTCGTGCTCAGACCATGTCCTTCAGCTTTGAAGTGATTCACGATGCACTTGTACGCATCAGGTATCCCAGGCCTGAGGGAATTACTTGTCAACACACGCCGTGCACGCCTTCTGATAGTCCGTCCCATGTGCGTTGCTCCGTGCATCCGCCCGCTCGCCACTGGCCCGCCTGCTTGCGCTGCCACACCAACAGCAGGTTCGAGGGGTGGAAGATGGGATCATCGCAGGCCCTCGCACTGTCTCTGTCTCCTCTGCTGACCGCATTCCGCATGCGCAGCGCTGATCTGCGGCGACGCTCGCACGAGCACTGTGGGCGCTCATGAATGCTCATACTGTCGCAGGCCACATCCTCAGCTTCAGGTACATAGCGTAATGCTCATCCTTATGACTGGACCAACACACTCTCATACTCACCCCATTCAATTGCAGCATTTTCCCCTCATGAAGCTGAAGTTCCCCAGGTTTGTGATCTGCCTACAAGCGTCCTCTCCATCATACTAGGTAGTAGGTCGATACTTACTACAAGCATTACACGCACATCCCAGGCCGTCGGTGGACCCTGTTTGCATGAGACCCCCGGATGCCGCCACGGCCAGCTGCGCCCTGATTCGCCCGAGCGGCGGCTTGGCTCGGTCAATTCGGGCGTGGGCCCCACGGTGACGTCGTCACGGCTCTTCCCCAGGCCGTCCCTGCGCCTGTGAGAAGAGTCGAGGGAACCTGAAGCGAGAGCGAGAGAGTCCGGGGGCCCTGCATACCGTAGCGCATCAGGCTGCAGCTCTGGCGGTGCTGGAGCATGATTGGTGCTCAAAGTTGCTGATATGCGGCCGCGGCCGCGCTTCGTACTAGTAGTGTTGATGCGTAATTGTGCGTTTGCTTGCTCATACATACATAGGTACGATGGACCGTAGGTACACCTATTGCCTGCGCTCCATGAGACAAGTACCTTACCTACAGTACAGACATGCCAAATCATACCTTACATACTTGCCTACGGCTGGCATCTCCTGACTCAGTCAAGCAATGGAAGGCATCGGATAAATCCCACCGCCCCAAACAGGCAGTTCCGGCGCCAGCACCACCTCAGACTTTAGCCACCCGACCCGACCTCACTGGCAGCGTGTCCCTCGGTGACACCTCGCAGCGCCCTTGGCTCCCTGACAGGCCCCCCGAGCGGATCCCCTAGCGCCTTCGTCAGTGGACTCAACCTGCCCACAGTGGGCGCAGTGGGCTCTCCTGGGGGGCGCTTGGGGGCTACCCCGCAAGCGTACGACAGTGGACACGATAGTGCTCCAGCGCGGTGAACCGGCTGGGCTCACCTTCAGACAAGCCAAAAAGCGGCGCGCCGCTGATGCTCCCCTTCATTCCTCGCCGCCTCTCCGTCTCTTCGTCTCTTCCCTCTTCTTCACCTCTCATCGTCGCTTTACCTCATTTCTCTGCCGACCTTGTCCAAAGTCCCTCCCTCTACTCTACCGCCTGCACATTACAAGGACATTCCTTCTCTCAACCACAGCAAATCCTCGCCTCGTCGGCATCAGCATCGTGAGATCTGGATACGATATTCTTCGCATCGTCCACCTCGTCCGATCTGTCCTTCCCCGCACAACCCGGTTCTGCCCGAGTTCCATGTCACATGCAATTGCTGCTGCTGGGGTGATTCAGCTTGACGTTTGCCTGGTAAGTCGCGAGATTCATATCCATGGCCTCATGTGGTGTCAGGTGCGTGGTTGAGCATGGCTGTTAACCGTTGATCTCGCTCCCAGACTCGGTAGTGCATCTTGCCCAGCAATTGGCTCGACTATCTCCAACATGCTCTCGACTACGCAACTCGCCTCGCCTCGTGCCAGGCTCCTCCTCGCTCGCAACGCCCTCAACTCCAGTCCGACCGCCGCTCAGCAGAGCCGACAGTTCTGCGGCTTCGACTTGGGCCGCCGCCGCCACCGCGTCTATGCCCTCAAGTACCTCGTCTCCCTCAACAGACGCCTACCCTGGGAGCATCTCAAGTCAGGGAGCCTCAAGGCGGCCGCCTCGTCTGCTGGGTCTAGTGGGAAATACACCGACCTCAAGGACGTCAAGTCGTGGTCAGACGACCTGTCTGGAGCCCGTCCTGGCCGCAGCATTGAGGACGTCGAGCGAGACGCCATCAACCATCTGTTCCACAAGGACGACAATGTGTGGACGCCACTGCAGAACATTCGAAACTATCTGCACTCGAGCCTCCAGCACTCTGACAAGGTCACTGCGGAGAGCGTGTTGAGAGCCACAACCGATGACAGCCTCAACTTTATCGACCCCATCACCAACCGACGAGTGTCACGCGCGGAGCGCGGCAAGTACTCGGCAATCAAGTTTGACGACCCCAATGCGCCTCGAAAGCTGACTCCCGAGGAAGAGTCCAAGCAGTACACTGATCTTGGCGACTACAAGCCCTCCAAATGGAACGAGCCCGACGGACTGCCTCAGCTGACTCCCGAGGAGCGTTCCAAGATCTACGGGGACTTGCCTGAGTACTCCAAGATGAAGATTGATAACCCCAATGCGCCTCGCAAATTGACACCCGAGGAAGAGTCCAAGAACTATGACGACCTGGACAAGTACACATCCGTCACCTGGAACGAGCCGAATGGGCTTCCGCAGCTCACTCCGGAGGAGAAGTCGAAGATGTACGAAGATCTGGACCAGTACGGCCCGGTCACGTGGAACGAGCCGAATGGCCTGCAGGAGAGGTCGCTGGAGGAAAAGTCCAAGGACTACAAGGACCTGCACAAGTATGGCCCGGTAACTCACGACGAACCCGACGGCCTCCGACGCCTGACGCCGGAGGAAAAGTCGAAGGACTACACGGACCTTCACGCCTACGGCGGCCCCTTTACCTGCAGGGAGTCCGTGCTCAGGGACTACGAGGCTCTGCAGAACGATCCCACGCCCAAGGCCGAGCCGATTCCCGCCAAGGTTCAAGTGAGCGACGCCGCCATGCCTCAGTATGACGACCTGGACAAGTATGGCCCTGTCCGTTGGCATGAGCCCGATGGTCTCCGGCCGTTGACTCCCGAGGAGCTCTCCAAGGACTACGAGGACCTCTACATGTACTCGCAATACCCCAACGCCGGCCCCAGGACTGCTCGCGTGCATCCGGAAGAGGCCTCAAAGGCATACAAAGACCTGCCCGAGTACTCGGCGTTTCCGAATGCCGGGCCAAAGGTGGAGAGAATCCACCCCGAAGAAGCGTCCAAGAAGTACAAGGACCTTCCTGGCTACGCCGTTGACGGCTTCGTGGAGCCAGCAAAGACGCGCCACATCCACCCCGAGGAGCTGACCAAGAACTACGCCGACTTGGGCAACTATGAGCCGCAGAGCTTTGAGTCTCCCGAGAAGCCTTACCCCATGCACCCCGAGCAGGCGTCCAAGGCCTACAAGGATCTCCATGGCTACAATGCAAGCTCTCCGGACGTGGAGAGCCAGGAGGCTCCGGATGTCGTTGCTGCCAGCCTTCGGGAGTACGACGCAAAGGAGAAGCTGCAGGCCGACATGGCGGCTTCTGGCGCGACTCATCACGGGAGCGCCATTGAGGAGGCAGAGCGCGCGCTGGAGTCGCTGACGGCGGATGACATTCGAGGCCAGGTGCTGAGCAGGGTCCGCATGGCCGCCAAGGAAGAGGAAGAAGAGGCCGCGATGGAGATGAGTTCCATGGATGAGAGTTTTCCCAGTGAGTTGTCGAAGTCCGAATCCGAGCCGATCGAAGGCATCACCCGCAAGCTGGCCGAAATGCGCGCCGAGAAGGACCCGTACTCTAACGATCCAAAGGGACTAGAAACCAGCTACTCTGAGGAATGCGGTGGCGAGACGGCAGGGACCGTGGCCAAGCACTACGAGCCCCCGCCTCCCACGGCGACGGTGACGGTGAGGTTGACAGAGGAGCCGGCCCAGTACAAGATCCTGGCCTACGACGCGTCGACCAAGTCTGTCAGCGTTGCCGAGACCACCTCTGACGATGCCGATGTTTCGTCCCCTCCCAAGCTGACGGAGGTGCTGCTGCGGCTGTCGCACGCGTCCAAGTTTCTTCCTTACTTCAAGCCCCTGCAGGAGCAAGGCTACGACATTGTGTCTGGCGGAGGCGACGTGCTCATTTTCCGCAAGACGCGGCCCGCCGTCGCCAACGCCAGTGATCTCCCCTGTGATGCTGCTCCCAGCAGCCCGGTTCGCGTCAACCCGGTGGACATGATGGGCCAGTCCGTGGCGGGCAACTTTGCCAGTCCCACCGGCTTTGTTAACTACGACAGCCTCGAGGACAGCCACGTGAAGCCGGCGCCGCCCGTGAGCACCAGCCAGCAGACGCGCAGAGACGAGGCGGAGCGGATGGGGCCGGCGTCCCCGGAGAAGAAGAAGAGGAGCTTCGGCAAGAAGGTGGTGATGGGCACGGTCTGGGTGGGCGGAGCGGCATATGCCGTGGGAGCGCTGGCGGAGCACTTTTCCGCTGCCGGCAAATAAGGGGGTGTCTTGGTTTTCTTTTTCCTTTCTTTCTTGTCTTTTTTTCTTTCTATTTCTTTTCTTTCTTTTCTGCTCCGGTAGCATAGGGATATGATACTCCACGACGACATGTGCATGGGTTTGGGAGTAGGAGTTTTGTTATTTTCTATTCTTTATGTTCTCTCTGCTTTTTTTTCTATATCTGCGTCTTGTTTCCTTGCTATATTCCCCCCTTATCCTCTTCCCCTCCTGTCTGTTTCTTTTACGATGGGATCAAGTCTGGAATGTTCATTGACGGCGAATGCGGGCTGGGAGTGACACGACAACGTCGCGAATCTCATTTGCATTGAGGGCTACTGTTGACCTTTTTCGCTCGTTCCATGTACAGTACCTATAGTATTATCTAGGAGCCATCAGCTTCTAACCGAGGTCGCTTGAATCGGAATCTTTCAAGAAATTGTTTTTGGATCAGTATGTGTGCATGATAACACGAAGCCTCACTCTTGAATAGACGATTGCGCCACATTGTAGCTGCTGTAAAATGTATTTTGCTAGCTAAAAAACCCATGATGCAGTCATGTCCCCATGTCCCGGCATTCTGTTGCTCCAATTTGACATGCTGTCGTATGCTATTTTTTGTGTCGCTCCTTGCCATGCAAAACCAAATGCTATTTGATCCCAGTATAATTCCATGCATGAACCAATTCCCAATGCAATTTTTGTTGTTCCTTTTGTATTCTTTTTTGTCTTTCTTTTCACTTTGTCACATTCTGCTTTTTTTTTTTCTTTTTCTTTTTTTTTTTTTCTTTTGTGTTTTCATTCATCAACTTCATGATGACTCCCTCCGTCAACAACATCTCTTTCTCCCCAAGAGGGGGGAGTTGAAATAATGTATAGAGGGGGAGAAGGAAACAAAAGACGACATCACGTCCTCTCGGTAAAGCCCTGATGTCCAGACCGCACGCTATCGAGGTCAATGCCACTCATCTGCAGGGCGTGCTTCTGGTCCTGGGAGCTCCAGCTCTGGCGACGGTCAAGCGAGCTGGGCTTCCACGAGGAGGTGTGCTGGATGGCGGAGCGGCAGGCGGGGGAGTCGAGCTGGGCGACATGAGGGGGGAAGGACATTTGCCGATGGGGGGCGTGTTCTTGTTGATGTTGTTGTTGTGGTTGTTGCGGTTGTTGGTCTTGGACTGTTTTGTGGTTGTTTTGTGGTTAGTTTGATTGAATCGCAAGTACCTATGGATGGGGGAATGACTGACTTTGTGAAGAGTCCATTGTGGTGGTTTTGTTGTGGATGGTTGATGTAGGTTGAGGTTGATGTTTGATTTGAGGTGTAGTTTGAGTTTGTGGTTTGTAGGTGATGTTGTCTTCTGGTTGCTAACAAGTAATACCGAGTCAGTACCCATAAACACAGAACAGATTAATCGAAGAACAGAATCAACTTACTCGATAGACAGACTTAGGTGGATTGACAAGTAAGGTATTGGTAGATATGGTAAAGTAGTTTGGTAAAGTTTGTGATTGGTAAGTTCAAGTTATAGTGCTAATAACATCTCCAAGTTAGAAAAACAAGAAGCCCAAGCTCGCCTTATATAGAAAGAAGCTCCCCCATGTATGTAACAACGAGCTTCTCCTTCCCCAAGATCTCCCGATCGGCCAACCTCAACAAGGGCAAGTGCAAGTTTCCCGTTTTTTTTTTGCGTCAGCTTGCCGTTCCTTCCTTTCCCACTCGCCACCCCGACCGAAAGACTAGAAGCTGCGTGAACACACACACACACACACACACGATAAAAAGGGACGATCAGAAGAAAAAGGCGGGGTCGGCCCATGGACGGTGATTGGGGCTTGTTTATCGTATGATGCGATGGTGTTACACTGAAGGAAAAATAGAAGTCTAAATTCCAAGTGGTCGACCACTTTATTATCGGCATTGGTTTTAGATATTAGATAATTTCTATCGAGATGGGATATCGAGATGTTTGGTTACATCACGGCATTTTAGATGGATTTGATTGGTTTGGACGGGGGGGGGGGGTTGTTGCTTGGTTGCGATTTTGCCTCTTTTCTTTTTCTTTTATTTCTTCTGATTACTCTTGTGTAATTGCGTGTCTTGTGTCTGTGTTCTGTCTTCTGTCTTGGGGGAGGGGTTCGTGATCAAAGGTAATGTGATGTAATGTGTGATGTTGCTGTGATGGATCGGGTTATAATGGCGGGCTCGGTATATTCTGTATGTACATGCATGGTGAGGCAAGGTGAGGCAAGGGTAAAAAAAAAAAAAGAAACACAACAGGGAAAATGATTCAACAGGTGCAGCAGCCTTTGACGTCGTCCACCAGGCCTATCAATCGCCGCCCGTGGCACGCGTCACTCCGATCTCTCAGCCAGTCAGTCTCTCGTCCTCCGTTACTCTCCTCTCTCCCAATCCCTTGCTTCGTCTTATCGTTTCTCCTCGTCTCCTACACCCTCATCTGCGCAGTGTAATCAGCAGAGTAGGTAGGAACAAGGGAGGAATAGCCGAAACTCCTCCACAAGTGGATCGAGATGCATTGCCGTTAACGAGCAGCGTGGATACAGAAACCATTTCCAATCCTCAAACACCCGATCCTCTTCAGCCCAGTACCCGATTTTCCCACCTAGCATGACTCCTGTACAGGTCCAAGAGTGACTAGAAAAGGAGCTGCAAAAAAAAACAAAGGAAAATAAGGTACCGGAAAGAAAAGATCAAGAATACCAGGCGGCAAAGGGAGGGTGCAAAACACTTTCATTCTTCCTCTCATCCATCGTGGCCCGATCTCATCAAAGGACCAAAAAGCACAATCAGGCGCAAAAAGAAAAATGATCAAAACCATCTTACATATCTCATCTGCACCGATAAACAGAAGAGCCCGCCCAGCCAGGTGATACGCCCGGGGAGCGCCTCGGGAAAAGGGGGTATTGACGTCTTTATATGCGAGCCCATAACATTTCAATCCGTCAGCTTCAGTCAGTCAATCGTTCCTCCATGTCTTTTTTTCCTTCCTCCCTGGAATCCTTGCCTCTCTTTCGCTCTTTCAACAGTTTTCCAATCTTTACTCTTCTCATCGTAATGGCGTTTCTTGGTCACGCGGCTCTAAGGCGTCTTGGGGCGCTTCCAGTAGTATTGCTGCGTAAACAGGCAGAGCGTGTTAGCCGAGGGATTCAGAACATGAGCTAAATCAAGCCCCAAAAAAAAATCAATCAAGTCACGGCTCCCCATAGACCACCAACCTTGTGTTGTTTCCGACACGCCCGCAAGCTGGGCTTCCGCAGTCCGTCCACCACCGCCGCCCGTCGCTGCATGTCCGTGTCGTCCTCGGGGATGTAATAGTACTCGCTCTCCAGGGCCTTGCCGGCAGCGTCCTTGCCCTGACGCTTGATGATGCCGATGCAGGGCGTCGTCTCGATCAGCAGCCTCAGGGCGTCGCGGGAAATGTCCTTGATCTGCTCGGCCGGCAGGTTGTGCATGATGGTCGACAGCGGCGTCGAGGACAGCCGGGAGAAGGCGAGCTGGTTGACGACGTGGTTGGAGATGGCGGCGTCCGCCTCGGACGGGACCCTGGTCGGCTCCTCTTCCTCGTCCTCCTCTTCGTCCTCGTCCTCCCTGGCTTCGACTACTCCTTCCTCTTCTTCTTCTACTTCTTCTTCTTCTTTCTCATCCTCCTCCTCCTCGTCCTTTGGCTGACGGCGTTTGTCCTCAATCGTCACCTTCTTCGACTTGGGTTTCCGGAGACCGGCCTCGGCGTCCTTGTCCTCGGAGCTCCGGCCCAGCTTGCTCGGCCGAAGCGTCTCAGACGAGCCCTTGTTCAGGGATCGCTTCGTGACGCGAGGCGACTTTGTCGTAATGGACGCGAGACGCGTCGAGATGTTGGCGCCGTACGGGCCAAAGGAGAGGACGACGGGATCGTTTTCCTCATCCGGGTCGCTCTCGTCGTCCTCGCCGGAGCCCTCGTCGCTGGAGAAGCTGGCGGTGGCCTCGGTGCGCATGCTGGCGGCCATGTCCGGGTCCTCGCGGTCGTCAGAGTCCGGCATGTAGTCGTCGTCGTCGTCGTCCTCGTAGATCTGGATGCCGGCGTCGTCGTCTGCTGCTACCACAGACCGCCGGCGAGGGGCCGGCGTGGGACTGTCGGGCGACTGGATGCGCGCGGCCCTCCGCAGGGGGGACGCCTGCAGATTCGCGGTCGAGGCGGCGCGCGTGCCCGCGGGCGGCGGCGAGTCCTCCCAGCTGGCATCGGACAGCAGGCCGTTGGCGTCGGCGGCCGAGGAGCTGCGCTTGGGCCACTGGATCAGCACGCGGGCGTCGTGGACGTCGACCATGATCTCGGTGCCCTCGGTCTCGCTGGTGAAGCTGTCGCCCTTGAGCAGCTCCCAGGTGCGGCCCTGGCAGTGCAGCTTGAGCCCGTTCCAGCCGTTGCAGGTGATTTCAATCTTGCTGGCCTCGAGCGGCGTGGCGGCCTGCACGTAGCGCGCGCGGACATGGACGCGCGAGATGAGGCGGTTGGCCGACAGCTGGAAGTGCGACGAGTTGGACGAGCGGCCCATGAGCAGCGTCTCGCCGTTCTCGTTGAGCTCAATCGACGGCACGGCCGACAGCGGCGCGCGCTCCATCAGCCCGATGCTCATCTTGTCACGCAGCGGCGAGCTGGACAAGATGCCGGTGCTGGACGTGGGCACGGGCGTGGGATACCGCAGATGGGCGCCTGTGCCCGAGCCGGTGCCGACATTCTGGCGTTTGGACGGCCGGGGCAGGCCGGGCGAGGACGAGAGAGGCTCAAAGGGCGGCAGCAGGGACGGGGGCGGGCGTTTGAGGGGCGAGCCTGACGGCGATGCAGTTGACGATGACTTTGTTGTTGTTGTTGTGGTTGATGATGATTCAGTTGCCGAAGCTGCAGCTGCAGCGGGAGCTGATGATGACACTGTTGACGAAGCCGATGCCGATGCCGATGCCGATGAAGCGGCCGATGAAGCTGATAGAGTCGACGAAGCTGCTGCTAGTGTCGGGGCGGGGAGCGCTGGTTCGGCCGCGGGCCCTCGCGTCGAGTCCATGGTTCCCAGAGTGGTGAATGAAGCCTCACGCGATCATTCCCCAGCGCCAAGTCCAGCGGCAGTCTGTTGTTTTTCTCTTGGGCTTCTCGTGTCCTCCCTCCGCCGGCAGATGCTCGAGTCTCGCCCAGGGCCGCTGTGCAGCTCGCAAGAATCGCGTCGACCGTGCCGTTGTTTTGGTCTCCTCTTTTCAGTGCTTCTCTCTTCGTGCACTACTGCACCTCTCGGCTGCCCTCCCCACTTACAAACACGCCCAAGCCAAACGCTGGATAACACCCGACCTGATGCTGCTGTGCTGATTCGCGGTACACGATTGGCTGGCGGCGTTGGTCGGTCTGTTGTCCTTTTTGCTTTCTTCTTTCTGCTCCCTTGCTCGACCAAATGCGTGTTGCTCTGTGTTGTTTATCCTGTTATATACCTAGACACCCTTCCTTGGTCGACTGGAAGGGGTGTTTTTGTCGAGTAGTAGTATGTAGATTGAAGGCTGGGGGGGAGAGGCGAAGGAAGAAGGAGAAAAAGAGCGACTCGAGGCCCGGCTGCCTTTTTGCACCCACATGCACACAACACACACAAACACACGCACACACACACACAATGACCAAGAGGCCAGACGTGGGTTCAAGTGTTGCGAAGGGGTGAGAGGCAGAGACCAGGGCTTGGGCTGAGGCGGTATTTAAACGAGCGGAGAAGGGGAAGAAAAAAAAAGGCCCAGAAACACGAACCTTGAACGCGCGCGACTGGAGACGCATCGCATCGCGTTGGCGTTGGCTGGCGTTTGGCAGAGGCTCTTGGGCTAATACTGAGGTGCGGCTGGGGGCTTGTTTGTGCCCCGGAGGTACCCGTGGACCGCTGAAAGGGCCGCTGCAGCGCAACGGTTTGGAGGGCTGCTCCAGCGGTGCTCCAGCGGTGCTCCAGCGCGTGGCAGGTGCCGCGGACGCTGTAGCAACGGCGCTTGGGGCGCTGAGGGCCAGGGAGCAAGGTGCTACAGGGGAGCACCCGACGCTCTCTTGGGGGGGGCGCTGCTATGGCGACCTGGGCGATGAAGCGGGCTGGCGGAGGGGCATGGACAGGGGCTGTACATGCGCGATACATGGGATTGGATGTCGTACATTTCAGACCAGCCCGACCTCACACACAACGCAGCGCTTGCCTCTAGTAGTAATACTTCTGTCTCCAAAGCGAGGGCTTAAGCTCGCTTTTCTGCTCTCTTAAATTCATCCGAGAGACGCATGGCATGAGCTAGCTTTGCGTCTTTGCCGGCTTTGTATGGACTACTATTACGCCGGACGATGCATGGGGGAGGGTGGGCATTTGTGGGCATGGAGCCAGACTGCTGCAGGTTTCTCGCTTCAAAAGGGCCCATGTTTGTGCATTGGTTGTGCCGTGGCCACGATGCAATCGACTGACTGACTGGCTGCACGAACTGGACTGGATTACGCACAGGCACGGCATGTCAGGCTGCAATCGGCGATGGAGCGATTCTCTTTTCGTGGTGCTTTTGCCCTTGGCCATCTACTAATTCTTCTCTAATAGATATCGATATCGCTGCTTTGTACGCTTCCATGTGGATGGATCATAAGTAGGTACCTAGGAGGTAAGTAGGTAGGTAATAGAAGCTGATGACCATCTCCCTTGATTACACCAAAATGCATGTCCTCGCACCTCGGCTCGCTCACAGCATCTCCGTCCCTCCTCCCATGCCATTCCTTTCTTACCTACATGTACACAGCGTCGGATCCGGCAGCACAACCAGCCACTCCCCCATTGGGCGCTGCATGATTACACGTATCGACACGCCATAGGAGCATCGCCGTTCCGCCGTTCTAGTATGTACATACTTTACAACCTACTGACCTTTAGGTATATTTGGCTGCTTAAGCTGCTGCAACGGTGCAAGCACACGTGCTTACCTTACCTTATGTGTATGAATATGTACTTGCATTTGCCTTGCGTGTACATTACATTAGCACCAGACATCACTCAACCTCCCTGTCTCCAGGTCCACGCACTTCATATGTAATACTACTACCTACGTACTAACTACCTACAGAGCTGCCATCATTGGCACGAGCAAAACACGCCAAAAACGCTCGTCCTCGTCCGCAATATCTAAGCAGCCAATTACGTCCGGCTGAATGTTTGTAATTTCCATCATTGAAAAAAAGACGCTGCGCTTGTCCAGCCTCCTCCTCCGGCCGGGGCCCAGCCAGTCCCGTCACGTCTCCACCTGCACCTGGGACCTGGACCGCGTTCCTCACATCAAGATGCAAGCTGTTTAAAATTTTCGTCAAGGCTGGGCTCTTGTTTGATTATTATTCTTTCGTCTTCTTTCTTTTGTCCCGTCTTCCCAGTTGGTGTGGCCCCTTGTAAAAGAAAGACAAGACGCCGGCGCAGGCAGGTTGGGGGGGGTTTGGGATCCCTGTCCGACGTCAGGAAGAGCAACTCCGGCGACATGCAGGACGTCCGGGTACGACTCTGCGCTTGCTGATGGCACGGGAAACATGTCCACACTGGTAGCACTACGTAAAAAGGGCGATTCATATTCTGTCTTGCCGTCATCTTTGTAAAATTACCATTGTAGAGTTGGGACTAGCATGTACATGTAGTATGTACGGATCGCGTTCCATCCTCGGCTGGCCCTCGCGACCCATCTCTGACTGGCCGCTCTGCAGCAATTGTCCACGTCAAGCCGCCTCTGAAGAGGTATTACATCTACGTTGCTGTTGATTCTCCCTACCTACATAGGCTGACATGAGGATTTGGCGCTCTGGGCTTGGATTTGCACGCTCAAGGGCAGCCCCCAACGCTACTCGTTCTCCGTGCATTCCTGGCATGTGCGTGCATACATACTACATGTAGGATATCAAGCATGTCGCATATCATGGCGCACTCTTACTCGTTGCTGCGGCCGAGGTCTTGCATCCCCCGGTCTGAGCCGACCTGCAACACCCAAAATTTCAGGCAGACATGCATTGCCGCCAGCACATGACGGGCTTTGCGCACGGGGTGCGTGCATGGTTGCTTCGTACATGGGCGAGCACATGCGAAATTTATTGTGGTGGTTATAGGTTAGCAGGTTGTCGCGAGAATGCAGATGTGCAGACGCGATGCGTGATGCGCCGTAACCTGGGGGTTAGGGTAGTAAATTTAGCGGAGATGTGAAAAGGATGCTCTCTGGGTAAGATGTGACCTGAGTTGATATGAAATGCTCCTTGTTGTGGAGGGTTGAGGCAGATGTTGATTAACGTTGAAGTAAAGTATCGACTCTTTGGCCGCTTATATGACGTCGAAGCTAAGATACAGATCGATTTGAGGTACCTATCTACCTACCCAATATCTATAGCCATAGATCAGTCTCTTGTATCGAAGGGTGCACTCCCCAAAAGATGAGACTACATCAATCGAGCCAATTGACATGTTTCCTGCCCAATTGCATCAACACAATACATGCTCTCTCCCGCCGCAACTTCTCAAACCTTGCAGCATCACAAACATGAACGCTCGAAGCCATTCAACGTCGCCAAAAGAGTGGACCCTGCGAATCTTCCGCTCCGGCCGCCGTCCGTCTTCCGTGCCAAGACCGGCAACCGGGACTTGCATATTCCGAACGCCGTACCTTTGTCGCACCTTGCCGGAATTTTTGCACCTTACCGGAAAAAGTTGGCTTCCGGGGGGATTTTTTTTTTTTCTGTTTGCATGTTCCAGATCTTATCGCAGCCGTTGGGAAGTGGTGATAATTTGCAACTACCTGCTATCACCTCGACAGCGACATCCTTTCTTTTCATCGTCTCGTCTGTTCTTGTTGTTCCAATTGTTTCATAGACGAAGCAAAATGGCTCCTTCAAAAGAAGTTGCCGCGGTCGGCTCGAATGCCGCGGTCACCATTGATCATGCCCAGGTTTGTCCAGCGCCCTCGAGCTTCATGCCGACAAAAGAGATAGAAAAAATTCAAACAATCACCGGCAGCATCAGATTTAGATATCAGAACTGGCCAATTGCCCAAGCTAACCACTCTCTGAACCACCCCAAAACAGACTCTCAAAGCCTCCAAAGCCCTCCTCGCACACATCAAAAAGGCCGCCAAGGAAAAGGCCGAGGCCTCGTCCAAGCGCAACCTTCTCGAAGACGACGACGGCGACTCGGAAAAGACAATCTGGCTGACGCTCACGACCAAGCGCCACATCTCCGACAAGTCCCGCCTGCAGCCGGGCAAGATCCCGCTGCCGCACAGCCTCAACGCGTCGCCCGAGACGACCGTCTGCCTCATCACCGCCGACCCGCAGCGCGCGTACAAGAACATTGTCGCCTCGGACGAGTTCCCCGCCGAGCTGCGCAAGAAGGTCACGCGCGTCATCGACGTGACCAAGCTCAAGGCAAAGTACAGCCAGTACGAGGCCCAGCGCAAGCTCTTTTCCGAGCACGACGTCTTCCTCGGCGACGACCGCATCATCAACCGCCTGCCCAAGATCCTGGGCAAGACCTTCTACAAGACGACGCTCAAGCGCCCCGTCCCCGTCGTGCTCAAGCCAAAGGCCCGCAAGGTCGACGGCAAGCGCGCCAAGCCCCAGAAGAAGGAGGGCGAGGTCAACGCCGGCTCGCCCGCCGAGATTGCAAAGGAGATTGAAAAGGCCCTCGGCTCCGCCCTCGTCAGCCTGTCCCCGAGCACCAACACCGCCGTCCGCGTCGGCTTCTCCGACTGGACCGCCGAGCAGCTGGCCGCCAACGTCGAGGCCGTCGCCGGCACCATTGTCGACAAGTGGGTGCCGCAGCAGTGGCGCAACGTCAAGGGCATCTACATCAAGGGGCCCGAGACGGCCGCCCTGCCCATCTGGCTGACCGACGAGCTCTGGCTGGACGGCAAGGACGTCATCGCCGACGCCGAGGGTGAGGCCCGCGCCCTCAAGGCCGCCGAGAAGGCCAACATTGGCAAGAAGCGCAAGACGGTCGACGGCGAGGAGCAGGCCGAGGCCCCCGCGGCCAAGAAGGCCAAGAAGGCCACCAAGGAGGACAAGGCCAGCGCCGCCAAGGCCGAGAGCAACGACGACAAGCTCGACAAGCAGATCTCGGACCGCAAGCTGAGGCTACGCAAGGCAAAGGCTACGGCCCAGAAGGCGGCGGAAGAGTAAATGCTTGAAAAGACGAAAAGAAAAGAAACTACGGGGAAAAAAAGACTCGGGGCTTGGGAGGGTCAACTTGCTTTTGTTTGCGACATGGAGAGATTCCTTTTACATCATTGATCTGTGTGTATATGCGCATAATAGGATGATTAGGTACCTTAGATATCTGGCACCGGCGTTGCGGCGTACTCGATGGCTACTACGAGAAGAGAGGAGAGCAAAATATGAGATAGAATGGCCATCTTTCATTGGAAACGATACCAGTTGCACCTCCCGGGTTGGTCACCTGATACTTACCGTGTGCTGGCAGAGACACTTTGTTCCTCCAAGGCATCGCATTTTAATTCAGGAGAGTGGCTATCCAGCAGCCCAGCAGAGGAACGAAGGACCACACAAAGAGAAGAAATAAATCAAGGGCGATTGGCTCCACTAGAGCTCCTCTTGCCACAAGCCCGCCACGACCTTGGGCTCTGGGGCAAAGGTCTTGTTCATGGGGCCCAGGAAATCCGACATGGCCTCCTTCAAAACATCGACTGTGATTTGCATGTGCTCGCCTGTGATGGATCGGAATCGGAGGCCGCCCTTTTCGTCCAGTTGGCGAAGGCCAAGCCAATCCTCCTTGTACTGGGTCTGTTTCCGTAGGGGCGTGATTTCCGTGCCGTTGACCTCTGTGAACCACGAAGTCTGCTTGGGGATGACGGTCGTGTCGTCCTCGAACAGATACATGACAAAGTTTGCCAGGCTGGCAATGTTCTTCTTGTACTGTTCGTTCTTGACCGGCCGCTCGTTGTTGATGTCGGCCAAGAAGTTGGAACTTTGGAGATACGAGTCGTAGTTGGTCAGGTCGCGGTAGTACTGCGCAGGCACCAGGCGGCTCTGCACGAAGTTGCTCCAGGTGTTGAACTTGAGCAGAGCCATGGCCGTCTTGCACAGGTAGTCTGTGCTGCCGCACGTCTTGAACTCGGAGATGCCGTTGTGCTGGCTGCCAAAGGTGATGAGGCTTCGGATGGGAGGCTTGTTGCACCGCTCGACGTAGCCGCGGAGGAACTGGCCGCCCTGCGAGAAGCCGATGGCATCGATGGCGGGTGCGGTGGACAGGATCGGATGTGCGGCCAGGGTGTCGCAGACGAACTGAAGCTGCTCGGTCACGTTGCCGAAGAACGTTGCTGACCGGTCCGCGTTTGCGTCTGCGCCGACGGCGATGGCGTAGGCAAATGTCCCGGGATGGATCTCGTCTGCGAGCAAGCCGACGTCCTGGATGCCTTCGGAGTTGTACGTGTCGCCCAAGCCGTGCCAGATGACCAATGGCAACGGCGTATCATCTTCTGGCTCGTCTGTGAAAGGGTGCGGGAGTCTCCAGGCGAGTGTGGAATGGGCCAAGAGGGCCGTCGCCAACAGAGAGGGAGCCGGACGCATGGTAGCGGAGGCCTCGAGGAGTCGAGACACTGATGGATGGAAAGTACTGTTGCTGGATGGGTGAGACCTCTGAGATGTCTTGTATGATCAATGAGAGGCGGATGATGGAGGGAGTCAAGATGACGAAGCAGAGGAGATGGATAAGGTGGAGAGATAACAAGAGGATGGGAGACGCTGATGCCGATGGCAGGGGCGAAGCTGTCGCGGCTTCCTGACATGCGCTCGCGTCGTAATCGCTGCTGACTAACACCCGCTGTAGTCAGTCGCTTCCCCAGAAACTCTAGGCTCCAGGCATGGGGCAGCTGATGAGGATCGCTATACTACTAATACTGGAAGAGGCGCCTACATCTATGGATATGAACTGGTGCTCCGGTTGAAAGAGTTGAAGCATTGACACATTGACACAGTACAATCAGAAGCAGAGAAGATGCAACCGTAGGTCCAGAGCAAAGAAAGTTGGACTGCTAACCGCGCCGTTGGACGAATCGCTTGCAGACAACTTGCCCCTCGCCGTGATGGCTGAAACTGGAGTTTCAAGTCTCCTGTGCCGGCGATTGCGCTTGGGAGTCCAACTGCATGCATGAAACTCAGCCTTGTAGCGTCTGCATAGGTAAGGTAGAGCAATCGGCGACCATTAGCACATGGATGTTTCAAGAAGCGGCCGAATAGGCCAACTTCAGCTCTCAATAGCGTCTGTTCTTCAGCCGCACCCCTGAATCGCTGTTTCAACAGCTTAAAGGAGGGCCTCGCCCACCGTGGTGATGTCGATACTACCTGTAGTAACTCGCTCCTCTCTGTTCTTCATCCACTCTCTACAAATTCATTCTTGTGAGCAACTCGCAACATAATCGGCGTTTCTTCCACTCAATCAATCTTCATACAATCCTACGCTGGACGGCACCGATACCCTTACTCTCCTGGTGCATACCTGCATATATATCCAATTTCAGATTCCCAAACCCAAGCTGAGCTTGCTCCATCTCTCGACAACGAACCTCGGCCCAGCTCAGCTCGAAACACCATGCAGCCGTCTACCCTCTTCCTGACCGCCCTCGCCTCTGCCTCGGTGGCCATGGGTCTCCCGTTCAACCTCTTCCGACCAAACTTCTCAGGCGGCTCCGCACCCGTGAGCAATGCGCCAGCTGTTCCGCAGCTTACCCCCTCCAGCTAAGACTCGGACGCCAATTCTCGGCAGTGGCCATCCAGCATCGGGCGGATTTATGTTTGGTCTTGAATCACCACTATTGATAAGAGCAAAAGAGACATTCTCCCTCATACCACTGGTGCTATCTTTATCTGGCATTGCCATGCGCCTCTGCTTCAAGTATCTAGATTATACACCAGGGGTTAATGAGTGTGTATTCATGGCCGTATAGCCCTGAATTTATAGCCACTCCCTATTCTACGCTTGCTGGTAAACGTGAGGCTGTCAAATGCTTCACCTTTTTTGTCAGAGCTGGCTTGGTTAGCAGATTGGCTTGGAAGGGTCTCGTCTAGGTAGTTTCGTGCACAACAAGTGTAATGATTGTAATACGAATGTCGAGAATCTCCATGAGGCGGCGAATAAGCATGGACATGGAAATATAGGTATCAAATACCCCCGTGTACATACAATCTATATATTTTCGTCACAAGCTCTTGTGCTGTAGAAATTGACCCTTCGACATGTGGTACATTGACAGCCTGCGTCATCACGCGGAGCCGATCCGCGCCCTAGCGGATTCAATTGCGCGCCGGAAAAGCTGGTGCATGTGCAAAGTACCTAAGCTTACCTCTTATTTATCATGGGTGTAGCACAAGCACAAACTTTGAACATCAGCACCACTGTTTGACGACACCACCTCGCAATGGCAGCGATCTAGAATTTCTGTAGACGAGCTGTGGACGACGATTATCTATTCAGTGGAAGCCAATCGCGCCGAACGAAGCTGCACGCCCTCCCTCAAGCTCGAGTCCCACGACCACGAGCTATTCATCAACGGCTGGCAAGGCCTCGAACAGCTCTCGTTCTCTCCCTCTCCGCCCATTCCTCCATCTCCCAGCCACTCAGCCATAAACCATGTCTCCTACCGAACCCGACGCACCGCCGACCGCCTCAAATGGCGACGCAGCAGGTCGCATCGGGCCGCACCCCGGCTACATCTCCAGCTCGAACCAGTACGCCTCGGAGCTTAAGATACGGCGCATGCTCCGGGAGAACGGCTGCGACCCTGCGCGAGAGGATAACTACCGCTTGCAGGGCGTCCAGCTCATAGACACCGTGAGGCAACATCTGAATCTGTGCGTTCGCGTCCCTGCGTGGCCCTCTGGAGCCTCTGGATAGAACTGACCCTTGGGTGGAAAAGCCAGGCCGGTGCGGACGTTTGACACGGCGTGCACGTACTTTCACAAGTTCCGACTCAACTTCCGAGACGCCGAGTATAACTACCAGGACGCGGCTCTGGCGTCGTTGTTCGTCGCGTGCAAAGTCGAGGATACGATCAAAAAGTCGAGGGACATTCTCGCCGCAGCTTACAATGTTAAGAACCCTGACAAGCCTGCGGCGTCGGATGACAAGGTACGTGGAGATTGAGTCTTCTTGTCTTTGTCCAAAGACCAACCATGAGGGCAGATATTCGAATCACCAGGCAAAATCATCATTGGACTCGAGCGCCTGATCCTCGAAACGATCGGCTTCGACTTTCGCACTCGGTACCCCCAGAAGCTGCTCGTCAAGGTCGTGCGTAGCATTCTCGGCCGCGAGGCAGGCGAGTCCTTCTTCAAGATTGCCTACGCCATGAGCATCGACATGTACAAGACGTTTGTGCCCATCAAGCGCACCACCTTCTCCATGGTAATGGCCCTGGTAGAGCTCACGGCTCGCATGACGGGCCAGCATCTGGACGCGGTCAAGGAGTTTGCGGCGCGGCGGCCACAGTACCATCGGCCGGCCGTTCTCGAGACCATGCTCGATATACTGGACCTCTATGTTCAATACCACAAGTCGACCAAGGTGGGCACGCAATTTGACCTGAACCGCTTTATGGACATCAAGATTGCCCTCAACACGGAGCTCGAGAAAGACTTCATCTCTCGGCACATGTACCACTGCAGTCGTTGCGAAAATGAGGACCCGACCCCCGTCACCCCCGGCTCTGCCACTTCACCCACAGCAACATCGTCTGCGTGGCCGGGCGACCTATCTATGAGACGAACGGCTCGCGGCCAGGATGGCACCATGCGGTTCGTGTTCGACCCCGAGGCTGCCCGAGAAGAGCAAGACACAGTAGCGCCTTACTTTACCGAAGAGTTTGAGGAGTACGAGGTCGAAGTGGAAGAGCCCATACCGCCACCCAGACATGAGCATGATGGAGGCGGACGAGGGGGATATCGCGGACACGGTCACGGGCCTCGAGATCGGAGTGACTACAGGCGGGGAGGCTCGTATGGGGGCGGATACAGAGGCGCGGACAGGCACTATCGGGGGAGAAGATATCATTGATTCATGACCCATGACTGGTTGTTGAGTGTCATCAATGTCGGTCTGCCTTGGTTGGCGGATGATTATGTAGAAGCTCTATGTGAGACGATAGATGTGTTTAGCAGGCTTCCTAGCAAGGACATGAAACGCTGACGCACACATCAAACAAGCCTGAGACTTTTCTCGTAACAAAAATAACAAGCATCGTGATGCTGATTGATGGACGACAGCTAGAAGAGAGATAAGGCAGAGCGCATCACGAAACAAAGGGGTAAAAAAGGTCAAAAAAATTAGCCACCCGAAATCTCAATCATATGACTTGAATATAGGAAAAGCCCGATGCGGGGGTCGAACCCGCAACCTTGAGATTGCATCAGAACGTGTTCTCGATTAAGAGTCTCACGCTCTACCGATTGAGCTAACCGGGCGGTCACGTGACCTGGTTATTGACCAATCACGGGTCACCGATTGAGCTCGAGGCGGCTTGTTGACAAGAGAGTGGAATTTTGCTCTATAGCCTATTGGCCAAGGGCTGAATTTTCTCCACTTCATTGGGTGGGAGTCTCGCGCTCTCACGGAAAGAACCCGTTGCGACTTCTTGATTGCTCTTTGCTCCCGAACTTTGACCGATGTGCCGTCAGATGTCACGCGGCATAGATATAACCTAACCTGGTGTATCGGGGATTCTCTTTACGATTGAACGTCTAGAAGCTTTTTTAACGGGAAGCTTGTCGCGGTATGTGGTGAGGAAGATGCTTGCGTCGAGAAGTTGCGATATGGAAATAGGGACTGCGTCTATATATGTATGTACCTAGAGGAGGCAAGGAGGATATCTTGCTTGTGAGAGAGCCAGTACCTCAGGTGGGTATGGAAGGTTGGGGTAGGGGGTTCTGACAGGGAATATCCAAACATTACATCCGCCACCCGTCACTGCTGTTGCTCTTCATTATTCACGCCTGTTTTCATTGATCCTGGACATCTCTATCTGTTCCTCCAATGCGTGATCGAACACGAGCAGCAACACCAGCGATCATGAAGAGCGTTCTTCTTGTACCATTCTCAAATACGTAGTTCTAAATCTCCATGCTAATCGTCCAGTCCACACTGTCTATTTAGTACCGGCACTGAGCCTCCGCGGCAGCCCCCTCCGACCCGTCAGTCGTGGAGAGTGAGTGTCTTTACAGCATGTGGGTATTTATGTAGGTATTGCACGATCTGATACCTAAAGGGGAGTGGCTATCCAGAAACCCAAGTTCATATATACAGGGTCAACACGCTGGTAAGAGTAATCAGCTACCTTTCATTTCAAGACTCTCAAAGTTGCTCATGCAGAGATTAGAGAGAAGTAGCGAATAGTAGCAGAGAGTAGATTCTCCTATAAATTTGTAGCAGCAACAGCAGCAGCAGCAGCAGAAATCGAGGTGTAAAGCTGACGGGATGCTGGATACCTACATGTAGGTAGCCATCCCCTAACTTAAGTACCTACCTACCAGATCTGGCTCTGCAGCGGAGGCAGATGTGGATCCTGCTGCCGGGTCCGAAGCTGTGGCGATCCGTGATCTCGTTCTCCGGTGAGTGGGGGCCTGACTTCCAGAGCCTGGTCTGGGGGATGGGGGCAACCACGGTGGCCGGCCTGGCCGAGGCGAATTTCCATGGTCCTGAGATCCCGACGGAGATCTAAAGGGGTCTTTCTACGGCAACATACACAACACGGCTTCCACGCCGGAAGTGTTGCCGTTACGGATTTTGATGGAATGAATAGGTCTTGAAGGAAATGGATGGGATGACGCGTTGATGGGTTGCACAGGTTGACACACTAGGAGGATGTGGGCGACACTTAGCTCTAACTGGCTACGTGGCCACACTCTCCACCACCTGTGAGACGCGGGCGCGTCGTGGACGAATTGTTCCGGATGCAATGAAACACTGATGACCCCCTGTCTCGGTCACCATGAAGGAGATGCAGGGGATTTCAGTGGAAAAGAGATCTTGACGCAATAATTGATCAAATTGACTAGCTAGTATGTGTGTGTGTGGAAGCAAGAGTCTGGATTCCTGGGGCCTCTACGTGGCTTTTTGTTGACCTTCCCTGGGGTTACGTGACCGACCTCTGTGGAAGGGGCTCTCAGCCTATTGATCTTGCCGTCCCATTCACTACCTACCTTACTTGGCGAAGAAAACTCCCAGCCAAGCCGGCAATTGAATTGTGAAAACGACGTATGTGCCCATGTTGCACGGTCTAGGTATGGAAGGGTGGGAGGCAAAAGGAAATGGATGCCCCTGTCTTTTGGCTTTGTCGTGACTTCCACGACGTCAAGGGCCGCATGAGGGGCCATGACACCTCTCGTCGCCCGGGGTCATGTTTGTCTTCCTTTTCCGCACACATTCGATACCAGCTGCGTACGTCAATCATTGTTGGCCTCTTCTGTTGGCCTTTTGCCGTGATCCTTAGAGCTCTGGATTCTCTCTTTTCTTGTCCATCAGTACCTACTCAACGGCACCATCCGAGTGTCCCCCCCTCCTCGGCCCCGGCCCCAACAATAGAGGGTCCTCCCGGCAGCCCTCCAGGAAACCAGGAGTGAGTTCTTGGTCATGACACACATAGACGTGACATGATATAACAAACCCCATTCACACATAGTCTTGAGGCACAAACACCTCAGAACACCGGCTCGCCAAGACGCCAGCTCTCCCTACCCACCTGGGGGCAGTTGTAAGTCTAATTATACTGTTCTTGTTCATATATTTGACTTTAGTACTAAAGGAAATTCATAGATAGAATACGGGGAGAAAGGAAGTTGCGGCGGTGGCAGCAGTTTTATGGTTATTCTTACTACCTATCTTGATGCTTTCTGGGGGTTTCAAGAACTCTGGTTACAACGAAGAACTCCGCACTTGTCAGGCTTATGAACGGCTCTTGATATTCGAATGGGACGTTGTGTGTGCAACCGGGATGGTAGTTTTCTTCTTCGGCCGAGGAAATGTTCGGATCCCAAACCCGGTTGACGCACGAGTTTGGTGTATCAGATCGATAAGGATTCTCTCTTTACGTCTACCTAGATTTATGAGGATATGGATGATGAGACCATCCACCAGTCGCGAACCGAAGCATTCCAACATGTCTAGAGGGAACATTATGATTAGGGCAATTAGGATGAATCATTCTGATGTGGATGAATTTGTGCAGGTAGCTGAATCAGATCTACCCTCTTCTACTAGGTCTATTAATCAGACATACTCTCTTCTATTAGATCGATCTCTCAGATATACCTACTCACTTCTATTAAGTCTGTCTATATGTACTCACGCAAGAAGTTGCGCCATGAAAGTTGACTTGTATCTACGTGCCAAGTAGGTACACAGTGACCGAACAGAGAACATGAGACTCAAAGCCAGCCATGACTGAAGTTCCAGCCGAGAGAGGGATTTAGGCCAACTTCTGGCAATCCACAAGACGTCTGGCTAGGTTACTTAATAGGTCAGAGGAGATGTATAGTCTCTAGAAACCGTACGATTCTCTTCTTAGCAATCATCATGCTGTCATGGTTGCATAATATTTTAGAGAGCAAGCAGAGACAATCATTGCTTTTAGTCTGAATTACGTCATGCTCTGAGATGTCTTATATATAAGAGCTGACTGACCGAGTGCATTATTATTTTTATCATTCCTGTAAATCCAGCACGATATCTGATTGTTGGAACCATCTAGTACTGCCAGTTACATATATCAACCACTACGACACAATGGGTTGCGATTGCGGATCAACTTGCGGCTGCAGCGGCCCCAGCACTTGTAGCTGTGGGCAAAACTGCCAATGCAAGAATTGCGGTGTAAGTTACGAGTCACCCCATTTGCCAAAAGGGAAGAAATCATTGACTCGAGATGTTGCAGCATTAATACCTAACGCAGTTGAAAAGCGGTAGGCTACATGTATCGTACCTATGGACGTTTGTGAATGACACGCTGCATCTACCTTCTCTTATACCAATGAGGCGGGGGTGATGTGTCTTTCACAAGATACCTGGGTTTCAGTCAACTATGATGGCTATTTCGTATGCCTTATAGCAGTCAATAAAATGTAGCTTAACGCTTTCATGCAAAACGCAATGGTCAAACGCAGACTGGAATTTCATAAGGCGATGAGATCGGTTACTTTACGTACACCACCTGCAAGTTTCCTAAGTAGGTCGCGTATGTAGGAAAAAGGCAACTGATGCTTATGATCGTTCTTGTACAAACATAATTGGAGGACACTTACAGCTGTAGCATCACCACGTTCCTGTCTGCCGCAGTGGGTTCGTGTAGCCGGAGGATTGCGCCGCAGAGGTGATATGTGTAGTATCCCTCCTGCTTATGTCGCCAGACAGTAATGGCAGCAGGTTTCTATACCGATTTTACGTCTAGAAGTTCAGTGGGGGACCGCAATGATGTCTGCATAAGGTATGATCAGATTTGGCAAGTTTCATGCTTCACGTTTGCTGATGACGGCAAGCAAGGTTGAGCCCCGAGATACTCGGGCCCCATCGTAAGCATTTTATCTCTACTATCTGTGAGATACTAATAATTGGAGGTAGAATCCTACCGTTAACCGGATAGATACGCGGGGGAGATCGGTGGAGTACATGTAGGGTGGTAATTATTTTCTGCAGGATGTCAAACATAGGGCGCAAGAGAAAGGCGTCGCAAGCCTCAAGGTGCTTTTGAGCGGCTGGAAGTGAACCCGGTTCTCGAAATCTCTCATGGGCGGCGGTCAACGCAGTGATTGCTCTATTGCCGCGTGTTGTGCTGGCTTTGTTACCATGCTCTACTCTACATCAAGCCGCCGTCAAGCACTGCCGATGCGCTGCTCGTTGGGATCATCTTCTCGTCGACAACCCAAGTAATATTATCGCAGGCTTGGAGAGAAACACCTCAATGATGGTCTGCGTTGGCGTAGCACGCTGATAGAGTAAGAAGACGATGCAAGAAACAGCATAGACATAGAGCTGCTAAGGCACCCGATGAACGCTCGTCTAGACTACATAGAGCAAATAACACGGAGAGGGGTTTTCACATAGACTTGCAATCAGTGGCCTTTCAATCCTCCCTCTTCGTCCACGGGCTCATAGCGTCCAGAAACCTGATATGCGCATCTGCATCCCCGGTCCTCTTCAGCACCTCCTTATACTCCTCGTCCCCCAGACGCTTGTAGAAGAGCAGGATGCCTGCCCACATGATATCAGTGTAGCTGACCGTATCTCCCATAAAGTAAGGCCCGGAGGGAGTCTCGTTCAGCAGCTCCGTGATCTGACGCGCAAACGGCTCCGCCCTGTCGAAAGCCCCGGGACCTTGGGTCTTGCTATATTCTTCCAGCGACATGCCCACGTCCTCCTCACGGGTGGCGTGGAAGTAGGGGAGGCTTCTCTGGCCGAGAAGGCGCTGCGCTACGAGCGGGACAAAGACTGGCCTGAGCTGGGTCATGAAGTTGATGAGGAGAGGCGTGAACCTGAGCTGCACGGGCGTGTTCAACGGGAGTTTGGGCTCTGGGTGCTTCTCATTGATGACGTCGGCAATCTTGTACGAGTCCATCACGTAGGAGCCGTCGGGCAGTTGTATGGCTGGGAGTTGATACTGGCGGCCTTCTTGGTTGGGAGGGACACTGGGGGGTTGTCAACTGATCCGTTATGTGTACACCGTTCCCCTGATCCAGCGTATTACTTACTGCGGTTCGAGTCGCGGCTTGATATCTGGATATTCAACCTGGCGTTGTGAGTATCACTTGTTCAGCGCGTCTATCCTGATCCTGCTCACCCATTCCGTCTTGTAATCGAGGCCCTTGTAGTTCAAGAGTAGCCTCGCTGTCAATCGCTGGTTAGCACTCTGAGTTTGGGGACATTCTTCACTGGACTGACTTACTCCTCCAGGTGTTCATCGACCAGCAAACCCGGGGTTCCTTGGTGGGGATGTCGAGGAGTGTGTAAGTGCCGGACGACATTTTGTAGGCTGCTGTTCTCTACGTAAAAGATTGGAGAAGCATGCAATTCCACATCAAGCTGAGGATTGGACTGATATATGAATCTGATAACAGTACTGAATCAGAGTGATGGTTGATAAACCCCTCGCGCGCATGGCCATGAATCCTTGCATCATTTTAGGCATAGTAGGCCCATAACTTACATGTATCCACGATCCTACGCTTCCCCTCACCTTTCGATCCGATCATGGAGCCAGGCTAGGGGACGAATGGAGTGACATGAGTCGCTGAGAATCGATCGACAGAAGTCGAGTCGTGGTTCTGGAAGTGTCCAAATGGGGGAGCTTACAAATGGCTCAGAGCGAAAACGATGCACACCAAACAACATTGGGAATAAGACGGGCAATACTGATGCCATCTTGAATTATCTCCTTCGAGATACTGATTAGCTGCATGTGATTTCCATTCTCTGTTTTCCCCGACACCCAAAAGATCATTGCCTTTTATGTGGTCAGAGCGTTGTCCTATGTTCTCAATCGGGCCATTCAAGCTGCTGCTTCGTCGACACTCCATCATCGCCATCTACCCTCTACCGATCGTGCTCTTCAAGACGCGGTGGACAAGCCGCATTCCTGCACAGGAACCTGCGTAGCCACAGCGTCCACATGCCCCCATTCTTCAGCATGGCCGTCGGTGAGATTGTTCAACGCATCCAAGGCAATGTTATAGCCGCCATCATAAGCGGCGTCAATGGCTAGGATATGGATGCTGCGACCTCCATACTCCAACCTGTGGCAAGTACCGCATGTGGTAGAGTTCCATTCAATGCCTTGGACGCCGCCAATGTAGGGGAAGTTGGTCACTTGCCCCTGAGTCTGCCAATGGAATCTTGTTATGATGCCATTGACACCGTCGGAGCACGATACACTAGCCAAGGGACGTGAGGCATCGTCATACCCAGTGTCGTACGAAACTGAACTCGTTAGTTTATCGTCCAGAGTCAAGTGCCGAGACTTTTCTTCATACCACGAGTGGCAGTTGTACCGGCGGCCAAAAGAACGGCCGTCAACAATTGGGCGAGTTGCATGTTAAGGATCCTTATATTTGAGCTTGTTGTAGAAATGCTGATGGAGATGCTGGAGAGTCTGGATAGCTCGAAGGGGTAAAACGGAAGGAATCATAGAGGACAGCCATCATTTTATAGCCGGATACTTCTTGACGAGGGGTTCCTCTCATGCCTCGAAAATGTCACTGCTACAAAGGGAGAGGGATCGCTCCTCTAGCTTGAGGCTTTTCTTCGCGGCCTTGTGTTTCTCCTAGTCGGTGAAAGATTGAGAGTCATGCTGGTACGATTCTTGGAGCATTCCCAGGCCTAAGAGGCGTTCGCCGAAGACGGCACAACGATGTGATATCGCCACGAGCCAACAATGCTGGTACCTCTTGAGGTCTAAACGTAGATATGTTTCTTTCTATTCGAGAACTCGTACTTATCGTGAAGGAGCGAGACTAAGACTCTGGGTCTATACGAGGGTGGCACAACCAGTACATGTGAAGATGCGGTGTCCTAGTCTTGGGGACATGATCATGTTGAGGGTAGTAAATTGAGACATTGATTTGCCCTGCATGAGACTTTGCTGCAAGTGCATGTACGTTCGGACTGTTTGTCGATTTCACGGGCGTATATCGTATCAGAGTGCATATACAGGGTTGATAGCAAAGTTTAGCCTACCGAAGAAACGCATTGATCACAGATTCTGGCCCAATGCATGTATACAGTTCCCCCTGGAGAAGAGAAACTCACAGAGTCACAAGTAATGCAGATTGGCGGTTCGATAGAGGGCCAGAAACCAGAAGATCGGGACTTGAGACATGTGAGAGACAACTGCATCAAAAAAGAGGACCATGCGATCTGAACTGAGACCATAGCCCCATAATCATACAAGTGTGTCTGAAGACTGGCCTATAGATAGCAGCTGAACAAAGCAGAAGACTGGACTAGAAACGCATAGTATAGCAGAGATTAGCCACGCCGGATCTTAGAAGAGAACGACAGCAATACCAGAAGAATGTTCCATAAGAGGCGTTACTCCAAGACCCTATGGGCAACACATAATGCACGCAACGCAGGCACTTGGTTGCGCCACGAGGGAAAGACGCCGAAAGTTTACGGCATTGAGGATGATTGCAACAGGCAAAACGTCACATTTACGAGCCCAATTGAATCCTCCGGACATATAAATATAGGAAGGTTATCTGGAGATTCTCGACCATTATATCTACCTACTTGAACAAAAATCTATCAAGCACATGTGCTCTCATCATCCTGCTAGTCATGTCAGCTCTCACGGCCACATCCGCCAACATGGACCTTGGAAAGCGTCTGGACAATCCTCCCTGCACGCACTACTATCCTTGCACGTGCCCTTTGCTCCCCCAGTACGCTCAACGGCGCGTGCTAAGCGACGACTGGTCACCAACATGGCCGCGAGAATTCCGTTTCCATGAAGATGATAACGCTCATATAGCCGCTCAGATGCAAAAGAAGCGTTGGCTATACGCGATGAAGAACATGAGGACCTTCATGACACATCTTCTGTTCAACACGCCTCGAACCCCTGAAGTTCCGCCCAAGACGCGATCTTTCCGATGGCTCATGTCGTCCCATCACGTTCCCCAGAACCACCAAGGCGGGCATCCACCTTGGCGCATGCTTGTGCAACATTTCTGCTATGACCTTCCTATGGAACTCAAGTGGAATCAGGATTCATGGTGCTTGAAGTCATGGAAACGCTGGCCAGTGTACTCAAAGATGTACCAACGTCCAACAAGTCCCGTGAACGCGCCACCCGAAATAACCTGCGCCAAACGACTGACCTTTTCGATGGTCACTGAAGAGACTCTTTTCAAAGAGACCCGGATCCTGAATGGACACTGGCTTGTCATTGTTTATATCTGGGCCACTGACGTTGAATGGCTAAAGAAGGCCAAAGTGTCGGATTTGGTTTCCTTCAGCAGTGTTATAGGGTGGGTTATCCGAAGACTGAACTCTCTTCGCTGCAGTGTTGCTGACAGACGCTCATATCTTGTAGCATACGCGCTTGGGAATGGGTCGACGCGGTTGACAGTTCCACAAAGAATCCCTATCTGTTCTATGAGCTTGAGCGAGAGGAAGACGGCACACTGAAGAATACGGTGTTCGGTGGACAAGCATACACACAGCATGATACGGTTCCAATAAAGCCAGGCGACCCTGTGCCGCCCAGGCTGGCTGGGATCCGCCGTCTACTGAACAAGGAAGGGCGAGAGCTGATTTGTGCTGAATGGGAAGAATTGGACGATTCGGGGAACCTGGTACAGTGAAGCAACTCAAGCGATCTCCCAGACAGAGATCATGTTATCTAGATGGAAACACTCATCCTCATATGGAATATACATGTCGTGACATGGAGTCACTCGCGATCTCATATAGGCCCAATGAAAACATAACATCCGAGCCAGAGCGAACTGCAAGTGCTGCCAAGCCCTACAACCCTATATGCTTCCTTCTTCTATGTATTTTGAATGATATTGGAGATGTAATATTTGCAATAACAGCACCTCCCATAAAGAGCTCCGGGAGCTTACGCAAACGCAGGATCAGGCCCTTTAGCAAGTCCGATATAAGTCTCCATCTGCATCCGCCACCACTCCACATCTTCCCGCCGGCTCATGAAGGAGATATAACCGCTTGGCTGAGTATTATTAGCCACAAATACATTGTTCGTGCCAGTCAAGGAAGTTCGAACAGACGGGCCACCGGACGCCGTAAGCGTCATCTGCCACTCGTTGCTCAGTAGAAAAGACATGAACAGCTTGGAACTCTCCGGGCGAGGCGTCGAGGCGAAGATTGCCGCTTGTTGAGCCCAAGTCATGAACTGATCCGGAGCCTCGGGCTGTGAGACCTGCAGAAAAGACGTCGATGGTGTGAATCCTCCCAGTGCAGAGAACGTCAGGACTCTTGAGCCTTTGCGAGACGCGTGGTTGCTGATGATTGCGCCTGTAGCGGCTGCGGCACCGCGCACCCACATGACGTCTTGTTTGAGCAGAGAGTCCAGCCACTGGAATCCGTATCGCTCGATGATGAGGGTGAAGAGATACAGGACGCCGTCATCGTCATTTGGGTAAGTGAGGACGAGTTTGCCTTTCCAGAAGGGGTCCAGGACGTCGGCATACGTCTTTGGCACCTGGTGCTTCTCGACAATGGTTGAATCATAGTAGAAAGGGCCAAATTGGTCTAAAGACAGCAACACGCGTGTTAGTACCTGTATGCATAGGCGTAGTGCTCATAGGAGGGGAAGACGCACTGTAGTTGACAGGCAGATACGCCCCGTCAATGTGTTTGATGGCCAGATTGATATCGCTGTAGTTGGCTGGCTTGTAATGCAAGAGACGCTGCTGTTTATCCCATCGAGGAAAGTCGTGCACCGTCTGCAAGAGGGCAACGTCGATGAACGGGTTGCCCTCTATGTAGCTTCGATCGATACGTGAGTCGGCATATTTGGACAAATCGGCCGTGATGTTGATGGCAACGTCGGGGAATCGTTGACGGAAAGCATTGAGCATTGGCTCAGCCGCTGCCTGTGCTGTTGCCTCACTTCATAAGTATCCAGTCTCAGCTGCATGGAGGAATACAGCTCGTACAACTACCGCCAAAGTAGACGTTCAAGATGCCGCGCTCATGCTTCGCACTCTGGTAAATCTCATCCAAAGACCTTGTCTCAATTTCTGTGCTATGAGATAGGACGCCAGTCGAATAGATGAGGCCAGCGCCCAACAGCGCAGACTGCAATCGCTTCAAAGAGAACATGGCGATGAAGGAGATGAATGAAGGAACCCGAGCCTTTCTGTGGTTGTTCAACAGCCCTCCATGGCAATGAGGCATAGTGATATTTACCTCCCCACGACATCGATCAACACGACGAGGCATCGACATCATCTCGATGTGTCAGAGCTGATTCAGGAGGCCATTGCGACTCCAATTTGTCATCTGCATGCGGTATGGACTCAGGACTTCCGCAATACCCGCCTTGACCCTTTGTAACATCTGTATAAGCCCGAGACAGGGGGTTTCTATCAGTCTACGTGCAGAAACCTGTAGACACAGGGCCTTTGATCCTCTACTAGACAGACCTAAGACTCATATATTATCTCGGCATATCGATCTCTATTACCACCCCATCTATGTACTGGGCTTAATCGCATCTGACCAGTATTTGGCTATATACTCTATATTGCTATTCCTGTAATAGCCGAGCCTTCATACCTCGCTTCCGCTACGGCCATATATAAAGGACGGTCTATTGTCATGATACAACACATTTATGCTACGTCGACTACAGACCGAAATGGCCGCGTCGTTTAAAACCTCCTTGCATGGAATCCGTCGCTGGGCTGGAAAGGCTTGCCAAACTACATAGCCCCAGGAGCAGATTATAGTAGCTTGACAAATCCCGATGGTCATCTTTCGGCCTCTCTGCGTATTCAACGCCTTTTACAAACGTGGCTGACTTGTTGTATTTCTTCGCAGAAGGGATCGCTTACGCCGCTGGAATTGCCGATCAGGGATGCCGGCTGCGACTCCGAATGGCTGACCGCTGGGTGATTACAAAGTACTAGTCTAGTACCGGCAATTGCAAGTCACAGACCCTGCTTGTCTGTCAGTGGTATCAAGAGGAATACTTGGATGTAATCTTATCAGATTACAGCCATGTCCCAAGAGCTCATAATCGGAGCTCGAGCTCGCCGTCAAGAATATTATCAGTATCAGTATAGACGCCCCAGATAGCACTGTGAATATGAGTAGAATGAGAGCTTATCGTGTACTCCAGATGAATGTATTCAAGCCCCCAGCTGAAAGCTGACTTCGACGCATCACTATTCCTGATATCACTTGTTGACCGCTATCAGTTGCCCATTGGCAAATGTGGTAATTCATCGAGCTGCTTGAGATCATTCTCCAAGTTGAAAACGAAGCTCTTTCGACAGAAAGCAATACATACAGCGGACTCAATCGTGTTGTCCCAACGCGCAAAAGGCCCCACGTAGCTCAGATCTTCAGGTGACTCTTACATTTATCCAGATGATAGATTGACCGGACGAAGTAGACAGATCGTTGTAGGCTCGTATATACGACAGCCTCAAGGAAGAGCATACACAGCCCATCCAAAGACAAGAAGAATTGCTCTCCAAGGAGCTGCAAGAGAAGAGAGGCTCTCATAACAGTCTGCATTGCTTAACTTGATAGATTACAACGATGAACGCTCAAAGGCGTCGCTAAATAGAGGCACAAAGCTCACTGGACAATCCTTCGGGCAGCTAAACCGAACTTTGAAGGTTTCGTCATGCTGATTAATGATGCGGCCATGGGAGGAGAGCTAGAAACAATCAACAACAATGCGGAATAGTTCTTTGCGAGTCTTGACACCGTCTTGAGTGCCTTGCTCAGAGAAAGTTGGTTGCACCGTTCTTCGTCTTTCTCGTTTCCAGATGAGGGCTCAGGCAGTCAGTTCAAGGCAACCAAAGCAACGTCGCGGACAATAGTATGCAGTCCTCTGGATCAGCTTTTGTAGGACCTCGCAGGTTTAACTCGAGATAAGGGCGCCTGCTTGTCCAAGTCCATGAGACGCATGGCTCGTGGGCATTTCCGTCACTGAGTAACGTCCAGTAGATTGGCAGTCTTGAAACCGAAGATGCTCACCGGGCTATCATACCTAACAGGCAGTGCTGAGCAGATCGCACTGCGTGTGTTGAGATTATTCCGCTTGATTGCGGCTGGAGTGCAAAAGAGAGAGACTTTGCACAACACCGAGCACCAATGCAACCCTATTGTGGCTGAGTCGTGATTGTCGGATTCCTGAATGCAGGGCGCGCGCGGCCTCGTAGCGGGAGGCAATAATGCATATCAGAGGAAGCAAAGCATATGAAGACGAGGGTATAGCGATAGTAGCAGACACAGTCGTTCCTCGAGCTAACGAGGGTTTCAACAGAGCATGAAAAGGCTGGAATGCCGGGGTAGTTGATGGTGCTAGATAGGTACCTGGCCACCGCTTGCTACCTACATGTAGGTAGTAGAGAGATGTGCGAAGCAATTAGTAACACAATCGTTGTCTGCAGTGGTTAACAACACATTCGTTCAGCCTCAAAGCGCATTGGTGCCTAAAGTCATCATTGCAAAAAACTTGCATGTGCAAGGAAAAGGAATAAGGCTGTGGGATCTAGCTTGCATGGGGGTAAAGCTCTGATGATCACGCCTTTGTCCTCTCTACCTACCTATGGAAGCTTGCATGTTCAGTACTTTTCAATGTTTGTTCAACCATCACAATGGAGGCTGCCGTGGAAGAGCACTTGAGCAAAATCATCGAACTATCGCCAGCGAAGCCCGTTGACCAGCTTATTGCGGACCAGAAACTGATTCTTGGATTGCTGCAGAAGAGGTTTGAGCATCTCTCTGACGTACCACAGATTGCCGAAAAGCTGTGGCTTTCGACTGACAATGCCTGGGCTGGCTCTGACCAAGAGCCAATAGCACCGCGGGATCAGTCCCTTGGGACCGAGTTCTTGAACACGCTTATACCATGTGGAACTTCCGTCACAAGCATTCACGCAAACGCCAGAGGCCGAGGGATGAGGCACAGTTCTGATGAAGACACATTGATGGAATGGGTTACGGAAGAGAATTTGGTCATTGCTCGTCAGATCCTTGAGGACTGGATTTGCGAATCGAATAGACACTCCTCGCCATGGGCAGAAGCCTTTTCGAGCGACACCCTGGACAACAGGGAACTTGACCGGGAAGAATGGGTACGCCAAGTGCATGAGAGGTGGCCGAAGGCCTGGGACTTTTCCCCTCTCGGAGAGCCAGATCGCAACTATGGAAACACAACAAGAGCCTACTATGCTTGTCCAAACATGAGCAGGATTAGCGATCCCGTCAGCTACACTCCGATGGAGGCCCCAATCCAGGTACGAAGCCAATCCGTGCAGTATACATAGGTAAGGGTGTCCTAACGCGTCCCATAATACAGAGACTTCTCGAAGTGCCAGAAGGACAGTCCATCTGTGGAATAATCTGGTTGGTATACTCTTGACCCTCTCCAGGTTGGATATGTTCAGGAAGCACTGATATGCAAGCTGTAGCCGAGTCTCTGTCAACCGTTCAACCGCGATTATCGACTACGAGACAATAGCAACTGCCATTTGTTTTGGAAAAGGCACGCAGCTGAGGCCAGAATGCAAACACGACTTCCTCGATGCACATGTTTCCGAATGGCGCGAGAGATCTGTGCATCAAAGGTGTGGGCTCAGAGACTTCCAAAGCTCTCAGCATGCTATAACGCGTGATCATAGGCTGCCTGGCTCTCACAAGTATGGAGTGTTCATGCATTACATGAGGTCCTTTACGATTATGGATTTTGAGGAAACGCCAGTCATCAAGGGCGGCCCAGCCACGGGGCTCAAGTGCAAAAGAGAGAAGATCGGGTTCAAAGCTTTCTACAGCGAGGACACGGAATGCTTGGTTGAGCGACGCTACTCGACAGCTCTCAGCATCTTCCCCATACACTCGCCTAGTGGACATTATGTGTTGCTATCGCTGATTGATGCCGGGGAGCACGAATACGGCGTATGGAGTCACAGTCCCACGAACGACATTACGAGTTACAACAGATGGAAGCCCTGGAAGCGCTACGGGATATATCCCGCGGCCGTCTACAGCGGTGTTTCAGTCTTTCAGCTTCAGATATGTTCCTTTATCGAATCCTGGGAAAATGACTGGAACACCACAATAAGTCGGATCAACCAAATGGTGTCTGTTAAGGTGAGAAGCAGTCGTGCGTATTCTCAAAAGGCAAAAGAGAGAGAACTGATTCAGTCAGCTTGACGTACTCAACGACGACAAGCGTTTGAGAGAGCTGGTGCTGGATACAAACCCTACCGACTTGGTGTTATACTTCAAGGTTCTCCAGATGCTCGGAAGAATAGATGACATTATCCAAGCGGATACTGCCCGTCTCGAGTCCCTTTCCGAGAACGTTCGGAACCCCCTCATTACGGACCACTGGTGGCAAAAGACCTACAAGCACAATGAAGATACACAACGGATCCTCGAGTACAACTGGGACCTAGTACGGAAACGTCAGCAAAGAGCGACTGACAGGCTATGCGGCATGATTAAGCAGACAAAGGAGGAGGTCAAGGGGCTCATGGATGGCGTAAGTTTCACTGCAAGCCTTATGACACGATATTCCTGCTAACTACAACTCAATAGCTGTACAATGTTCAATCAGTTACAGAGGCCCAGAAGACCAGGGTTCTCAGCAAGTACCTCATGGTATTCACGATTGTCACCGTCATTTTCCTTCCTCCCACTTTTGCTGCGGTAAGTTTGCGATATATATATATATATATATACATATACCACGACTGAACTCTTCTTATTGACATGCCTCCAGACCTTTTTTGGGATGGATGCCTTCCAATCAGTCGAGACGGCTTCCACCCAGAGGACGTTCTGGACGGTTCTGGGGATACTGTCTGGCCTGACATATGTCATTGCAGGAATCGGACTGTTTGGGGCCAAGGCTTCCACTCAACTCAGAGCAGAAAGGAAGGACAGGTCCAAAACACATGGAACAAGAGGGACCTTGCAATCTAGGCGCGAGGAGGAAAATTTCTCTGAGATTAGGATAGTAAGCTTATGGTTCGAAAAGCTGAAGGGGGTTTGGATCTTTGAGATGTTTGGGATGGTGTCTAGCTCAAGGCCGAGCACGCAGGAGGATTTTGAGAGGGTATAGCATGATTAGCGAATGACTGGCCAGGACGTGTGCATCTCAATCTCAATGTAATATATGGGGGAAAGCCGGGTGAACTCGCATTGTGAGCTGGTTTGAGCAACTCCAGGTTGGTTTATTTCCTGGGCGATTTCGCGAGCATTTTCAGCCAGAACTTGCTCTGTGGGCCACGGTAGAGCCTCAGGGGTAAAGGTTCGAACTGATCCTACTTATGCATAGAGATTCACTGTGACAAAAGCCCGATGATTCCGTGGCTTTGCTAGCGGCCCTCAGCTTCTAAGATCCCGCAGCCTCCGGGCCAGGGCCGGACCCGGAAGCCGGAGCTCTCCACTATTGTCCCGGACTCTGGATTCTCAGGCACCGCGCTGGCTTCAGCGAAATGATATATGTGAAACAGAAGAGAAGGGATGCAATAAAAGGTGTAGCCATGGGCAGCTTGCAGTTGAGGACATATAGCTTGTATTTGCATCTCTGCTATGCCGCATTTCTTTCCAGTTGGAATGAAAATCCCGTGCAGTTTATTAGGTATAGTATCGTTGTGCATCACACGCTGTATAATAGACGCAACATATCTCAATGAAGCCATCCACGAACAGAGGCTTCAACTACTAGGTCGGTTTCTTTGGGGGTTTTCCTCTTCGTCTCTTGACTAGGTACAGTAAGATGCTTTTAGATTATTGATTAATTTCTTGCTGTTTCGATTTTTATAGTCTGCAAGTTGAGATCAAGAAAAAGGGCATCCTAATGACGTACATCTCCATATAAGTGTCCATCTCATACAGTACGAGCCCACACTAGGTAGATGGGCGCAAAACCTCCCCGCTATAGCCGCCCCAAATCCGCACTCTACCTTGATATTTCCAATACTCATTCATCCCCCTCCTCCTTCTTCTTCGCCATCATCACGACCCGTCAACCACCTCCCGCCATGCCTCGGAAACTCACCTTCCCAACCTCCTCCTCCAGCCTCTCCCTCGCCTCCTCCTCAGGCGGCACGCCCATAACGCCAACCTTCAGCACGACGCCCTCATCCCTCTCCTTCTCGACCCTCCCGTCGTCAACAAACTCTCCCTTCCCGCGCCTCGATCTGCCCGCCTCATTGTCCGATCCCTCGCTGCCGTTCCCGCGCCTCATCGTCTTCGACCTCGACTACACGCTCTGGCCCTTTTGGGTCGACACCCACGTCACGCCTCCGCTCAAGATCAACTCCAGTCATACCGGCGCAACAGATCGCACGGGCGAGGAATTCACCTTTTACGACGAGGTCCCCGAGATCCTGGCCGTGCTGCCGTACCTCAACAGCCCGAACAAGATCAAGCTGGGCGTTGCGTCGCGAACGAGCGCGCCGAGTCTGGCCCGCGAACTGCTCAAGGGCATCCACATCCCGCCAACAGCCTCGTTCTCAGACGAGGACGGCAATAATAACACAAGCAACAACAACAACAAGAAGTCGTCATCGTCAGCGACCAAGAAGAAAGTTGCGATTGACGTGTTTGACGGCGGGCTGGAGATTTATCCGGGAAGCAAGATTAAGCATTTCGAGGCGCTGCAGAAGCGGACGGGGATCCGGTTCGAGGACATGCTGTTTTTCGACGACGAGGCGCGGAATAGGGAGACGGAGCGGCTGGGCCTGACGATGAAGCTGGTCATGGACGGGGTGACGTGGGACGAGGTCGCCAAGGGGGTTGAGCTGTGGAGGAGTAGGAGGCATAGAGGCTGAATGGCGTATCTACATAGAGGGAAGATGGGGGAAATAGACACCCGCATAGAGGAGTGTTTTTCCATCGACACATAGACGTTGACACAAGATATCACTTAGAGCGAACAGAAGCACCGAGCAATCAATGCCATAGAATCAAGGAGTTATTTCCTGTAGAGTTCCCGCCAACATCATGCAAGTCTGTATATAACAGACGAAAAGATCAAATGAAAAAACGAACAGCTATTCTCCGTAGATATTTGGTATATTCCAAGTCCAAGTAATACATTCCCAGCCCGATTGAGAAATACTCCAGAGTCCCCATACACATCTCGGTCGAATCGAGTCGACTTTCATCACGAATCATCTGATCCAGTTTCCCTCCTCTTTCCTCTCCACCGATTAAAGAAGCTCTCGCGAAGCTCGACAAGCCCATAATGCAAATGGTCCGCCTTCCCTCCTTTGCATGAATGCCATCGGAAAGGAAGTGCGGACATGAAAAAAAAAATAAAATAACCCGAGGCATTCTGTATGCGCATATGCAATGACTCAAATGGCTCTAAACCAAGAATATTATGTTTGAAGAGAGAAAAAGAAAATTGTGACAGAACAGAAAAGGGGGCTCGTGCTCGTTCATGCAGCAGCAGTGGCGGCAGGTATCGGCGTCACCTCTGGCGTCTTGGCCTTGTCGTCGTCGTCGTCAAGAGCCAGCTTCTCGATGGCTTCGGCAGGCCCCTCGGTCTGCGTGGCCTCGTCGAGAGTATCTTCGGTGGTCTGAGTCCCGTCGGAGGCGTCGTTGATCGTCGTGGCGGCCGTGTTCGTCGAGGTGGTGGCCGAGCTGTCTGTCTGGTTCGACTCGTCCACAGTCCTCTCGGGAGGGCTCCATGTCCTGGGCAGCGTGCAGATGACCTCCCTGACCAGCTTGCCGTTCTCCGCACCAAGCCTCACGCACGCCAGTCTCTCCTCGCCCGGGACGTCCTCCCACAGCAGCGGCCCGCTAGGGAACGAGCTGTATCCCTTCTCCCACCGCACGACGCCGTCCCATGCAGGATCTGGGATGCCCAGCTGGCCAAAGGTGTAGTCGAGCTCGCCGCCGTACTTCTTGGGGATGTTCCGGGGCTCGATAAAGGCCTCGAGCGTGGGCTTGACCTCGTGCGGCGCAAGCACAAAGATCTTGGAGACGGTGATGGGGTCGAACCAGCGCTTCACCCAGCCCCAGACGGTGCTGAAGAAGACGGGCGCGCCAATGATGAAGATGCGGTCCAGCGTCTCGGGGTAATGCGCCGTGGCCAGCTGCGACGCCGCCTGCATGTGCCCCTTGAGGTTCCAGAACTGCTTGAGCCCGACGCCCGAGATGTCAACAATGTTGGTGCTCATGGTGACGGGCACGTCGGGGTGTTCGCGGTCCGTCAGCTGTGTGCAAAAGGGCTGGTTGAAGCGCGTCAGGTTCTCGTACAGGGCAAAGAGCCGCAGCAGGCCGGGAGGCGTCTTGCCGTCCGTCTTGGCCTGTGAAAAGGTGCTGTTGGCGCCCTGCTTCTCGTAGTTTGCGATGGTTTTGGAGTCGAGCGTGCGGATCTCGAAGACGTAGAGAGGGATGCCTCGACGGTCTCGGCGGCCGGTCCATTGGGGATACTGTCGCAAGGTTTCTGCTGTCAGTTTTTTGATTTATATATATATATCACACAAGCAAAGATCCTTGTACAACAACTACAACAACAACAACAAGAACAACGTAATGAAACTCACCAATCGCCGGCTCTGCTCGTACGCGTCCAGCTCAATCGTCCGGTACAGCGTGTCAATGTTGTTCGCCGCCCGCCACTCCTCCGTGTCCTTGAACTGGGCCAGCGCATCGTCCACGATCCAGCGCCTCGCCCGCAGATACCGCAGCAGCGTCTGGTCGTCGTGCGACGGCGGCGGCCCCGGGCGCCACAGCTTCTTGTCCTGCAGCGCGGCCTTGAAGCGCCCCAGGGCCTCCTCCTGGACGGCGTTCAGGTGGCCCAGGTGGCCGTTTGGGAACACTCCCGCCTGCTGGCTGGCCGAGCTCGACGACTGAACCCGGCCGGCCGGCGCGGAACCTTCGTACTCGGCCGTCATGATGGGGGGAGGGAGGAGGTTTTTTCGTGGACCTTTGGCCTCGTCTTTGTGCGGATTCCTCCACGTGCGAGACGGTGTTACTGCAAACGAGAGGATGGAGGACGTAACCCGACTCTACCAACTCTATATAAGTAAGGAGGTAGCCGGGAGGGGGAGATGTCGCAGTAATCTTTGATTTCCCGAAGGATCGAAAAGAGGCGTTGCAAGTCTGGTGTGTAATAGAAATTTAGAGAGAACAAAGAAATAGGCGTTCCTAGTTCCAGTTCATCACAAAAGTCCGGTCAACTCCCGGTAAAAGAATGGCGGCTAAAGGAGAAGCTAACGGGGCGGACAGGGAGCAAGAAAGTAAGCCAGCAGGCCGATTAGACTCAAATATTTTCATCAAAAGCAGGACAAGCAAGGCCAAGACTTGATGGGGTATTAAATGGGTTGGGTGTGTGTGGAGAAGCCAGAAAACAGATCCGAGAGGGCGGCAAGCGGCAGCTTCGGAGGCCGATAGAAGGCCGTCCTGAAATAGGATGAGGATCCAGGCAGTCGGAGCAGCGAGAGGGAACGAAAAAAAGGGGGGAGGTCCGGTTGGTTGACAGCCGCGAATACTAGTGAGGGCCAGATGGAGAGAGGGCTGTCTCGTGCCTGGTTTTGCTTGTCAAGACACTTGGGCAGCTGTTTATTTGACTCCCAAGATGCGTCATGTTCTCCCTCTGACGCCGTGGAAGGGGGCCCTGGTGCTCTATTATATCATTCATATCTAGTGCAGCGGCGAGGGCCACGATGGAATAACACTGATGTGTGTCCTGTCATTACTAAGAGCTACTAATCCTGATTCACAAGACGACAGCACGGCTCGAAGGAATAATACATAGCTTATTAGCAACAGCATGTGGCAGGACGTGATAGTCCGGCCGGGAGGCCCACATGTTCTGGCTGCTTCCACTATGGCCTCTCCGTGCCGTGGCGGCGGCCTGTGACGGCAATGACAGCATTGCTTGGGGCTTATTCTACGCTCTGGCTGCCGTGATCCGCGCTGGATTTGCACGCACGGGCTCACAATCAGTTCTCTACCTACAGGACTGCATGTGGCCCGTCCCAATCGTCCATCATACCTTAGGTAGGTAGGTAGCTCGGAGTAGTAGTTCTCCAACTACCATATCATCCATACTATATATAACCCCCCCGGGCGGCTTTGTGGTGCGGAAGCCTCGGAAGGACGCAAATTTCCGGCACGCCCGACAAGCTGCTTATCGATCGATTCTAAGGGCCCAGCAAGCCGGTTTGAGCCCATGCAGCAGCTCAATCTGGGGAACAAAAGCCTGTAGTAGTGGTGACTGCATTACTACTACTACATACTAGCAAGATAGTCTTCACAGTAGGCAGCTTGTTGCCGGGCAGGTCAGGCCTAAAATCCGCCGTCAGACCGGGAGGCGACAGAATTTAAGCTCTTTGGATGGCCGTCCATCTGACGTCCTTGTCATCTTGCCAAGGGCTCGATTATTGGCCCACGGCTCGAATAGCGCGGAAATGACTAGGACGCCAAGGTCCTTGTCAGACGGGCATGAGGAGGAGAGAAATCCGGGGCTGATGGGCTTGAGGGAGATACCTGGTATGCTGGAGGAGGGATCGGAGTACTGTAAGGTATGTAAGGTGCTCGGAGGACTACAGGGGAAACAAAAGAGTCCAAAAGGGCCAACTCGGATGAATGCCTGATTCCAGAGCACTTTGACACCTTGTTGATCGGAAAGACCAAGCAACTGGGTCGAGTGTTCCAGGGTAGCGGATGAATAGCCTCAAGCCTTTCCGTCAGCGAGGCGTCCGTGGCGCGTCGTGAGGCAGATTCGCCGATTTGCCACTGGAGTGTGACGTCTTTCGCTCTTGAAGATCGCCAGGCTATCAATTCGGACAATTGGACAATGGACAGTCCATTGCCCTTTGGGGCAGGTGAAGAAGAAGGCTGGTTTTTCAGCTGTTACTTGTCTGTTGATAATATTCTGCTGTTGGCCTGTCCCGGGGCCTGCTGCACCTTATACAAGTTTCAGTCATTGTTCCTTGACCTCCAGTACTGAATCCATCACGGTCAGGCGCAGGAATGTGTACCTAGGTCAGGCCAAACCCAACACATGGTGACAGCAACAATCCTTTCGCTCTGACAATGGCTGCACCCTTCTCATCTACGCGCGGATTGACCCCCCTTTCGACCTCTCGCGGTCAGGCCCAGCCCTGCGAATCCCGTATTTCGGTACTCCAGGGACGCGCGTATTGGGTGTAGAGCATGCCCAAACAGATGCAGATAAGACGGAGCGCAACAACTAAACTGATCCTTCAACTCCTTTGTCAACAACCCCTTAAAACACCGAACAGCACCTCCTACTCCTGAGCCCTCCTCACCACATTGCAGTCACACCATATTCCAGATTCAGCCCCCAAACTGAGAGGGAACGTTGCCCCCCATGGCATCCTGCATAGCCGCCGGTCCGATCTTGGGTGCGCGTACAGACAGACATATAATACACGGACAGATCAGAAGAATCGCAGGGCCTATGCGTTGACAGCCCGCGCGGAGGGTCGATCCGCCGTAGCGCTTCCGCGAGCAACGGCAGTCGGCTGTTTATCTTTAGCGTGGGAACAAAGGGCCAGATCGAGGCGGATGGATGCATTCTAGACGCCGTCCGGGGTGGGTTCTGTGCAGTTGATGCTACGCCGAGCCAGCAGGCTGAGGTGACGATGCCATCTTTGTCATGAGTGAAGTGACTGACTATTACTGCATGCCATCGGGGCGCTTATGAGGAGTCATCTTTTGTGTAGAAGAGGATTGGAAACAAAAGAGCCCCGATTCCAGTGAGTCGTAGTACGGGTGTGGTACCAGCGGCAAAGCAAAGCATGTCAGAGTCAAACCTCGAGAGTAGGTAGGCTGGTAAGCAAGTAGGGTTGCCTTCACTTGAGTGAAAAGGGGTCCGACTCCATCCCCTATTGGCTACGCAGCCGAGGATGGAGTTTGTTGGTTGAACGGTTTCATGCCGTTGACCTTTGGGGGCTCTCTTCGCACACTTTGGTTGTATCACCTGAATCTGGGCTTGAGTCGATTCCAGCCTTGCACCACAACCACGGGACGAACAAGGGGGGGGGGGGGGGGGGTTACTCTATTCGGCCTGGATGGTGCCCTGGTTGCTCTGATTCGACGGCATACGAGTAAAGCGCAGGCAAAGAGCCAGCAACTAGGCAGCATAGAGCGGCATTGTCCCGGCCCCGACGAAACTGACTGATGGCATCGCATCAGATTACCATATCATCCCATCCAATTCAACCGCTTTATCCCCAACTCCCTGAGTCCATCTTCCCTCGCCTACATGTATTCGGCGCCTCTGCGCTTGTGACTTTGCTCTGAGCCTGAATACTACCACCTCTACACTATTCCCCCTTTATCTCCGCAACTCAAGGGGGTCGTTTTGCTTCAGGCCCTCGCAGTTGATTTGCCCCGAGCGACCGACTCTGCTTTGTGATCTCGACCCCGTCAGTTCCTCCGCAGAAGCGCCTTTTCGGCCCCTTCCACCAAACTCTCCACCCCCCTGGCTGCTTCGTTGGCCCTCTTTCGGTTCTCCGCGAAAGACGGCTTCCATCTCGCTGATTGCCCGACTGGGACGGAGGGCCAATCCGCAAGTGCATTTAGGAAGCTTGGGCTAAAGCACATGCAAGCAGACGCCACACGAACATACATGTACATACCCCGGCAACGACACATCTGAGATTGAATCGGAGAGCGGGTTTTTGACGATGACTGACTGATTGACACCTTTGATTACCTACACTGTTCGAGGAGGGAGGGGGACTTTGATTGAACATACCTAACAAGACGAGGCTGAGGCTCTAAGAGAGGGAGAAAAAAAAAAACATCATACGACCCGACATATAAACACACAGAGACAGAACGAGACACAAGACGGGAGTTGCATCTTCTCTCTTCAACTCTACACCATCTCTCCTCCATCTCTCCCCTCTCTCCAATCTTCCTCAAACTTCCTCACCCGCGCATCTCGGTCCACCAGCATGAAGCACAACCGGCGGCGCCCACGATGACGTCGAAAAGGCCGCAATGCTGGGAATGCCAGCGCCGCGGCTCGCCGTGCGACGGCAGGGTCCCCGTCTGCGGCAACTGCAGCGCCGCCGGCATGGTCTGCCCGGGCTACAACAACGCCCGGCCGCTGACGTGGCTGCCCACGGGCAAGGTGTCGCGGCTGCAGAAGCCAAAGGCCGGCAAAGACAAAGATAAAGACAAAGACAAGGACAGAGACAAGGGCAAGGACAAGGATCAGGGACGGGGCCACGGGGCGGCGAAGCCGGCAGGGAGCAGACGACAGCAGCAGCAGCAGCAAGCTCGGCAGGGTTCGCATTCGGGCTCGACGGGGAGGTTGATGCTGTCGAGCAGCACACCGGAGCGAGGAGCAGCGTCGGGGGTGATGAGTTCGTCGTCGATAAGACGGCGGAGGAGGAGGAGGGACGAGGACAGGACGGGGGGCAGTGGCGGGAATCAGGACGGCAACAATAACAACAACAACAATAACAACAGCGACATCGAGAGCATCACCACCAACACCGTCACAAACAGCACCGCCAGCAGCAGCGGCAGTGACCGGGGCAGCGATGCCGGCATCTTCTCCGACGCTTCGCCCGGCGACTCGACGTCACTCGCAGCAGCCGTCAGCCAGACGATGGTCCGCAGCGACCAGAGCCATCGTGAAGATGACAACGGCAGCAGCGAGTTCTTCTCCGAGGGCAATGACAACCAGAACACGACGAGTCTTCAGGTAGTCGCCAGCAGACAGCTGCAGCAATGGGGCTCTACCAACAGCTCCCGGCAGATGCAGGTGTCCGTTCCGCCGGATCTGAGGCCCGAGCAGTGGGACTTTGTCGATGCGATTCAATACTGTATGTTGACTATCTCCATCTTCTTCTCCCCCCTCCTCTATTCACCTAGGCATGTCCCGGAGTCGTACCATTCTGCCCACACCACACACATCGTAAGCATCATCCCTGACCATCATCGTCCAGACAACAACCTCCTCCTCCCCAAGCTCCGCGCAAGACAAATCGTCCAGAACCCCGCCTGGGGAGGCGAGCTCAACGGCAAGGCCCTGCAGGCCCTCACGGCCGCCAACCGGCACTGCATCCTGGCCATCGCCGTCGGCTACCGCATCATGTGCGTCTCCATCATCCACGGGCTGGACCTGGAGCCGTCGACGTCCGGGCCGGCGTCTCACCTGTGGCTTCAGTTCTACCGGCACATGGGCAAGTCGATTCGGGCCCTGAACGAGGAGATTCAGCAGAGCGGGAGCGTGTTTAACATCTTTTCCAGCATGGCTCACTTGATGAGCGCAGAGGTGAGATTTTGATATGATGATGTTGACACTTCAAAGACAAGATACTGACTGGCTTGGCCTCTGACTGGTTTCTTTCAAAAGGTCCTCGTCTCGAATTCCCTGTCATGGCGTCTTCATGCCGACGGCTACCTCATGCTCATCAAGCACTGCGGCGGCCTCCGCAAACTCATGAACACTTCCGCAACGCCCCTATTGATGCAAAGCTTCGTCATGTACGTGGGACCCCTTGATGTCGAGACACCAAGCTAATGATACACCCCCAGAGGCATCACCGTCTTCAACACCACAAGCCCCAGCCACGCCCAGCTCGTCGACGCCTGCAACTTTGACGTCGACGACGTCATGGCCCTCTACGAGATTGGGAGCAGCCCCCTCTTCTACTGTCCCGCGCCCCTTTTCCGCGAAATCTTCCTCATCAACCGCCTCCGCCTTGAAGCTTCAACCGCCCTCTCATCCTCCTCTGACCCCCTTTCCGAACACAGCAGCAGCAGCAGCTCCTGTCACGTCCTCGAGCGCATCGACGCATATTCCGTGCCGCCTGTGCCGCAAGCACCGGGCATCGACGACCAAAAGGCACAGAACCTGCTCTTTGTCTCGCTGCTATTCAAGTCCGCCGTCGCGGTATTTGCTTCCCTGACGCTACCCTGCACATCCCGCTGCCCTTCCCACAAGCCCTGTGCGCAGGTCCACAAGATGCATCGAGCCAACCTCTTCCACCTCCTCGACACAACGTCCGAGTTCCTGCCGCTGCTGGACCACATCCTCTGGCCGGTGGTCGTGGCGGGGACGGCCGCGGCGACGGGGAGCGTCGAGGACAGGATGCTCGTGGAGATGTATCTGCTCAACGGCGCGCGGGATCCCTTCACGGGCGGGTGCACGGGCTCGGCGCTGGCGACGATGAGGAGGTTTTGGAAGTCGGGCAGGACGCGGTGGGACGAGTGCTTTGACCAGCCGCATGCCTGGATGATTTGAGGGAATGGGTTGATTGATGGCGATGGCGGTCTATATCGTCTATATCGAGGCTGGTCTATATCGAGGCTGGTCTATATCGAGGCTTGCCACAGCTTTGTGATGAGCAGACACTGCCTTCAACCGGAGTCGACACTACATGATTCCACCTCCATCGGACATCCGAGTTTGGATCTCTTCTTCTTCATCTACTCTGACCTCTATCGGGCTTGGATGTAGATATACACGTCCCCTCTTCTTCAGTTCCACTCTATCAACCTCTACCTACCTTTGGTAGATACAATTACTCTCCACTTGCGACGACCCCTATCCATCCCCTCAAGGACCTTGACATATCTTCCCACATGGACTATACCTACCTACGCATACAATACCATTTATGTTCCGCTACAGCTTGGGTACTACTTACGGTTATTGGAAACATTCTGGGCGGTGGACTTTTGCTTTTTACCAAGGTTTTCCTTTTGTATTATACATCTGTCATTTTTCATAATGCTTTAGCTGCACGAGCATAGCGATGGAAACATTGGGTTGGCGTGTCTATTTGTCTTGCCTGCATCTTCATTAAGACATTGTCAAATATTTAACTGGAGGAATATCCGTGTATCTTAAAGCCTTCAACTAAATGCCTTTAGACAAGGACAAAATGATATGAAACTCCTAAATGCTGGTATCAAAGCTGCTGTACTATATCCGATAGCCACACGCCGTATTCTCAAATTCCACCTCGCAAGCGCCCTCATCATCCGACTCTTCATCCGGCCCAATCTTCGTCTTAGCACCTCATGTAGTCTTGTCTTCTTGCTGGTCAAAGTCCTCTCCCGACGGCCCGCTGCGCTTCAACCCTTTCGTCACCTCGTCTGCGTTCACCCCTTGGTCGTTCTGGCCCTGGCCCTGGCTCGCGCCTCCTTCGGCGCTCTTGATGCTGCTCGCCCTGCTAATGTCTACACTGAGCGGGCTCTGCTGCCGCAGCCCCAGATCCTTTTCCGCGGCCGCGGCTTTCGGGCTGCCAGTGCCCTTCCAATCTGCCGCCTTGCTCTGCGGCACCGGCTCGCCCTCCCCGGGCTCGACAATCTGCTCTTCCGCCCTGGGCGCGCCGCTGTCGGGGAACCGCCACACGACCGTCATGCGGTCAAACGCCCTCATGCCCTTCCTGCTGGATCCCTTGACGCCGTCCATGGCATCCCATTCAATCTCAAAGGTGCCGTGGCTGTCTGCGACGCCCTGCTGCTCGGGACCGTTGCCCTCGAAGAAGGCGTTGAACCACACGTAAGCAACGGCCGTGACCATGGTTAGCCCCATGGACTTGTGGGTTCTGTTTCGCCGCTCGACGGAGATGTTGACGTCGCTGTTGGGGACACGAATCGGCTGTTTGGGCTTGAAGATGACGGCCATGCCGCCTGGCTCCGTTTCATCGGGAGCCTCCGTGCGGACTTCAGGCGGGCCGGTGGTTGCTGTCCGGGTTGACGGCTCGGTAGACAGCATAGCGCGCAATTTGTCAATCTTGGAATGTGATCCAGGCGGCGATACCTTTCCTATCAGCTTGGCACTCTTCCGTCGCAGCAGCGACTCCATGGACGAATCCGAGGGCCGTGGTGAAGGAGAAGGGTCCAAGGGATCCTTCTTCTTGGGCTCGTTGTTGGCAGCATCGGCGAATTCTGCTGCGTCGGGAGCCTTTTCCCTCTGAGTCGAATATCCTGCAAGATCCCATATAATCTCAGATAGACCGCCGCCTTCGGGCGCGTCTCCCTCAACCACAATCCTCTCCTCCTTTGTGAAGGTGTGGATTGACTCAATCTTCTTGCCCTCGTCCGCAAAGGCCTCGACGTCCATCTTGACACCGTTGCGCAGCCCCCAAACGTGGATCTCGAGAATCTCAACAGGGCGATCAATGTACTTCTTCCCGCCCTTTGTCCAACGGTCGACGTAGCCAACCCACCGCAGCTGCGAGGGGATCGACACGCCGGCGCCAAACTGCGGCCTCATGCGACGCTGAGTGAAGCGCGCCAAGGCGTCTTCTGCCTTCCAGCCCTCCTCTGCAATGAGGTAGCTGCAGCTGGCGGTGCCGCTCCGTCCCTTGCCAGCTTTGCAATGGACCACGACGACCCTGTTGGGATTTCGCTCCGACTTGACTGGTGCTGTGGCGGCCTCCGAGGTGCTTGCGTTTGTTGGTGCAGAAGAGGATGATGGTTCCTCCGTCTTGGTCTGCTCCGTCTTGGTCTGCTCCGTCTTGGTCTGCTCCGTCTTGGTCTGCTCTGTTTTGTCCTGCTCCTTCTGCACATTCGGTGGATCGCCGCCATGAAGCCAATTCCTCATGCTCGCCATGATCATGGGAATCAATCGAAACGGCGGGGGATGGTGATCGGGCCACGGATAGTGCCATATCCGATTATACACGGCTTCATCCGGATACCCCGTCCCCTCGGCGCGGAACTCCCATATGGCCCAGTCCTTGCCGTGTTTCGCATCGAGGAAGGCGACGAGCTGGTCGAGCGGGTTTCGATAGGCGAGCTGGGGGTACGTCTGCGAGGGGCCGGACCTGCGAGCACAATGACCGTGGTTAGAGACAATCACCCTGAGGAAGGACTCGGCGCTGCTTGTGCTGGGTTGTATTGTACGTGTGGGTTGCTCACGTTGCAATGATGAAGTCGGTCACATAACACAGGTCCAGCCCTGCCTCTGGGTGTCGCGCCCGCGGACTAGCAATGATCTGTCGCAGCAGCGAGGCCATGACTGTGTCTGGGAGACGGGAGGAGAAGCGGATCGAGGAGATGTAAAAGAGAGACACTGTCTGGCTCTGGCGATCCTGCAAGGTAATTGTCGAGTCCGCAGTCGATGAGGGGAGGATTCAGGAAAAGACAGAGTAGTTCTTTTGATGCACGGGTGAGGTGAAGATGGTGAAGATGGTGAAGATGCAAGGCTCGAGGCTTCAGTCGCATTGGCGGGCAGCCTGGCTGATCGACGAGGTGACATTGAATGCAGCCTCGGACCAAGATCAAGGACAGGGCAGCCCTGGAGGAATTCAATTGCTGACGCTAGCACCACAATCAGCATCAGGGCACATGGCCAGAGCGCCCCAGTCCACTGTGGCTACAGTGACTACAGTGGCCATGGCGGCTCTATAGGGGCCAGGCCGTTGCTTCAGTGGCTTCCGGTGCCTGTGCAGCGCCTCAGCCCGGAGCGTTGGCCGCCTTTGACGTCATCCGCGGAACTGCCCCACGATGCCAGTTGAGCTGGCTGAGCATAGGTCTGATCTCCAGCAGAGCTTCCGTCAATGATCATTACCTGGCAGTCGATCAATCGACCGTAACACTGCATTTGCAGGGAAACAGCACAAGTTACTGCATCTTCTGCCCATCCATCAGCCTATTGTGTTACCGCATATATATGTATATACCTATATATATATAAGACATGGCCTGTTAGCTTCATTACATGTATACTAGCCACTCAGTGCCAAACGTATTCGATCCATACCTTAGGTACAGCATGATTTGAAGTCAGCTTAGACCAGCTTGACGCTCTAGCGCCAACAGTGGCGTCACCAACATGCATGACATCGGGCAAGCGTCAATGACATCAACGCCAGCGGCCTCCCAGCAAAAGTGAAGCTATTCACAACGCAGCTGCAGTACCCAGAGCATGAGGAAAGACGCGATTTACATTGAGCACCCGACTGCTATTGCTAGTTCCTCACTCTAGCCACGGGGCCACAAGTTCATTGATAACACATTGTATTGTCGCAAGAATAATGCTCGACCTCACAAAAGCTCAATCACCGCCAGCACACACAACAAGAAAGATGATTCCCACTGCGCACCCATTCCACGTCCAGCTTCCCCATCCATATAGCCACATCCAGCCATATCAACCCATATAGTATACCCACGAGAAGCATGCTCTCTCCATCATGTTCCAGTCGCTCCAAACAGTCGGTCAAATTCATCCTGCAGCGGACCAGAGTTGGTTCCGAGATCATCAAATGGCCCGTGTTCGACTCCGGTCAATAAGCATCACCTTCAACGTCGAAAGGGCGAGGCTCCATCATGCCTTTGTCGTATCAAGGCAAGCAGCTGCCACAGACTGTTTACCAGCCCGTCCTCCAGAGGCTGTCATGACAGGGTTGCCAATTTCCATCTTTCCCCAACGCTAAAAGCACCGCATGTAGCACGCCACGTATCGTTCCGTTTCGACAAAGCAATCGCGGGAAAATTCCTCGCAAGAACGAGTTGGACATTTATGAGGTCTTCTTGGCAGGGCCAGCACCCGTGTACCTGCTGATCTCGGTCGCATCGTGGAATTTGCTGGCAATGCCCTTGACAATGTCCCACGCTTGCTTGAGCTGAGGCGGGGTGCCCTGGGCGGAAACAAAGTGCTCGGCCCGGGAAGAGACGTGAGCCAAAGACGACTGGACGTGGGTGCTCTGGGCGTAGCGAGCTCGGATGAAGATGGTGTACAGGCCAAGCAGGATCCACGACCTACGCTGGAAGAGGATGGCAGACAGCAACACTCGAGCCCACAGACTAATCTCAAGGTACGCGACAACCGTCATAGAGAAGTCGTAGTACTCCTTGACAAAGTTTCCAATCTTGTTCGCGAGCGGGTTGTTGACCTTGGGCTGCGACACGCCATCGGTAGCCGGCGGAGGAGGGTGGAAGACGGGAATCAGGTTCTGGCGGGAGTACGTGGCCACGTGGAACACGGAGTAGACCGAGTAAGGAAGCAAGGCGAGAGGATACTGAGGAGAGAAGAGCCAGACAAGGGCCATGGCTATAGCAGGGCGTCAGCCGGAGACACGAGAAAGTCACCAGACCAGACGGCTAGACTTACCCAGATACTGGACGTTCTCATCAGCGAGAAGGCCGATGACGCCGTTGGGCGCCCTGGTTCCGGTCTTTGCGCGGGCGCGCTGCGTCTTGTACACGACGATGCCATACGTGAGAGCCGCGGCCACAAACGATGTCCGGTAGGAGAACTGGGCCATGCCGCTGTAGTAGTTCATGAACAGCCATGACAGGGCATATCGAGTGGTGGTGAGGAGAAGGGTCAGGTGCCTGAATTGGACAAACTGTCAGTCGCGTGTCTCTTCATCTTGTCGTGTCTGCCCAATCAGACGCTGGGCTCCCAAGTCGTCGCCCTCCATCCTTCTGAAGCATCTCGACTTGTTGCTCCTTGTCGGGATTCGGCGGCAAGCTGTGGAAGAGGAAATGCGAAGCTCAAGGAAGGACACATCGAGGCTGGGAGGAGGTGCACTCAAGCCAAGAATGGTTGGAGGTCTTACCCGACAAACCAGGCGACTGTGCAACAGGGAGAACGAGGTCAGCAATTGTGCACGTGCAAATCCGACTGCAAAAAAAAAAAAAACATAATTATTTGAGAAGCTCGCCAACATACACTGCAGAGTCTGGGCCAGAGCCAAGAATCGCTCCTTGAGCGGAAGATTGGGGTTTGGCGGAGGAGGAGCCATATCGTAGGATCAACTGCTATCGAGCAGCAAATGGCCGGCAGCTGAGGGGTTGTGACGTCGGGCAAACACGGGCGATGACGACGAAGTGAAGCTTCAAGATGGCGCGTGAAGCAGCCGTAGAGCTGATGAGGGGTAGCTTCGGAAAGGCGAAACAAAAAGAGCTGGCTTGGTGATGATGCGAGACGGAGAGCGTGCGTAAGGGTCGAGGTTCTCTGTGGCCGTGATACAGCAGAGACGAGCAGTTGGAATGATGCAGAACAGCAGAGGCTTGCAGAGATGGTTGGAGATGGAAAGAGGAAAAAGTCGAGTGGGAGGGATGAAGAAGAAGCAGAAGCAGAAGCTGCCCGGGAGCTGGAGCTGAAGCCAGCTTGCTTAGTTCCAGGCGCTTCAGGTGGTTGGTGGCGCTGGAGCCTTGCTGTGTCCGGCTTCTATTGGCTTCTCTAGCGGCCGCAAACCGGGTCACAGAGGAAAAAAAAAACAGCCCAGCAAGTGGATGCGTCACTGATGGAGAGGAAAAGGAGATGCATGGACGCGTATCAAGGATCTGTTATCAGCTGCGATGAGGACAGCTTGCGTTGGAAGGCGGTTCTGCTGCCTGGTGAGCTTCCTTGGTCGCTTTCAGAGGGCCACGCGCTGGACTTGGGGCTGGGCATGTGCTGAGTTCAATGGCGAGAATGACGCCGTCTCATGACCGAGGCTGCGATTATTACTACTGTACATGTCTTCCTCTTGGTCTTTGAGATGAATCCCATTTCTTCCAAGTCGCCTGCTTGGTGCATTGATTTTGATATCACTACAGAGACTTTATTCTGATCAAGTCAAATCAGCATCTGCAATTGCACGATCAGCGTTTCAAGGATTCTCCAGATCTGCCGATTCATGATGAGGGATGACGACAGAGCTGCCGTACCCCAATGACGAAATCAAGTGCTTTGGCCACACACAAACTTGCCGTGCTCCTCTGTCTCCCGTCAACCTAATTGCTAGTGCGCCCACGCGAGCAGTTGACACTGGTATTTTACACCAAACCTGAGCTTGAGGCATGTGAAATGTCGGCCTACAAGTTGGACGCTTGACGCTGCACTGGTGCAAGCTTATGCGGAAGTGAAGCAATACAAGGCACATGCACGCAGTACGTGAGATGCATCATTGTTGAGATCCTTACCTAGTCAGTCGATCCAGGGTCCTGCTAATGTCACCTTCAACCAACAAAACAGGGGAGAAAACAAAAAGAAGGTGTACAAGAACCAGATGTGACCGAGCACGAGATGACGATGCCGCATTCCTGGATATGAAAGTTTTCTTCAATGCCCATGCAACATTGAGACGGGACGGGAGTCAAAAAAACAAAAAAAACAATGGGCACTGAGACTTTGCTCCCGGCAGGGCTTGAACCTGCGACCTTCGCATTACCAACACTTGGCACAAGGCCGGAAGTATTAGTACGAAGCTCTAACCAACTGAGCTACGGAAGCCCTGAATTGAGATTCAGGTGCGCTATCTGCACCCAAGAACGTTGCCAGGTCGTTCCAATGCACACATCATCCGTGGCCCTCAAGAATGTTGCTTCATCCTACGTTCTCGAGCTCCCTGTGTCAAACGCAGTTTTGAGAAAATGTCGATATGATCGCAATGATCCTAATCTGCGGCCGGGGCAGAGCGTCAGCAAGACCATCACCTTTGCGCGTTGTTATCTGAACCCCAACTAGGGGAGCACCCCTCTTGCCTCAGCGGCATCTCCCGAGGACCCCTTGCTTGTATCAAGCTGCATCTCACGGCCTGACGCCCTCTTACACGGCTGGACGAAGTTGTGCTCGCGAGGTCTTGCTGCGGTGAGGCTCAAGTCTCTGTTGCCAGTCGATGGTGCCTCGTGATATTCTCGGGCTTGACCATAGACAGGCATCTCGGCCACGATCATTGAACGGCCTACGATACCTTGACAGCTATGGAACCTTCAGCACTGACCTGTAAATGAGCTGCCAGAATACTCACTCCATGTCTCTCACGGTTCATGAGATCTGATGATGTCTCTGGAACCCCCGCCGTTCTGTATGTATGGCTTGCCCTTGAATGAGGAGCAGTATCATCCTGCTGCCGACAACATCACACTACTACTACTGCAAACCATAGCTTTGACTCATAACCTTCTTCCCAATCCTTTGGGGTTGATATGGCACACCGCTCACACGGTTCCATTTTTATCCAGGCGCTGGTTGAAGTTATTGATATTTGCTATCGCACGGAAGCAGTTCACATTGGATAGCGCTGTGATTGATTCCTCTATCCCCATGAAGAGAGCTCGTCTGGTTTAGCAGCACTACAAACTACCTATATATACAATAATATATGTGACGCTTACGTGATCTGCTACAACAGGCGCTCAACGCCTGAAATCTTCCGTAGTATAGTGGTCAGTATGCAAGCTTGTCACGCTTGAGACCCGGGTTCAATTCCCGGCGGGAGAGATCCGCCAAACCTCTCAGAGGCTCTTCACTTTTTTTCTTCCCTTTTTTCTCATACTTATCCTGTCTTCCCCTTGCCTTCTTCTTGCTCCTTTTTTTTTCTTTCTGCTTTGGTTATACAGTTCAATCCTGATCGCTTCTCCCTTTGATCGAATAGAACCCCACTGATTACCTAGATAGCTTCTCCCTGCGTCTGTGAATCATTGTTTTTGCAACGATTCAAGCAAATGATCATGAAGGAAACTTCTTCAGAAGGTGATTGTTAAGAACATCAGCTCATTGGCTGGTCAAGGGGGGCAAAGGTCCAGCTTCTCTGCAGGCAGCGAGCTAAGAGAAACCTGCGCAAAGCTGCTCATGGGTGTGGAACGAACTATCAAGGTAGTCTCGATAGACGCCGCAAAGACGGCATATCTGGCCATGGCAGTATCGCACAAGGGATTCCCTCCAAACATGCCCTTTTCGTGATAATTCGATTCGATTGTGCAAGCTTGTTAGAGGCAATATCGGCAACCGCAGATGTGAAACATCGCAAGCTGCGCATTAGGTACTGTATCACAGCAGACGGCAGTCAAGAAGCTGGTGAGACGATATATAGAGTAGTCCTATTTGAACAGTCAAAAATCTCTATTTGAACAGTAGTGGTCTGTGCCACCAGCTAGAGCAACCCCCCTTAGTACTTTCTACCACACCCGTACACAGAATACAGTGTAACATACTGGCAGTTGAAGTAGAGGGCGCTGAACATTACAACTACGGAATCAGCCCTGCTGCTGCTACCTCTGCTGCTGCCCCTGCTGCTGTCTTTGCTGCTGTCTTTGCTGCTGTCTCTGCTGCTGTCTCTGCTGCTGCCGCGCCTATCGCCGCAGGCACGCTCCTTAATTCTGCGTCGATGATAACAATAATAATGAGTCTATTAGAGATCGCGAAATTGACGTTCGTGGTGTTATTGTGTGGGCTACGGGCATTTCCATCAGGGCACACTGTAAAGGGGTGTGTGGTTATGGAAGTGCTGGTGTAGGCACAGCAAATTCAGTAGGTGCACAGACCACTACTGTTCAAATAGAGATTTTTGACTGTTCAAATAGGACTACTCGATATATATATATCTGAGACTTTAGAAATGCAACGGTAATGCGAACCTTTGCTTTGCTACTCGTGTCCTGCCGTCTAAATCATAGCATTTCCTGTGCGCAGGTTTGAGGGGTATATTGCATGGCTAGACCACAAGCCTGTCTATCTGATTCGCAACGATGGGGGCCGTCTGTCGAGCGTCTTCCAATTCAAGCTTCTCTTCCGGTGGGTATATAAACATGTTGGAGCTCCTTTTCGCAGTTTGTCCAAGGCTGAATCTGTTTCGACGACGTTGTATCTGCCGTGGGCGGCCTAAACGCTCTTCTCCAGCCCTTCCACAGTCCCATCCCAAAGGTGCTACTACCAGCACCATCTGCGAAGATGAGGCCCGTGTTGACTGCATGCGGGCTCTCGTGCTGGATGGCCCCTGGGGCATTAGCCCTGCTGGAAGGCTTTGGCCGTACTTCATATGACCCTCTGTGCGCCGAGTCATGTCTGCGGTCTTTCACTTCTCTCATGCTGCCGTGTACGAATATGGAGGATGGCATGGGGATGATGTCCACGCCTCCGTCATGCCGAGCCCAAAGCACCCCTTTCCTCACATCCGTGGCATGGTGCATGAGTGACAAGTGCGTCGGCGTTCCGGCATCCAAACTCGAGGCGTACTGGGAAGATTGGGTCACAGGCGACAAAGGAGTTCAGCCAAAATGGACCTTTTCCGAGGCTCTCGCCAACGTCGACCCAAGGCCGCCCAAGGCCCAGCTCAACAGTTCCGATACGACTCTCAATGCGACTTCGATTGTGGCGCCGACGACATACCTGAGTCAATGGAACGTTCTTGGGGCTGTTCGCGATGAGACGGCGATCGAATCAAAGTACAGGTATGACCGTGTTGAGAGATCTGGTAGTTTTATCAACTGAGCTAATCTTTCCAGCGTTTCTCTGGTCGTTATAACTGTTGGCTTACCCGTTGTGATTACATGGCTTGGGTATCTGCCTTGGATCCCGATCGTCTTCGACAAGCTGAAGCCATATGTGGTCTATCCAAGCACGATTGGCACATACTCCGTTCGCCCGCTACCATTCCTCCTTGGCAACGCACCTACAACAGGCCAAGGCATATTCATCGCACTCTTCATCGTCCTCAATGTCGTCTTCACAGCCGTGGAGTATCATGTCCGGCAGCCAAGCGCCTGGTTCGCAAACGGTTGGCACGAGCTCATCGCATATCTCCTGTATCGCACAGGATCATTTGCCTTTGCCCTTCTTCCTGTCCTGCTTCTCTTTTCATCAAGGAACAATGTTCTCATGTGGCTGACGAACTGGTCTCACTCGACATACCTCCTGCTCCACCGATGGGTCGGCCGCATGTTTGCACTCTACGCGGTGCTGCATTCGATATTCGGTCTTCTGACTTACAAGGAATACGAAGACACGGTCTGGTGGAAATGGGGAGCGGCCGCAACCGTTTTCAGCGTGGTCATATGCCTGGGCGGCGGGCTCTATGTCCGTCGCGCCAACTACGAGATTTTCCTTGTCTCTCACATTGTGCTGGCAGTCCTTATCGTCGTTGGGTGCTGGCACCACTTGGTACTCTGGTATGAGTCCATGGGCATGCATCTTCCGGACTATACATCCGGCTATGAAGATTGGCTGTACACTGCCATTGCCGTTTGGTTTGCCGATCGCCTTGTGCGCGGGATCCGAGTCCTCAAGTCGGGTATCAGGAGGTCGGTTGTCACTGACCTTGGTTCTGGCTACGTTCGTGTGGACATACCGGGGATCCGTTGGGGTGTGGAACCTGGGAACCATGTCTATGTCTACTTTCCTACACTCAGCCCTCTTCGACCTTGGGAGAACCATCCTTTCTCGATCGTTCCGACAGCCATCTTGGGTCAAAGCAATCGGCCCAGCAGCACCAGCGAGTTCAGTGGATCGCCAAGTCCCAGTGCACATCGAGATGAAGAGAAGCAAGCAGGTGTCTCGTCAATAGTTGGAGCTCCCACGGGCGAGCATGCCCAGGCAGGCGTGACGTTGCTGATCAAGAAGTCAGCTGGCATTACCAAGCATCTCGAGCGTCACAGCGGCCTCCTCACTCTGCTTGAAGGCCCTTACCCTAATGGAGACTCGAAAGACCTTCTGCGATGCGACCGGCTGGTGCTCATTGCTGGAGGGATAGGCATTACAAGCTTGCTTCCGTGGGCATACAATCACTGGAACGTCAGAGTCGTCTGGAGTGTCAAGGACTCTGCGGCTGGTCTTGTTGATGAGGTCAAGGGAGCCTTGGACACGTCGAGCATTACACAAAAGGACATACGCATTGGGAACAGGTTCAATGCAAGTGAGATCATTGAGGAAGAGGCAAGTGTCGGATGGCACAAGGTGGGTGTGATTGTGTCTGGACCTGGATCCCTGTGCGATGAGGTAAGGGCGGCGGTATCATTGGCGGGTAGGGCTGGTCAGACCAAATTCAACCTCGACGTTGATGCCTACTCCTGGTAGATATTCTAGTAATATTCAGAACAACAGTTCAAGATGGATCAAGTGTGGGGGAAGATATGACATCGCACATCCTAATTACTTGTAGTGAAAGTAGAATAGATGTTGCAAACAACTCGCTACTGTTATGATTTCTCTCTTGACATTACTATATGCTCCCGAGTATCGCTATATGTACCGTTTGCATTTCATTCTAGCCAGTCAATGCCATTGACAGTCGTCAGCCGTGGTTGGGTCGTTGAATAGCTTGCTGACCAGCTTTAGCAGTTATGAGAGATGCCGTCAATCGCCAGACGCGACCAAGGTTGAACACTTGAACCGAATTCAAATGAGCCCTTAGAACCGCCCGGCATCATTGGCTGAACCTGCTACTGGCGATCAATCCGGGCATTATGCACTCAGGACATATATGTAATCAGCCGGCCGGGCGTGGACGGAAAGGCGGGCCTCGGAACGGGGTAAGATCTCACAAGCCTGTGCACCTTATCGCTACCGAAGCTGACTCCCGACAAGCAGCTCCGATTAAGCGGCCGTCCGTCTCGCAGGCACCAAGAATCGACGGATACTGGTGGCTTGCCGTTAGCCGGCGAGGCCAAGACCGTCCGTGGCGAGTCAGATGCATCCACAGACTCACTGGTGACCAACTCAGCTCCAGCCACACACACCAGACTCGAACAGCTTCGTTGCGTCAACATTGGAGTTCGAGCAGCGTGCAAAAAGAGCGATCGACTTTAGTCATCTCTCCCCGGACTTGCGGAGTTTGAGCTTCAGCCCAGTTGTTGTGGCTTGTTCGAGGCCAAGACAGACTCGACGTCGTTTAACCCTCTTTTATTACCGAAGTTCCTGCTCGACCTCTTAGCTAGGTAAGGATTGGACGCCCTCGACGCTAGATAGTCGAGTCCCCTCGACTTGACCGTCCGGCGATTGGAGCGTAGTGGTTGTGGTATCGACGACTCGCAGTTCTCGTTGAGCTTCGTCCGGGATGGCTGAAGTGGTGGAATAGAGTTTCCCCTAAATCGCGATGTCACACCCATAGCGAAGAAGTGGTTTGGGCTTGGGCTTGTGCCGAGGAGGATGTCATATAAGGATGGCGTCGCGTGAGGTGGCTGTGACGACGAGTTCTCTATCCACCTACAACTGCCTTTGTATGACTTTGACTCTTCGGTTCGAGATATTGTCCAACTTGGACCATGAAATGGCCATGACTATCTCACGATATCACACACAGTCGTGATCGTCTTTATGATCTCGCTCATGTTTCGAGCACCATTCTTTGCGTGTCACGGTCAAGATGGCTGTTCGTATACGATCACGCAGCTTCGGCTCCGGCGTTGATGACATTGACAGCACGGAGATGACCATCATCATCGTCTTCCTCTCGTTAGCTCTATACAATGTCCTCGAGCTGTTTTGTATCATCTGGAGCACCTTCAAACGATATGCCGGACTCTACTTTTGGTCCTTTTTGATGGCGACGGTTGGCATCGCCTTGTCGTGTGTGGGATTCTGTATCAAGTATTTCGGGCCGGAGTCGCTGGGCTATTTCTCTTGCACCCTCAGCTTGATGGGGTGGGTATTTATGGTAACAGGTCAATCGCTGGTGCTGTGGTCCCGACTGCACCTGGTGCTGAGGAACAGGAGGCGCCTTCGGATCATCCTTTGGATCATCATCTTCAATGCTGTCGTCTGCCACGGCATGGTCATCCCTTTGGTATATGGATCGTTTTCGAACAACCCGGAAATATTCGAGCAGCCGTACAAAGTTACCGAGCGCATCGAGATCGTCGTCTTCTTCCTGCAAGAGATGATGCTGTCCGGCCTCTACATCTACGAGACCATCAAGCTGTTGCGGATGGGGGGCAGTCTCGGAAACAAGCAGTCCAGCCGTCGCGTGCTAAAGAATCTCATCCTCGTTAACATCCTGGTGATGATCCTCGACGTTACGATCTTGAGTCTCGAGTTTGCGAACCTCTACGACTACCAGATCTCGTACAAGCCCTTCGCCTACAGCGTCAAGCTGAAGCTCGAGTTCACCGTCCTCAATCGCCTCGTTGAGCTGACGAGCGGCGGACGCGAGCACCAGCCCAGCGACCAAAGCAGGTCATCGAGTGGCCGCAGCAACAGCACCGCCTCAGCGTTTTCGGACACCTTTTGCAGCAGCAAGTCGATTGGCGGTGGCTCGTACCATGCATATGCAAAGGGCGGATGCCCGAACCACCTGCACAAGCCGACGCCGTCCGAGGTCGAGAATGGGAACAGAGTCATGATGACAACCGCCATCACGGTGCATCATGAGAAGAGGTCCCCGGGCTGTGATGAGCTGGGGCGACCCAAGGACTCGGCAGAGGGTTCGTCGAGCGCCAGTAGCAGTTCATCGGCGGGAAGCTGAAGCTACGGAGGCGGAGAGAAAGCATGATTAGCGAGGAGCAATGGCTTCAAGGAGAATCTGAATTACTGGAGTTTTGGATCTGGAGAAGTAAGAGGCATAGAACCTGTATATAATCGCGATTCGTGTACATAAGGTAGCATCCACCACGTCAACCTGGAGAACATGTGCCATACTTGGACCCAACGTGCCACGCGTTGTCCAACTCGATTCCGGAATCTCTCCGTCTCTTGCAAAGACCATCAGTTCGCCAGGACTACAGTCAAATTGCCGCTCAAACCAGGCCAAGGATCGTGGACCCAATCATCTGACAATCCACGTCGAAAGGAAAGGATCAGCATGTGGGTGGGATCTTCGTCCTTCGCCTTTGTCTAGGTTTCTAAGCGACTGCAGAAAAAAAAAGCTTCTATTGGAGAGAGATTACGAAACCCCAGCCGTGCGACTCTGAGCGGCGCTTGAGCTGACCGGAGGTATTGAAGCATCGTCGTTGCGGCCAACTCACGGACACAACAGCTTCTCCAGCAGTTTTGAATCCCACAAGTGGTAAAGAGAGAGTGTTGCGACAAGACGACAGTCTTTTGTTGTATGTTCTCTTTCTTCCAGTCCTCGCTAGCTTATAACATTTAATTCGATGCTGCCATGTTGCCGCTCGCTCCCAGCCTCCGCCATTGCCGGAGCATCATCATCTTACATACCTTGGCCCTATGCCTGCCGCTCCCTGCATTAGCTTAAATCCTTCCACTTGCAGAGCCTCTATGAAACCAGGTTTCGCAAGGCAGTCTTTGGAGTCGAAAGAGATGCTATTTCCAGCCCGTCTTAGCCCGGCTGACTGGTTACACGTACGAAGATGTACGAGATGTGACTGTCTGTCGCCATGTCTGTCGCCATGCTCCATCAGTATTTGATCCGCGAGGCTACCTGACGTCCCGAATTCAATCAAACTCCAAGCTCCTCCAAATTTTCGTCCCCGAGATTCTGACCGTCGGTTTCGCTGGCTAAGCGTACGGCACCATGAAGACGTTCGTGTTCATCAGCACGTTTGTCCAGCTGCTGGTCCCCTGTTCAGCAGTCCTCAAGCAGTGCTATTACCCTGACGGCAGCCCGTCAAGCGATTTCCCATGCGATCCCAACGCGAAGGAGAGCGCGTGCTGCGGCTCCGGGCTTGGCTCTACATGTCTCAACAATCGGCTGTGTCAATCGAATAACGGAAACATTATTCGGGGTTCTTGCAGCGACAAGAACTGGTCATCGCCTGAATGCGCCCCGTTCTGCCTGAGTATGATATTCTTTCGTACTGCCCTATTCTGACAGTTGTCGAGACAGCTTCTCCAACTAACTCGTGTTGAACTATAGGTGCCGACACTGGAGGAACTGATCTGATATCCTGCTCCAACGTCACCAACGCCGATAATTCATTCTGCTGCGACCACACAAACGGCTGCTGCGACTCCGGCGTCGGCCGCTTCAACGTGCTGCCCAAAGAGGCCTCAGTATGGGCGACATGGAACGTCGAGGCGAGCTCATACCGCGTTGTCGGCACCGTATACACCGGCAACCCGACGAGCACATCGAGCGCAGCGACAAAGACGAAGTCAACAACAGCGACTGGTACAGCGACGACGACGACGAGTTCTACTCCGACAAACACGAGTCCGAGCGAGTCGGACAAGTCCTCCGGGCTGTCTAATGGAGCAAAAATCGGAATTGGTGTTGGTGTCGGTGTTGGAGCGGTTCTTCTTGCTGCGATTGCGTTCTTGGTGTGGAAGCTTCGGCAGAGGAAGGGGTATGGTGCTGCTCCTGTGCAGGCGCCTATGCAGGAGCTCGATGGACGTGCGCATACACCCGCTGAGCTGGACGCTCGAGGGAAGAAGACTCAGGATCTGAGGCCACCGGCAGAGCTGGCGGGATAAGGGAGCTGTTTCAGCACTGTAACATCGTTCTGTAGTTAAGATACCTATACGCCTAGACTGGATTATTAATGTCTCATTAACATAAGCTTCCTATTAAGAGTACGCGGAAGACTTGATATCGACCCAGAGCCAGAAGGGAGACAAAAGAGAACCCAACAAGCCGGGCGGAGAGCAAAAAGCCGTCACGATCTACAGGCACCAATAGTTCCTGTATAGCCACACGACGAACCGACAGGCTGGACATGCCAAGGCTCCGGGAGACGTTGCCGCCAGGCTCTCACAGGTTCAAGAGCGCCATGAAGAAAAAGCAGACGCCATGGCGTTTGGATTTGGGTAGGCCATGCTGGGCGAGAAAATAGCGGAAGTCCGAGCCTCGACATGGTCAGTTGAACGTTGATGATCACACATTGTTCTGCTTGCTTACCAACGATGCTTGTTGTGAGTCCAACATCTACTGGATTTGACACTTCATGACTCGAGGCTCGAGATCAATACCTTCTGTCTCAAGAAGCTGCATGACATCGAGGCTAGTTTTCCGATAAAGCCGCTGGAGAAAGAACAGTAAACTGGGGAGCAAATTGTCAATGTACAATCCCCAGCAATTATCCCAAAGACGTTAGCTTTCCGAGGCGTTCAAGGCAATCAGTAAATAGACAATCTTGTAAAACCCTTCGGCTTTGGAGTCCATAGCGACATATCATTGGCGGCTGTGTTCCGACTGCAACTCTAAGAACGCTCAATCACTTCTAACATCGGAATCATTTCCTGAATCGAATGTTTCATGAAAGATTGTAAGAATTCTATGACAAGCGCCTCAAATTAAATATGCACTGCGAAGATGCCGGACTGGAAGTCTCTCCACCTTCTGCACGAACATCCATGATTCGGCACATTTTCTGGGCAAAGTTGAGTTGTTTGCATGAGTATCTCGGATAGGGACGGTGGCAAACGGAGGAGGTTTAATGTCCCCTTCCACTGCATGCAGAGTCCCCTCAATCCAGGGGATCATGACCAACTATAAGATATATGGTCCGAGGAACGCTTCTCTCTTACTGCTTTTTAAGACTCCTTGTCACAACTTGAGCCAAAAAAACACGACAAGCCTATAACCACATACACTATGGCTCTTCATTGGGAAACCCTGGCCCTGCATGCCGACAACGAGTTGGATTGGAGCAACGACGTGGCGCCGCCTCTTCACCCGTCAAGCACATTCAGGTTTCCCTCTGACCCCGACCAACTCGTTCCACTACGACTTCGAAGCGTAAGTTATACATCTGCATTGAGAAGAAGGCGGTTTGACTGAAATGATTGAGTATAGGCCGAAGACAAAAGCCATGTTTATTCTCGTCTGAGCAACCCCAACACCACTCGCTTCGAAGCAGTCCTCACCTCTCTGCTCAAAGCGCCATCTTTGACTTATACATCGGGTCTATCAGCCTTGTTGGGCATACTTGTCTGCCTAAAGCCCCGTCAGATCTCGATTGCCAAGGGATATCCTGGCTGCCACGGAACGATTGCACTGATTAGCGGCCTCAATGGAATGAAGAAGATACCCTTGGACTGCGCAGTAGAAGACCTCGGCGCAGGCGACGTCATCTTCCTAGAAACTCCCGTCAACCCTACAGGAGTCGCCTTAAATATCCAGGAGTATGCCGACAAAGCACACTCAAGAGGCGCCATTCTTGTCGTCGATGCCACCTTCGGCCCTCCTGGACTGCAAGACCCGTTCAAGCACGGCGCGGATATTGTTCTACATTCAGGAACAAAGTATCTTGGGGGGCATAGCGACATTCTTTGCGGCGTCATTGCAACGAATAACCAAGAGTGGTTTGCTCAACTGAGAAAGGAGCGATTCTTCTTGGGTGGCGTGATGGGGAGTCTCGAGGGCTGGCTCGGTGTTCGCAGCATGAGGACTCTGCATCTTCGCGTGATGCAGCAAAGTGAATCGGCTACCAAGCTTGTTCAATGGCTCAACTCGGCCTTGCAATTCCGTGAGGCCGATGCTTTGTCGACTAATTTGGAAGCGCATATCATAAAGGCCGCCCTCTCTAACGTCACTCATGCGTCTCTCCAGAAGGCCGATCTGGAGCAAGGATGGCTTAAGGCTCAGATGCCGAACGGATTCGGGCCCGTCTTTTCGATATGTATGACATCTCGGGATATGGCAAGCAAGTTACCGAGCAAGCTGAAGCTTTTTGCTCACTGCACGAGCCTTGGTGGTGTTGAAAGCATGATTGAGTGGAGGACGATGACCGATCCCGATGCGGATCCCACCCTGCTTCGCGTGAGCATAGGAGTGGAAAGTTGGGAGGATCTCAAGTCCGACATTCTACAGGCATTTGAAGCTGTCCTGGAGAATAAGAAGATGGCGCAGTGACATATTGAATGATGAATTGGGTGTTCACGCGCTTGTATTGGAGGAAGAGTGGCTTCGGAAAACGAAAGCGAATGCATTGCCAAGAACGTCTGAGCTGAGTTTCTATAGATCAATTTCTTCATGCGTTAATTTATAGGAAAAGTACAGCATAATACGCCCATACATGTTGTCCTCCTTCAGATTCTATCTATCTGACTCCCAATGTGTACATAGCTTTCTATACCACCGCTTCAACTGCAAGCCACAGTTGTCGGCTCAGCAACAAATGTGTCCACCACGGCATACTTGGCATCCATACTCTCATTTACGACCTTTGGGGCAGCGAAGATGACGGAGCTTCCCATGACCGGAGCGTACTTCTTCACAGCCACTGGACGAAGGCCAGCCTTCTGGAGGATAGCATCCCATTGTGCTGCTGTGCGCTCAGAGGCGCCGAAGAGGGTGTACATCTGGAGGTCGAGTCCGGCAGGCCAGACGTGAGCTCCCTGGTCTGCAATGACGACCTCGTCGATCAAGACCATAGAGTCAGCTGACATGGCGGGAACAATGTTGGCCAGGATCTGAGCAGCCTTGTCGTCATCCCAATTGTGAAGAATAGCGCGCAGGTAGTAGTACTTGGCTCCTATATATTACGATTAGTCAATGAGTTGTTCACAGAATTGCCAGTGAAGAGCTTACCCTTCACAGGTTGAGGGGTGAAGAAATCATGCGCCATCAACTGAATCCCCTTGGCGTCCGAGGCACTCTTGATCGTCTCCTCACGATCCTGGACAATGACTCGACCAGCCAGCTCGGGGTACTTGGCCAACAAGTGCTTCGCCTGGTGGCCAGTATTGCCGCCAATGTCCACGAATACTGGTCCCTGATGATCACTGGTCGCGGAGCTGTCAAGGGGGATCACGTCGAGGCAGTTTCCCTCTTTGGGGATGCCCATGAGGCTCTGAAAGTCTTTCAGCAGATCCGGGTGCTGCTTCAGCCAGGGGAAGAGGCCCAGCTCTGTGTCAAGGCCCTTCTGGAGCGCAGAGCTCTGCGTCTGGTTCTGGTATCCCGTCTCCTTCAGAAAGTCAGGAAGGGCCTGGAAAGCAGGGTTGCTGACGGCGTGGAAGAAGCGCATGGGGCTCTCAATGCGAGGGTCAGCCAAGGAGTGCGTAGCCTTTCTGGCAATGTACTGGTCCGGCCCGGCCTCCCCAACCAGGCGATTGGCTACCAGGTAGCGCATGATGCGGCTGACCAGGGATGGATCGGCCATGGTGGGCTTGGCGAGGTCAGTTGAGCTGAGGGGAGTCTTGCTCTCCGAAAGGGACTTGAAGATTCCGAGATCACCACCGATCTTGATGAGGGCAATTTGCCGTCCCTGTTTGTGAGTGGCTATTAGTGACGACTGTACGACGGTTCACAGCATGGGAGTTGGCACTTACGGAGTTGACAAAGCGTAACATGGTATCATATGGAGTCTCAAGCTCCTCTGCCGACTCCTGCAGCGACGCAATCAAGCGGTGTCTGCTGGCTTCGTCGAGAGATGCTGGCTTGAGGCTCTTTTCGGTCGCCGCGAGGTCTGCAACGAGGTCTGAAAGGGGTCGCTCCTCGACCTTGGTGTGTCCATTTACAGGCTTGTCTCCGTTGGTGGCGACGCTTCCATGGCCATTGGTCTCGGCATGACCATTTTGTGACGCCTTCTTCGCTGTCTTCGACTCGCCATTAAGATACGAAAGCGGATCATGCCGTGTAAAGTCAACCTTGGCCTTCTTGGCTGCGGCCAACCCCAGCTTTCCACGCTCAAGGCGAGGCGCAAAACCATCGATGGAATCGAGAGTGAAGTTGTCAATATTGAGAGAATCCTCAGGTCGAACCATGCGGCGTCCCTTGAGGGTCTGCAGGATAGACTGCTCTTCAGGCGTCAGCTTCTTCTCAAGCTCATCGAGAGCCTTGCGGTTCTTCTCGTCGTAGGCGTCGCCATCGAGGCCGAGGTCCTTGAGCTTCTTCACTAGGGCTTCCTTCTCCTCGAACGAGACGTGGGCGAAGGCCTTGAAGCAGAACTCCACAGTCTTGGAGATCTCGGCTTGGGTCAGCTTTCCTTTGGCGTCTGCATCGACCTGGCCTTGGATAACTTGAGACAGTAGGGTCAGCATAATGGCACAAAGTAGTGAGCACGATACTCCACGTACTGGGTCTGAACAGATCGAATGCTCGCTCAAAAGTCTTTTCATCAAAGTCGCTGATGACAGGCTCATCTTGGGAGCGAATCTGCTTCAAGGCACTAGACACGACGACGAGGAAGCGAGTGTAGCTTTCAGCCGTCTTCTTATCGTGCCATGAAGCCGCGGCCTCCTCGCTGCAGTCACCTCGAATAGCCGCCGAGATGGTCGTGGCCGCCGACAGACCGCCTGAAAGAGCCAAGTGAACTCCCGAGGAGAAGAAAGGGTCGATGAAGGATCCAGCGTCTCCGGCGATGCGGACACCGGGGAAAGCATACTGGGAGGCGCTGTACGACCAGTCAGAGGCCGACTTGATGTCGGAGACGAGTTCGGCATTGGCGAGAAGCTCCTTGATGCCGGGAACAAGGTCCAGAGACTGGAGGTAGAAGCCTTTGGATGAAGGCTCGGCCATTTCTCGCTTCTTCTTGGTAGCCATCTCCTGGTTCTGCACAATTCCCACAGAGTGGCGGCCATTATGAAGGGGGATGAACCAAACCCAGCCGCTGCCGTCTGTTCGAGCCATCTTGTTAGTACGAGCCGTCCCGACCACTTTAAGAAGTGAGCTTACCTTTGAGGGCTTCAAAGTACGGGGCGCCCTCCTTGTGTGTTCCAACACCGTGGACGCCACCATTCGTCCAATAGCCCCAGCTTGCAACGTTCTTGAGGCCCTGGTTATACGACCGGTTCTTCAGATACTTGGTGCTGATGACGCCTGCTCGGCCAGAAGCATCAACGATGTAATCGACGGCAATCGTGCCTGAACTTCCATCTTTACGAGTCCAGGTGGCAGAGACGGGTCGGCCGGGGGTCTGGGAATCTGGAGCAGCCTGAGCAAACTCAATTGAGGCCACCTTGGTCTCGTCAAACGTCTTGACGCCGCACTCCGCTGCGTGCTTGAACAGCAGCTCGTCTGCCTCGGATCGGACCACATTCCAGGCATAACCACCGGGACCACCAGCTGCAATGAAGTCGGTGTCTAGGCAAGCTCGTTAGTAGCCGGCTCGCCAGAGTATGAAGGGTGCATGTGGAATTAGACTTACAGGTTTCTGGCCGAGACCAGTTGAGGCGGAAAGCACCTCCTTTCTATGGGAATGTCAGCTATCACCCCAATCTTATTGCGAGGATTATATAAAGCTGGCCCCCCTACCTTGATGTTGAAGCCATGGGCATCCCACTTCTCGTATGCGTCGATAAACTTGAGGAAATGTCGCATGGAGGGGAGCATGCTCTCGCCAATGTGGTACCTGTGCACGTGTAAGTCGAGCCTCAACCCACTGAATGTCTTCATCGGAGGGAACTAACCTGGGAAACTTGTCCGCTTCAAGAAGGACAACGTCAATGCCTTCACGAGCAAGGGCCGAGGCAGAGTAAGAGCCTGCTGGTCCGCCACCAATGACCAGCACGGTGCACTTTTCCGGAACATTTGCCATTGTTGTTTATGAAATGAATTGTATGCTTGTTGAAAGTGGGACGATGGCGAGAGAGGTGGTTATGCTGTCTTGATGTTGATGTCTGGTGTTTGCTGCTGAACAGATATCTTGGATGTCAGGACAATGGAAACATATATACTACTTCTTGCCCATCAAAGACTCCGTGAGACTTCAAAGTGCACCTCAAAGTGGCGATGACTTCCATCTGCAGTCTCCAAAGTGACTGATTCAAAGGATTCATTCTGGACTCCGACATGCTGCACCTCCCGTCAGCTTTGCCAATGTCTTTCCGACCTTACAGTAGATTAGTCCCCAGATTCTATCGGAAGGATTTCGGGGGGTTTAATCAATCTTCAGCTCTCTGACAGCCCTGCCAAGACTGCTTACTTCTCGGAATCCGATGAGCAACTGCGGCGCTGGGCAACCCCAATAACCGCCCAGACGCAGTAAGATCTGACAAGGAATGGATAGCTGCGGGTTTTACGCTTCCGAACAGAATCGGAATTGGTGCAACTTGGGCCATGGACCAGACTGCGCCATACGCACCTCGAGTGATGTAGACTGGGGTGATGGAATCCTCAGACGGCCAGGGGTACCATAGATCGGCCAACGTCATGGTGATTAGGCTGCTTGTGGACGAGGTGCCTATACAGCAAAAGATTCCAAGGACAACTGCAAAGTATTTGGCTGGGCTTTGAAGAACAAAAACGGTTTGGTTCCATCTGCTCACTTACACACCTACCCTGCATTTCAGCGTCTTTCGAAGCTGTATGTCTCAACAGCTTCGGGATCATCCTTCTCATTCACTTCCTTGAATAGTAAGAATTATTGTTGTTGTTCATAACCATCAGCATGGCTTCAACCACCAAACCCAAGGGATTCTACTCTGCTGGCTTCTGGACAGAGTACCTCTCGACGCAGCGAACCAAGTTGCCTGACTTGGCGGACGTTAGCAATGTATCTCCTTGCGTTGTGCGCTTTCTCGGCGGCAATCCAGGAGACATGCAACTCCAAGGGACCAATACCTATCTCATAGGGACTGGAAATAGTAGGATTCTCGTTGATACTGGCGAGGTAAGTCTTTCCTGCTAACAGTCGTTGGTTTTGCTGCTGCATCCTCCATTACGAGAGCCTTCAACTAAGCGTGATTCGGGTAGGGATTCCCTCAATGGGCCGTAAATGTGACTCGCTACCTCGAAGATCACGACATATCCATCTCTCATGTGCTTCTCACGCACTGGCACGCGGACCACACAGGCGGAGTGGCAGATCTCCTCGCCCACGATCCCAGCATATCAGTGCACAAGCAAAAGCCCGGCAAAGATCAGGAACCCATCGCAAACGGGCAAAGATTCGAGACTCAGGGTGCCACTCTACGAGCGATTTGGACGCCCGGGCACACAGCAGATCATACCTGCTTCTTGTTAGAGGAGGATAATGCGCTATTTACAGGAGACAATGTGTTAGGCCATGGCTACAGTGTAGCCGAGTGCCTGGATGAGTACACCAAGAGTCTCCGTCTAATGGCAAGCTTGGGATGTGCTATTGGGTATCCTGGGCATGGAGATGTGATACGCAATCTGCCACGAAAGATGGTAACGTACATCGCACAGCGAGACTCCAGGGAGAAGCAAGTGTACGCCGCATTACTGGAAGAAGCTTCATCCGAGAGCAACAGAAGTATTGGTAGCAGCAGTAGAAGTGGCAGTAGCTATAGTGGGAGCGACTATGGTAGTGGCGACGATGAGGAGGGTGATGAGATGGGGACGGCAAAAGGCCTCTCGACGACGGACATCAGTCTTCGTCTATACGGAGATGTGTCCAAAGATCCAGTCACATTCGAGTCAGCCTTGAAGCCTCTACTCAATCAGGTGCTGTTTATGTTGGCGGATCACGGCAGAGTTAGTTCTAAGCTGGTAGGGCCAGATAAGACGCGGCATTGGTTTGTCAAGGGCTCGACATATTAGCTAGCTTCTAGGTAACCACGCTTGAAGACACTCTCCATTGTATGAACGTGTTCCAGGATGGAACAGGGTTTCCAACACAAAACTGATCATGGAACGGTCAATAACCTCCGTCGTCCCCTTCATTCCCTTCATGCTGTGCAACAGAGAGTAGCACTCAATTCCCCAGCATCAGCAAACCCAGCGCCAGCATTAAGTGTTATCAATTGCACGTGGCTAACAACCTCCGACCACCTCCCGTTGAACATACCCTTGTTCGACCAGTAAAATGATCAGTATTGAGTCTCCGGAGGACCCGTGGGATAGCAGCAGAATCCACCGACTCGGGTTCCGAGCGTATCTGAGGCTCTGGAGAAGCTCAGTGTAACAGACTGTTGACTCCGGGGCGGCATTTCAAGCTGCAACTGGTTGCTTCCTGGGCATAAGCAATCCTCAGTGACAAATTCTCCATACGCTACTCTGTACTTTGAGTGACTATGTGTCGTTGGAATGCGAATGCGGCAACCAAATCACTCCAACTGCAACTCCACCTCATTGGAAAGGCGCTACACTTAATACCCTCTGTTATCCCTGTGACTAGACACTCATCTGGCGTGCTTTGCTAAGTCTTTCTTTACCTCTGAGGGCTCATCATATACAGGCTACCTTCCGATATCAAACACTCGAAGCCTGGTTTCATTTACCACACATCAACCGCATACACAATGAACAAACCCACCATCCCAACCCCCTCTGAGTCCCACACAAGTCTGTCAGAGATCAACGACGATGCAGAATGTAACTCTAAGTTCATCTTGTTCAGCCACGAGTTTCCAAGTGGCAATGTCAAAGACTTGATACGGAGGCTCCATAGATATGCCAAACTGCCTCGATACTCTCAGCTTGCCCGCTTTCTGCAGGAGAGCGCTTCGGTGCTCAGGCAAGAGGTCCAGAAGCTTCCACGCCCACTGCGTGATCAAGTCCCCCCCTTCAGCGATATCATAACACTGGCGTCACATTGGGACAGACTCAAGGAGAGTGCTTTGTGTGGGACGTGGGAGGGTGCTTTTCTTTGCATCTATGAGATTGCTGTGCTGATTGGGTAAGTCTTTGTTGTCTCACCAACTCAAGAGATCAAAACTGACAAGGGATCAGACATCATGAAGCACATGATCTTCCTTACACGCTCGGGACAAAAGACGCCATTGGTAGAACCTGTCTGGCCGGAATCAGCGTCGGCCTCTTTTCAGCTGCAGCAGTAGCCGTCTCAAGTTCTCTGGTAGACCTCGTTTACTACGGAGTGGAAAGTGTTCGCATTGCCTTCTCATTCTGCGTCCACGTGGGCAAAGTCTCACAGCTACTTGAGCCTACCGAGCGCACAAAGGCAGCTTCGTCTGTTAGCTGGGCCTATGTCGTGATTGACGTTCCGGCTGAAGTCGTGCAGGCAGAGCTGGACCGCTTCAATGGCCAACATGAAGCGACAGATGCCGATTCAAAGGCGTCCCGCCTCGCCCAAGTCAGCATCAGCCACGTTGACCAGGCTTCAGTAGGCGTCACTGGTCCGCCGGCTCGAGTTGAACAGCTCTTTCGCCGATCGGAGGTGCTTGGCTCATCTCGTCACTCTCCGCTGCCCATCTCGGGAGGTCTTTGTCATGTTCCCAACGTGTACGACGCTGACGATATCCGTTCAATCCTTGAGACTGCCGAAGTATGGGAAAGATGGTCCTCTCGTCCTGTTCGGCTGCCGCTTCTGTCGCCAAACACAGGGGCCCCCTTTTTGGCGGCTGATGCGTACCACCTGATAGAGGCCATCTGTACTGAAGCTCTAACGAAGCCTCTGTACTTCGACAAGATCGCCGAGGGTGTTGTACTGCAGCTTTTACATCAAGAGGACCTGCCACCGTTGTCGATCCAGATCCTGCACTATCGCACGTCGCTCATCTCAGACACAATCATCTCCGACGTGACAAAGAAGCTGTCAGCTGCTAGTCCGTCAAGACAGGACCTGGTCGACTGGGCAATGGAAGACGAGGGTGCTTCTGAACAGCCTCATGGGAACTCAAGCCTCCCACAGAACTCCAAGCTGGCTATTGTTGGCATGTCATGCCGGATGCCGGGGGGCGCCGACAGTCCCGAGCAATTCTGGGAGCTGTTGATGAATGGTGTTGATACTCTTACCATTGTTCCAGCAGACAGGTTTGATGTTGACGCGCATTTCGACCCCAATGGAGAGATGGAGAACGGTGTGGGAACCAGATTCGGCAATTTTATAGACAATCCTGGATACTTTGATGCCGGATTCTTCAACATGTCTCCACGAGAGGTAAGCTTGTACTCGCTACAGTCTTGATATGAACCACAACTCTAACGATGGTATCTTCGTGAAGGCTGAGCAGACAGATCCCATGCAACGTCTAGCCCTTGTCACTGCATACGAGGCGCTGGAAATGGCCGGCTTCGTCCCAAATCGAACGCCATCCTCTCACGTATCCCGTGTAGGCACTTACTACGGCCAAGCCAGCGATGATTACCGTGAAGTCAACGCGAGCCAGAAGATTGGCACCTACGGCATTCCTGGCACCGAGCGTGCTTTTGGAAATGGCCGCATCAATTACTTTTTCAACTTCCACGGGCCAAGCATCAACGTCGACACGGCGTGCTCGAGCGGCTTGGCTGCGGTACATGCCGCTTGCTCTGCACTTTGGGCTGGTGATGCTGATACTGTCGTTGCCGGGGGACTTAATGTTATTGTAAGTGGCAAAGCAAATCGTGATAAAAAAGATTATGCTGACCAAAGGCTGTGATAGACAAATCCTGACATCTACTGCATGCTAAGCAAGGGACACTTCTTGTCCAAGACTGGCCAGTGCAAAGTGTGGGATTCGGGCGCTGATGGCTACTGCCGAGCAGATGGAGTTGGCTCTGTGGTCATCAAGCGACTGGACGATGCCATTGCCGATAATGACAACATCTTGGCTACTATCGTGTCGGGCTCGACGAATCAGTCAGCGGAGAGCATTTCGATAACTCAGCCACATGCTGGCGCTCAAAAGGACAACTACCGCCAGGTGATGGACAAGGCCGGCATCAACCCTCTGGATGTTAGTTATGTCGAATTGCACGGCACTGGAACCCAGGTGAGCCTATCAAGTCTGTGATTTATGCTTGTTGAGGACTCTAGGCTAATGTGTTGTTTAGGTCGGAGATGCTGTCGAGTCGGAATCAGTCCTCGACTTCTTCGCCCCCCTAGGCACTCGTCAACGCTCCGAACAACGATTACACCTCGGCGCAGTTAAATCAAACATCGGACACGGTGAAGCTGCAGCAGGAATTGCTTCGTTTATCAAGGTTCTCTTGATGTATAAACATGGCATGATTCCGCGTCACATCGGCATCAAATCAACAATGAACCCCGTCGTGGCTCGGCACCTGGCTAATCGAAATGCGGGCATCCTCTCCGAAAACCGCCCCTGGCTTCCAAAGCCCAACGGCAAAAAGCGCTACTCCATCGTCAATAGCTTTGGGGCTCATGGTGGAAACACGACGTTGTTGCTGGAAGATGCGCCGTTGCCGCTGACCCAGGGAGAAGTCGACGATTCCTCCCTTCCAGGGGCGACAACTTCTCAGGTCATTTGCATCTCAGCCAAAAGCAAAGCTTCACTTCGGGGTAACATCAGCGCTCTGATCCGTCATTTGGATACTCATCCAGAGACAAAACTCAGGGACCTGTCTTATACGACGTGTGCGCGAAGAATCCACCATCACATCCGCATTGCCACCTCCGTTTCCACCACTGCCCAGCTTCGCAAGTTCCTTGAGGCCGCCTCTGAAAACGTCGATACTCACGCAAAACATGTTTCTGCAGCCAAGAGAAAATCTGTTGTGTTTGCCTTCTCCGGTCAGGGGTGCTTCTATCAAGGCGCCGCTGCACAACTGTTTCAACAGGCACCTTCGTTCCGTGAGCAGGTTCTCCAGCTCGATCGAGTTGTTCGCCAACTAGGCTTTCCCTCCGTACTCGCTGCTATCATTGGCGATGCAATAAATGCTACGACATCGCAAAATTGCTCCAGTGCAGCCAGCGAGAGTGGTGACGACGGAGCTGCCTCAACTGACGGAACCAGCTCAGTCTCGTCAACGGTGACCATTGAGAGCCCGCTTGTCATTCAACTCTCCATGGTGGTCATGCAGATTGCCTTGGTACAGTACTGGGCACTTCTGGGCATCCAGCCTGACCTCGTAATCGGCCATAGTCTTGGAGAGTACGCCGCTTTTGTTGCAGCTGGCGTACTGTCCGTGGCAGATGCCCTATATCTGGTCGGCAGACGAGCTAAACTCATGCTGGCTGCCTGCGAGCCCGGAAGCCATGGCATGCTGTCAGTTCGCGGTGCTTCAGTCGGCCGCATCGCCGAGCTGTGCAAGGAGAGTGGCCAAGAATATCGCTATGAGGTATCGTGCATCAACGGAGTCACGGACATTGTGGTCAGCGGCTTGCGGGCCGATATCGTTGCTCTGCAAAATATGCTGCAGGGTGCGGGTCTGAAATGCGTCTTGCTTGACATCCCCTTTGCTTTTCACTCCGCTCAACTAGAGCCCATCTTGGAAGAATACGAAGACGCAGCTCGCCGTGTCACGTTCAAAGCCCCTGCGGTTCCGATTGTCTCACCACTTCTCGGAAAGTGCATCTCCCAGGGCGAGGTTATAAACGAGACTTATCTACGCCGTGCCACGCGGGAATCTGTCGACTTTGTCACGGCACTTGATGCCGCTCGGGCTGATGGCTTGGTCGATGATAATGCCGTTTGGATCGATATTGGACCTCATCCCGTGTGTACTTCCTTCGCACGCAACCACTACCCGAAAGGGACCACACAGGCCTTTGCATCACTCAGACAAGGAGATGATACGCTGTCTAACTTGACGGGAACTCTAGCAGCACTACACTGCTTGGGTTTGCCAGTTGCTTGGAACGAGTACTTTGCTGCATATGAAAGGTCCCTTCGCCTCATTCATCTCGAACCGTATCAATGGAATCAGAAGAACTACTGGATCCAGTACGAGGGCTCATGGACTCTGGATAAGACACATGCGGGCAAAGCCAAGAACGACAAGAAAGACTCATCCTCTCCACCATTCTTCACTTCGTCTGCACAGGCAATCATTTCACAGGAGTTCAGTGAGTCTGTCGGGCGGATGACGGTGCTGTCCAATCTGGCCCACCCCGACCTTGCAGGAGCAGCTACTGGACATAAGATTAATGGAAGAAGCGTAGTTACTGGGGTAAGTTTGGCTCACTTGAATCCCTTCTCATGCTGTCTGCATTGCTAACGGACCCTTTCACAGAGCATATGGGCGGATCTCACCCTCACTATTGGCGAGTACTTGTACAAACAGATGGTAAAGGATGGCGACGAGCCATATATGGACGTTCGAGATATGGAAGTCCTCGAAGGACAAGTCTTGTCCTTGGAACCATCAGCGGAGCAATTCATCCAAGCTGAAGGAGTCTTGGACTTGTCGAAAAGACTGACTCACATCACCTTGTACACAGCCACTGCCGACGGAACCCGCAAGACGGAGAAGCCATTCGCCACGGCGACTGTTTGCTATGAAGACGTGCAAACCTGGAAGTCTGAATGGCAGATGGCTTCGCATCTAGTTGCCTCGCGCGCCGATTCCTTGTGGAGAGCAGCAGGCGAAGAAGCGGCAAACGCTCGCAAAGTCAGCAGCCTCTCTCAAGGCGCTGTATACCAACTCTTCGCAAACGTGGTTGACTACAGCTCGCGATACCGCGGAATGCAGCGTGTAGCTCTAGCCGAAGAGACGCAGGAGGCTACAGCAGACATCACGCTGGATGTCGACCGTCACGGAACCTGGCATACGCCGCCTCACTGGATCGACAGCACCTTTCAGCTCGCCGGCTTTGTCATGAATGCCTTTGGTGTTCAGGGCACGGGAGAAGCTGCCGCGTCTTCACGAGACTTCTTCTGGATCACTCCTGGATGGCGTCACTTCCGTCTGGCGGAGAAGCTTGAGCCGGGCGTTGCTTATCGCAACTACGTCCGCATGTTCCCAGTGAAGGGCGAGCCTGGTGCCTATGCCGGCGATATATATCTGCTGCGGGGCGAAGCAGTTGTGGGAGTGTGTGCCGGCATCAAGTTCAAGAGAGTTCCGCGCTCGTTGATGCCCATCATGTTTCCCTCGGGCCAGACTGGCAAGAGTCGCACTCAAGCTCCTCTCCCGAGTCATACCAGTCGCAGTATTGCTCCCAAAGAGCCCGTCAAGCCAAAGCCGCCCAGCGCTATTTGTGATGTTCCTCATGCAAGAGAGCAGCAGCCAGTCGTCGCCAGACAGGCACCAGAGCCTGTTGCAAGAGCGCCGCCAGCAACCCAGCAGAAGCCGAAAGAAGGCGGACCAAATCCTCATGTGGCCGCTTGTTTGCAACTCATTGCCGATGAGACGGGTCTAGAATTGGAAGATTTATCTGGCGATGCCGCATTCGCAGAGTTGGGCGTGGACTCGTTGATGTCGCTGGCTCTGTCTGGCAAAATGCGTGCCGAGCTGGGTATTGAGGTTCAGGCGTCCATTTTTCTCGAATGCGCGACTGTACAAGAGTTGACGGAGTGGCTGAGCAAATAGATTGAGGAAGGGTCGGTTCTCCAGTGTTTTTCGGTTTGAAGATGTTAGCAAAGCGAAGAGTGATGGGCAGAAGAGTGGTAGAAGTCATGTTTTGGCGAATGTGTTGCCCAGGGACATGGCAAAGAGCTGGTCCCTATGAATGTGCATGAGAAGTAAATATAACTTGAACGCATTATCTCAATTGTTAAATACCTGTTTTAATATTTGCCGGGAGTTTATTTAGTACCCAACGTTATTGTCGCACAAAAGGGCATGTCCTGGATATTCTTGGCTGACCATCAAAGCTTCACTCCAGCACGACTCCTAGCAACTTCAAACCCTATCATTCCTAACTACAGGTTCACCCTTTGACTAGGCTCCAGATTATATTCCAAATATCTTATACGAGTTCAGTTTCTCTTTGAATATGCTTTCAGTGAGCCTGAGAAGTTGAGTAGTTTCCTCTTCAGTACCCCGAAGTTGAGAATATGGCTGCTGCTGCATGCACAACCAGCTTTAGAGTGACTCTAGCATTCTCTTTCTTTCACATAATACAGATCTCTTTGAGAAAGATTGGATGAACATCAGAATGCGAAATATCTTCTCGATCTCGATCAATGTCCCTGAAAACCTCCACTTGATAACATCATATAAGAGAATGTATTCCATTCTCACGATCTTATGTAGACCCATCAAGAAGAGATGCGACTCTCAGCTCTCTCGTGGAGTCTCATTGCTCCGTTAACCGATGTAGCTATTCATTCTTGACCCTTCATGTTACGGGGAGCCTCGGTCCATGTAGGGTATGCGCAGAAACATGGATCCTACGAGTTCACTCAGCCTTATCTCATTAAGGTAAACCGAGGTCATACCCAGACTTTACCACATTGTAGCGTCCGGCTCAACGGAACCACACCCTCTGTTAATTCGCATCAAAGGATACCCGCGGAACGGCAATAAAGCACGCAAGATGATGCTTCTGGATGGACTGATTCTCCCTGCTCAATGATCGCCTTGCAGCGGACCTGAAGATCATGCCCACATGCTCAATGGGCTAGAACTTGAGACACACAGTAGACGCCAAGGACCCTTTTCTGCTTTGGTTCCCATTAAGCGCCCCGGCACGGAGAGCAGCCGAACGAGGGTTACATTTGGAGAAGACGTACAGCGAGATCCGACCGGTGGTGTAGCATTGCATCTTACACCCAGATTGCGTGCAGCCTTTACGTGCTTTACGACCTGCTGAACCGGGCACACCAGCGCGAGGCCAGGTGTTATCGACGGCGCAATATGGGCCAGCTGATGTGGGACGTTTCAATGGAATGGAGGTCGATATATCATTCTTTCTCGAAGCTCAGCAACTGATGACTGGCAGTGAGTTATTTCTTTGCTCAGATGCAATCTCCGTTAACAACCATCCCACGTGTTATTTGAAGATTGCAGCATGGGGGCAGTCAATAGCGGGAGGTTGTGTAGATTCAGCCGCGAAAGCTCCGTTTTATCCATACTGTCGACCGTGATTCTCCGATCGCCAAGTTGTTTGATCAGAGGCCCATCTCGGGAGCTACCTTGACTATTGCTTGTCTGTACCCTTGGAATACTACATGAATATTGTCCATGGACACAAGATGCGGCCCTTATGCTATGCTCCCAATGCATTGGTATCTCAGATAATAAGCCCGCATCATTCAGAACATAAGCAGTCAACGGAAGCATATCTTGTGAAATACGAAGCATATCAAATCTCAAATACCACACGCGTAAACGACAAAGGTGAGCCCCAACATTTCTATTTTAGGGGGCCAAAGTGCCAACTGCTGGGCGATGCATGCTGATGGCTTGTATTCTCCCCAGCCGCGGCAATTCTCGTCGTTAGATCGGGCTCTTTTCTGCCGTCTTACACTCGCCTCATGCATCCTCCTCACTTCTGCCTGTCAGACCTGAATTATGCGGGGTCAGCGTCACAAAGTCCTACGAGAGCAGCTCACCCAGCCGCGTTGCTCGCTTCGATAAGAGTATTACTACCTAGGTGTCTGATGCGAGGCGCATACGAAGCCTCTCGGCTCACCATACGCTTCTTACACGCCGTCGTGGGCCCCCCTCCATGAAGGAGCTGGATCCTGGCCCGCATGCAGAAAGGAACCCTGACCCTCAGCCATACGCTGGGCTCAGATGCAACGTCGAATCCATATGGGCATTGGCTAGTTTCAGCCATTCCTGCGGCTCCGCCAACCGATGGAACGCAGATTAGGGGGGAGAAATCGCAACCTGTTTCCTTGCTATCTTGCAATCCTTGTGTAATTCACACGGTGAGCTCAGAGCCTAGGTATGGGAAACAACCTCTACAAGCCTTATAGTATAACATTGTTACACTGCGATTGAGTTGAGTATCTTAGTTCGTCTGGCTGATTATACCATACAAGTCCAAAGTGAGGCTCTAGACCATTGAACTCAGTCCTGTTGGAACGCGTTGACTGTATCTTGTTCAACCATGGCGTCCTCTTACGGCACTCATGCCCCGGCTCGGAAACTCAAGGACTCGTGCGACCTGTGTTCAGCCTCCAAGCTGCGTTGCAACAAGCAGAAGCCGACGTGCGCTCGTTGCGCAAGTCTCAACCAACCATGTTCCTACAGTCCAGCCCGTCGAGCCGGCAGGCCACATCGTGTGAGGGAGAAGAGCCAGCAGCAATGCTTGGAGATGTCAGTTGACAGCACGATGGGGTCTGTGGGAGATGGCAGCAAAAGCCGCGAGATGAGCCTCGATACGACATTTCTCTGCATGCAATCAATAAGACAGGATCAGAGCCATCCACAGCAACGGCAGCAGCAACGGCAATCGCAGCAACAACAACAACAGCAGCAGCAAGCAGCTGTACCACCATCTTGCCAAGCCCCTTATCAAGATGCAGGCGGCGGCGACTGTGCCAGAATTGCCATCACTATCTTGGAACAACTAGATGTCGCCAGACGAAGGGCGGGTCACACATCCGTCAGCTCAGCAACCACAGACGCATGCCAGAGGCTTTTAACAATACTCGTATGCCCATGCTCAGAGCAGCCTGGTGTAGCACTCCTCGTGGCATGCGGATGCATCTCTCTCATGGACACGGTACATCATTGCCATGTCCTCCAGAGTGCGCCAAGTCAGGAGACGTTGACTAGAACAACACCTAGCCCCAGCCCAGAAAAGGATCTACCTGGTTGGCATAGGCCGTCATCTTCCAACAACAACGGCCAGGGAGTCGAGCAGCTGGCAAAGATTGCCAAGGTCATCTTGCAGTTCACAGACAGATACTCGCAAGAGCCAAAGGGCGGTGCAGCATGGACGCAAACAACATGGCTGGTGGCCCCGATTGCAGCATTGCTTCGATTCAGATTGCAGACTGTCACTCATCAGGCGGCGAAGAGTTTAGTATTCTAACAGGGGAACTCAGACACTAGACAAACACACAACGAACAAACATCCCGGAAGATTGCTTTATATAGAAGAGTATCAGCTGTGCTTGTTTCATTATGATAGATTTCTCGCTCATTACTGTAGCAATATACGCATAACTGTTTAACATTACTAGTAAGATTCTACATTTGGTTGCCTCTTTGGTTACACAGACATCAAAACGGCAACTTCACTGCACTGACTGAGCACTTTGAGAAGCATCCTATCCCCATAGATCAACAAGGAAGAATATAATACAAAGCTCCAGGTCTTGAAAGAAACAAAAAGGCAAAACATACAACAGCCGGTGTTCGCCAGTGGTCACCCACCTGACTACTAATCTGCCTCTCATTAGCTTGACTCTGGGAGAGCGGACGGGATCCCGTATTCTCTAATGGATATGGTCGTATGTGATGGGCTGTGTCTTGTCTACGATCATGAATGGGAGGATCTGAGGAGAAAAAAAGGTTGGTTGATTCGTTGGTTGGTAGAGTTGACAAGTTGGGTTGAGAGATGAATGTTCATTGTAGTGCTATCTAGAGTGTCTCTGCTCCTCTCGCCCACGCGCTACTGGAGACCGGCATCTTTTCTTTGGTAAAGTCCCATAGTCGAGCGTCCTGTTCATCAATAGATATCCCTGGCTTAAGCTCGGTCATACCAGCTTCTTACGCACCAGGCAGAAGGTTGCCCCCAATGTATCGCGGGAATCCCGAGAAGCTGAGCCACAGCTCGCCGGTTCCAGGAGGGCCCCCAACGATTTCCTTCTCACGGCTCTTGAGCTCATCAACGTCCCAGGCAGAAAAGACAAGCTTGCCGTTGAGGAACTTGGCCTCGGGAGAAGCAATCCAGACGAGGAAGTCTGCGGGAAGAGAGACTAGAGAAGAGATTAGCATGTTTGGCTTTAAACCAGTTGTTGTGATACTTACTGTCGTCGTAATCAAAGGGCAGCTTGGTAGTCTTGGACAACTGGGCAGACATGGCAGTGTCGAGGAATCCAGGGTGCACGTTGTGAAGGCGCACTTGAGGGTTCTCGGCAGCAAAGGATTGGAGGAGCTTGACGGCCGCCATCTTGCTGCTCACGTAGGCACCCATACCGGGGAAAGGCGGGAAGAGAATGCCCGCAGTTGTGAGATTGACGAGTGTAAACTCCTTCTCCTTGTTGGCCAGGACGGCAGCCTGTGCCACCACCAGCGTTCCCACAACGGTCGTCTTGTAGCCATCGAGGAAAGTGGTGGGATCAGCTTCAACAAGGGGAACAACCGGGGCCAGGACGCCAGCAGCATGAATCACAATGTCGATGCCGCCGAATTCGGCTGCCACCTTGTTGAAGACGTCGCGGACGGCTGGTGCGTCGCAAAGGTCGACCTTGTGAGTCTGCACGACGACATCGGCGTTCTTGGACCGCACGAGGGCCTCAGTTTCGGCCAAGGCATCAGAACGGCGTCCAAGAAGAATAAGAGCTCGCGGTCCCGAGACGGCGTAGGAGGCGGCGGTGGCACGGCCAATGCCGCCAGAGGCACCGGTGATGAGGACGACCTTGCCATTAGTTGACAGGGCGGGCGAGCTAGGAGAGATGGCAGGGTAGGTGGTTGAGTGAGCCACCTTGGTGTAGGAGAGCGGTGGCGGTGCCATTGTGTCAAGCCGTGTCTGTTCGGGATGAAGAGTTTAGTGTACGAGGCGAGTGATGAGTGAAGGATAGGCGCTAGAGCAACAATTGGTGTTCAAGGATTGAGAGGAAGCGTGTAGGTAAGATTGAAGCGTGAGAGGTAAGATGCTCTGACATTGACAACCTCGACCCAATCCATCAACCTTTATAACTCACAGCCTAACAGCTATACATCCACTCTGGTTCACGTTCGTTCCAACATGTCGAAGGAATACACGAGCAATGCCCCGAGACACTGTGTGATGTAATATTCGGAGGAATGGCCGACACGCAGTTACATTGCGTTAGTGCTGCCAAAGGATCCTTCAGGTGTGTTGGTCGTAAGTGCAGCGGCCCTCAAATGTGCGTTGGCCCATGCATGTTCCCACGAGGGAAAAATAGGCCGCAGCCCCCAATCATATCGAGGAGGGGGTCCTTTGTCGTCGTCCGCGTGTTTTCGCACGCCTAGGGATTTGGGGCTGACGGGGAGCAAGCCAGCAGCTGCGCCCTCTAATACGGCTGAGAGACGTTTTATGGACATGGAGAGGAGAATGGCGCTGGAGACGTGCATATCGGCAATGTTTCAGCTAGCAGGCTTGCCACTATCTCGAGAAGCGAGCGTGTGCTGTACGAGAACGATGATGTCGGGAGACGGGACGAAGAAGTCATCTTGATAGGCCTACGGCCGGCCATGACTATGTATATAGTATCAATCTCATCATGCCTACCTACGTGAAACGCATTGTCCCTTAGGTATGCCGGTACGTTGATATACATTCACTCTTTGAGCAAACCACAGCCATACAGACCTCCCCATACCGCCCCAAATGGACACCGCAGACGCATATGAGCGTGGAACTTCCCTGCCACCTCCAGACGCATCAATGGACGACTTCTTGGACGTCGAGAGCTTTGTCACATCCGTTGCAGAGCTCCTGACCCCTCCTGATCTCGAAGCATTCAACTTTGAGAGCAAGGACCTGTCGCCCAAGTGGCTGAACGACGTCTTCTCTATTACACCAAGATCAACCACCGAGCTTGTCCCTCCCTCTACAGCGGAGATCTCGGACACCACATCACTACCGAGAGCGACATGTTCGGAGATTCACAAGTGCCGAAACCCTCAGGGTCTTTGCCTTAGCTTGGCCACAGGGCTGCTCAAGTCAATGCACTCCTGCTCCCCGTCGTGCCTCCTCGGGCTCGGCATGGGCAGCCAGCACGGAGAGCCGCCGTTGTCTCGGGCTGTCGACAATGTCCTGTCCACCAACTACGAAGCCCTGCGGGCCATTCGTGGCTTTCTCCGATGCCCTTGCTACGCAAGTCCGCAGCTGCAGCTTCTGGTGACTGTCATGTGCGCTGAGGCCATCGCCTGGTACTGGCGCATTATAGACACCTATGGCAGCCGCTGCGGTAGCACGAGCATGGACGGTAGTGTCCAGCTAGCGGAGAGGGTCGAGATGTCGCGGAGGTCGTTCTTCATTGGCGACCAGTGCTTGGAGAGCCGTCTCGAGGCGAGCCTCATTGGCCAGGTCGTCGCCAGTAGACTGCAGGAGCTAGAAGATCTGATTGGGGACATTTCGTGGAACACGGAGCAATCTGCCGCAGCCACCAGCGAGCCGAGAGGCCATCCAATGTACAGTGCGGTGCATATAAGGATGGATGCGTTTCTGAATACGCAGCTAACGGCAGTTCGACGGGAGTTGCTCAAGCTACGCGATGACGCTCAGGGGCATCAAGAGGAGAATAGTGGTCAACGATATGCTCATGGGTCGGCTTCTAGATGATGGCGTACAATCTTACTCTGGAATATTACACTGGATGCTGGCGATAGTACATAGACACGAAGAAATAGAGACAGAATCATGTTCGCTCGTACATCATGGCTACACTCTCTACACTCTAGCAACTCCCTCATCAGAGCTATAGCCTGATTCACGTACTAGAACAGACAGTTACACTCGTAGTCATTACGGGGACTCCTTACGTGTCTCACGAATGATGTTGCTGACGACGTCTGACGGTTGGGCAAATAATACTGATCTCCACGAAGGATTCCTTTGTCGATATCGACATGTGATGTGTTTCCAATGCTCCACGCACTACCCCATTGCTGCGTCAAACACTTGGCAAGGGTCTCCGATGGAGCTAAACGCAGCTTTTCAGCTCCCCTGAATCCTTCGATCCTTTCACCAAGTATAAATGATCAGCGTCAGCACTATCTGCCGACGACTGAGATTGTAATCGGGATCCGAGAATCCCTGTCGCTTACATGTTATGTATGGGCGGCAAAGCTTCAACCACTAAGGAATCCTTGGGATGCAGCATTGGCGTGTATAGTAGAATAGTGCGCCGCAATTGGTCTTCGGCATCGTCCTTAAGAGTTGTCACAACGGGATGTGGCATAAGTAAGATTTCTTCGGAGTCCGTAATTAAGGCGCCCTTGCCGATATCCGGGCCCCCTTACACTATTGACATTGGAAGCGATCAAGAGCGCCACCAACGGCACTGAATATTGCGACGACCGATTCCGAAGCTCTGTAGTTGTGTATGTAAGTTGTATCCACTGGGATGGTGGCGTAGAGGCATCCTTTGGAGGTCATGCACCACATGAAGCCATGACAGCCTCACTTTCGGCAACATCAGGGAGAGAGAGTTGGTGCAGGTGGAAGAATACCTAAGAAAAGCATATATAGACTCAGCTATATACTAAGAAGGCTATGGCGCTATTTATTAGACATATCATCTACAGCTGTCATAGTTTTAACATCTCGTTGAAGGCTTGACGAGCCACCTAGTCTCTCCTTTATCCTTTTCCTTGCCTTGGTGGTTCATTGGTGTTCATTGCGAAGCAAGGTCTACTACCTATCTACTCAACACAATGTATCCATTCGCTCTCTGCCTATTGGCCGCAGTGTCATCTGTCTCTGCGTCAACTGCTCAGACATGCAAGACTCTCGACGCCAAGATCCCCGGCCGTGTCTCTTACCCAGACAGCACCGCATACAATGCTTCCATCTCGTCCTACTACAGCGGCCAGGAACGGGATTTAAATCCCGGTTGCATCTTCAGACCTACCAGCACTTCTGAGGTCTCTCAGTTTATCAAGCTGGTGACTTCGAGCGGAAACACTCAGTTCGCCGTGAGAGGAGGTGGTCATACCCTCTGGCCCGGCGCCGCCAATGTCGATGGCGGCATTACTGTCGATATGCGTGCGATGAACAGTCTATCGTTGAGCGAAGACCACAAGATTGCCCATCTGGGAGCGGGAGCCGTCTTCAGTGACATTTATCCCCAGCTTACGCCCTATAACCTGACTGTTATGGGAGGTCGGGTCCCAGGCATTGGGGCAGGAGGCTTCGTCACCGGTGGTAAGTATTCATTGTGTCTGATATCTCATGATTTACAAATGCTGACTCAAAGCTACCTAGGCGGCATCACTTTCCTATCCCGCAAACATGGCTTCAGCTGTGACAACGTCTATGGCTACGAAGTCGTCCTCGCTAGCGGCAAAGTTGTCTACGCCAGCCAGAGCTCCAATTCCGACCTCTGGCTTGCCCTCAAGGGCGGATCAAACAACTTTGGCATCATAACCCGCTTCGACCTTGCCGCCTTTCCCTTGGGCAACATGTGGTACAGCGATCTGAGTTACAATTACACCGACAGCGTGTTGTCGGCCAATGCCAAGGCCTTCAGCAAGTTTATGAAGCCGGCCAACTACGACAGCGCCGCCATGATGGGCATGTTCGTGTACTATACGAACCAGGGCTTTGGCGTTTCGAATGCCATGTGGTATGTTGAAGACGTTGCCAATCCAAAGGTTTACGATGCCTTCACCCAAATCCCCAACCTAGGCGGCGTCTCGGAGCTTGCCACTGTTGACAAGGTCGTCAACGACTTCGGACAGAACCTTCCAGCAACTACCGGCCGGTAAGCCTGACCCAGCCTTGGCAATAGGAGATGTCCGAGCTAATCATGATTGGAAACCTCTCAGGTCATACCAACTCACCTTCACGTTCAACAACCCCCCTGCTTCCGTCTACCTGCAGCTGATCCAAATCTGGGAGAAACGCATCACGGCTCTCTCAAAGGTCGAAGGGCTCTTCATCGAGTTCCTCTTCCAACCCCAGCCTGTCACCAACGGCACCAACATGTTTGGCCTGACCCCAGGAAAGACTGACTACGTGCTCATCGACATGACGGCCGCCTACGACAACGCGTCTGACGATGCTCTGGTTGAGTCCGTCATCAACGACATTGTGAAGCAGCAGCGCGCACTGCTGAAGTCGAGTAAATACCTTGTCGACTTCATCTACCTCAACTATGCCGACATTTCGCAAAATGTGCTGAGCACCTGGGGCGCCGGCAATCTCGCGAAGCTGCAGGCCGTCAGCAAGAAGTACGATCCAAAGGGTGTTTTCCAGACTAGATCTCCTGGCGGTTATAAGTTGTTTAAGAAATGAGGGCAGTTGTCACTTTGATACGTCTGTTGCTGTTTTTGTCGATATTGTTAGAATAGCCGTGCAGCTTGGAGAGGGTTTGTTTACTTCCGTTGTAGATGCTAGAGATGTATGTAATAATAGAATTATTTGTGTTGAGAACTACGCTCTCACATTTCACATATAAAAGAAAACGGACTATATAGGCCCCTCCTAGAGTTTGAATTGGTTTGCATTATTATGTCTCTCGCAGGAATAGGCCTTGATAATAACATTCGGAACCCAGGCTTACATCCTAGCTGCAGGCTCCCCTGATAAGTGTGTGCAGCCTCGGCATGGGATTGGCTTGTAGCTCCCCGCACGTCTTACGATGATGTCCGACCATTGAGCAGTTGTGAGAGAATTCCATGTAGTTTCGTGGCCTGAACAAAGCGGCTGTGCGCTCAGGCAGCAAGATCGCAGTCACAAACATCCGGAGGCCTGTCCGTATGCAGCGGACAAGTCACGTCTCCATGTACCTCACAGGTCGATCAAAAGCCTCACTTCAATTGCTTGACGATGAGCTTGAGTTGGTGGTCGCAATGGTGGAAACAGTCTCCAAGCGGCGGCAATGAACATGCGCCCAAGAAAGCGCCGACATATCGCATACGCGGCGTGCCCAACGACTGGGACAAGGACAGGCTGGAGACGTTCCTCGCTGAAAGAGGCTTTATATCGCGACCTTCCGTACGGTCCCTGGCCATCGAGTTCCACGGGCGGTCGCAGACAGCTACGGTTCTCTTCGATACCACCGGCCATCTGCCACTGAAGATACCCCTGCCTGATTCAGGCGGCGAGTCCCACAGTCTGGCGTTGGATCCTGGCTTTCTGAGCATCACGAGTCTCTTTACGCCCTGCCAACAGGATCATAAAGTCGAGTAAGTGCATGCAGTCGGTTCCCTCCGAATGGACGAATGGACGAATGGATGAATTACTAATTAACGCTTCAAAGCATCATTGCTATATCTGGCCTCAGCGGACACGCATTCGGATCGTTCAAAGAGCGAAACGGAGAGTACATGTGGCTGAGAGACTCACTTCCGCACGCCATGGTTGATGAGAATGGCAAGAATACTGCACGCGTAATGATATACGGCTACGACTCAAGTCTTCCAAACAGCGACAGCTTTCAGAATCTCGAGGACCTTGGGACTGCGCTTCATTTCACGCTTCGAATGCTGGCAGTTGACGGCAAGTTTAAGCCCATTGTATTTATTGCTCACAGCTTGGGCGGACTGGTCGTCAAACAGGTTTGTTCGCTCATCATAATCTGCAGCCATTTGCGATAACGCCATCTCACATTGCCCTGTTAGTTTCTCATTTCTCTCAGCAATTCCAGCGACGAACTGGATAAGAAATTAAGACGCGCAGTCTACGGCATCGCCTTCTTTGGTGTCCCTCATGATGGCATGGATATTCGTTCGCTGATTCCCATGGCTGGGAACGGACCAAACCGATTCCTGCTCGAGTCTATTGGATCCTATAGCTCGCAGGTCCTCAGCACTCAGCAGCGTGATTTCACACAAGCTTTGGGAGGCCAGGGGGAGACTGAGCTTATTTCATTCTACGAAACACGAATGTCGCCAACCGCGATCAAGGTGCGTTTCCCAACGTCTAGCTAGTTGGCGAACTGTGCTAATGCTAGAGTATAACAGGATGATGAGGGCAGATGGAGCATGACAGGAGAGCCAGCTATTCTAGTATCGAAAGCGTCAGCCACTCATTGCAGGCCGTGGGAGAGCGGACCCGAGCATACCTGCGCCATTCATCGTACGCACTCCGACATGGTCAAGTTTGCGGACCAAGATCCCGAATATGACAAGGTCCTCGGCCGGATTGCTAGTCTTGCGAAGCGCGCGGTTCATATGCGAAGAAGTATGTAGAGTCAAGATCCAATGTGATGGGGATTGGGATGCTAACGAAAGAGTTCACAGGTCCGATACAGCCGAGTCTATCTCAGCCGGAACAGGAATGCCTCAAATCACTGGCCTTTGAGAGAATGCAGAGCCGCGGCAATGACATCGATCGCGCCGTCAAAGGCACGTGCGAGTGGTTGCTGAAGCACGAGACATACATGAGCTGGGCCGCGAATCATCAAGGCCTACTCTGGATCAAGGGCAAACCGGGCGCGGGCAAGTCCACGCTTCTCAAGTTCGCCTTGAGCAAGCAAAGAGATATGCCCAGCGCCACAGACCGCGATCTCGTGCTGTGCTTCTTCTTCCACGGCCGTGGTGACGCTCTTCAGAGAGCACCGTTAGGCTTATTCCGCTCCCTTCTTCATCAGATCCTCAAACAGATACCCGGAGCCCTGTCAGACCTCGTCGACAGCTATCAGGAGAAGTGCAGGGAGATTGGTGATCCATCAGAAGCGTGGCAGTGGCATCCAGAAGAGTTGTGGCACTTTCTGGAGGCTTCAGTTCCTCGGATTCTCGGGGCTCGTCCAATCTGGTTGTTTGTCGACGCGCTGGATGAATGTGGCGAGGCGGATGCGGTGGACTTGGCGATGAAGTTCAAGTCTCTGCTGGACAGCTTACCATCCTCTGCAACCCAGGACATTCACATCTGCTTCAGCTGTCGCCACTACCCGATACCGCCAGATCTAGATGGCGTATTCGAGATTTGTGTCGAAGATGAGAACGGAGATGATGTTTCCGCCTACGTGCGGCAAAGGCTCTCAGCGACCTTTGTCCGCGAGGCATCTTCCATTGCGGACCTGGTCACTTCTCGTGCAGCAGGCGTCTTTATGTGGGCGCGACTCGTGCTGGAGCGTGTTCTCCGCCTTGAGCGGCAGCGAGCCAGTTGGGGGAAGATCCAGGATGAGATCTGCTCTATCCCCCCCGATATGGACAGTCTATACCTGGACCATGTCCAGAGAATGGAGGACAAGGTCGCTTCCTTGAGGCTCATTCACTGGCTCTGCTTTGCCGTGAGGCCCTTGTCACTTGTGGAGGTATATTGGGCCCTGGCCGTCGACGCCGATTGCCCGCACAAGTCCTTGAAAGAGTGCGGAAGCACAGAAGACTATGGCACTGACGAGGACATGGAACGGCGAGTTATAGCGCTGAGCTGCGGACTGGCTGAGTCCGTTACCTCAACCTCCCAGACAAATATTGTGCAATTTATCCACCAGTCCGTCAAGGACTTCTTCGTCGACAAAGGGCTGCTAGTCTTGGACAGCAGCTCGGCAACGGTCAACGAAGCCATTGGAAGGGCGCATTTCTTGCTATCCAGGACATGCATACACTATGTTTTGATGGAAGACTTTTGCGACGTAAAAACCTTCAGTTGGTATGAATTGGCAGCTCAGTTTCCCTTCATAACTTATGCTGCCACAGGATGGACAACGCACGCGCATGAGAGCGATAGTCTAGGTGTTTCCCAGGACGATCTCCTCCAGCTGTTCCGTTGGCCGTCAAGCGACCTTTTGAATCAGTGGGCTCGAGTTCTCGACCGGGTGGTCACAAATGGGCTCGACCGTCAACCGGAAAAGTCCAGTCTTGTGCAGGTTGCAGCGAGGTACGGGCTTACAGGACTCTTGTCCGCCATTCTACAAGATACCAGTCGGATCAGCGAAAATGTCAATCTGAAGGATGACTATTCTCGAGGACCGCTCGCGTGGGCTGCAATGTCTGACCAGGAGTCTATAGTCGAGATGTTGCTTGACACAGGACTGGTCGAGATTGATCCGGGTGATGACTTCGGCATGACACCGCTGGCTTTGGCCGCAGAAAATGGGCATGAAGCCATTGTCAAGCAGCTACTCGCCACAGGAGAAGTGAACATCAATTCGAGGGATTGCCATCACCATTCCCCGCTCTCATGGGCTGCGGAGAATGGACACGAGGCTGTGGTCCAGCTTTTGCTGGACACAGGGCAGGTCGACATCAATATCAAAGACAAGTTTGGCCAGACTCCCCTATCGTATGCTGCGGAGAACGGGCACGAGGCTGTGGTCCGGCAGTTGTTGGCCACGGGACAGGTCGTGGTTGATGCCAAAGACAATGACGGCCAGACAGCGTTAGGCTACGCCGCTTACAGAGGGCATGCGGGTGTTGTCAAGTTGTTGCTTGACACGGGAGAGGCTGAAGCCGGCGTCAAGGACAATGAGAAGAGATTACCGTTATCATTAGCCGCAGCGAATGGGCAGGAGGCTATAGTCCATCTCTTGCTCGATAGAGGGCTTGAAGTCGACGCCAGAGACGCAGCAGGCCGTACGGCGCTTTCATGGGCAGCGTCGAACGGGCACGATGCCATGGTCAGATTGCTGCATAGCAAGGGCGCCCAACTCGATTCCAAAGAAAAGACGAGACGTACGCCATTGTCGAGGGCAGCGGCAAGCGGGCGCGAGGCTGTGGTAGCTCTCCTACTGGAGGAAGGCGTCGAAGTCGACTCGAGGAGTCTCTATGACGAGACACCTCTCTTGTTAGCTGCGGAATATGGTTACGCGGGCGTCATTGCTCTCTTACTTGACAAGGGTGCCGCGGTCGATGCAAAGGATATTGACGGTCGGACGCCACTATTGCGAGCTGCTTGGCGAGGGCACGAGGCGGTGATTAGACTGTTGCTGGCGAACAATGCAGACGTCGATGCTGAGGATGAGGAAGGCGAAACGGCGCTTTCAATAGCCACGGCGAACAGGCGTCAAGGTGCAGTTGAGCTTCTGAAGGCACATGCCATGACTTCTACTGCGTCTCCCCAATGAATCATTGAGGCTGGGCAATCCTTTATATGATTATACGTCATGCCAAATGAACACCTCACAGATTCATGTTACCTACACTACCAGGCGGGATGCAAGAATGTCGGATCGGAAAGCTAAAACGTCATGATATGGAAGAATAGCCTCTGATTCCCACATCCCACATCAGCACTAGACTTGATGATTTCATAGCCTTGCAATGCCGATTGCCTATAAATGTCAAGGATGCCGCCTAACATCGTGATGCAGTTATCCATGAAATACTATACCTTCACTACGTCAGGGTCTGTATCGCATCTACCTCCAGGGCACTCGACTCACCATGTGGTCGCGACAAACTTCCATTTCAGTCTCAGCCTCGCCACACGAAGACCCAGAAACGATGCGAAAGGTGATGAGCATGCACATCGAAAGAGTGTTTGGAGAAACCGACGAAGCCACCCGCGGCAAGACAATGGAGTCGCTCTATCACGAAGACGTGACTTGGTTGCAGCCTGCCGAATATTCGGGGGACCAAGCCATCATCAGGGGCAGAGATTACGTGAATGCGACGATTCAAAAAGAACAGAATCAGTTCCCCGGGTTCTTCATTACGCACGACAACGAAGGGTACGTTGCCGTTACGCAGAATCTGGGCATTGTGCACTGGCAACTTGGGCCGCGGGAACAGCCTGACATGATCAAAGCATGCCACTACCTCTTGTTTGAGGATGGAAGGATCAAGGCGTTTTGGACGGCGCACTTGAAGATGCCTACAGGACAGCCGTCGGCGTGACAGACGAAGTGGAAGTTGTGATACGATAGTATGTCATGCGGAATTGGGACACCTCGATGCCTGTTGTCTACTTGCGAAAGGGCTTGAGTCGTCGATCGTCTAGATTATTCAGATTGGCAAATCACTTTTCGGTTACAAATATCCATACAAGCTTGAGTGAGCGAGCGAACGAATCATAAGCGGTATCGTATAGCGTAAGTATGATCAATATCTGGCAACAAGAAATACATGTACTTCGTCCCCGAATGCGTGCGCTTCTCAGTTGTCCAAATCGCCGGCTGTGCCTATCTCGGAATCCTCGCTGGCTGCAACCCACATATATCCATTCAGTCGGCGTGAATCTGTAGTCTTCCCTTTGGCAGTCCTGGCTTCAGGGTGTCGTCGAAGAAAGCCATCCACCCATCGCTTTCCAAGGGGTTGACTGTCGCCGCCAGCCCTGACGACCCTTGAGGCAAACTCCTTGATCTGGTCATGTGTCGGGGGAAGCCCGAGCTGATCTTGAACTTGAACCCATTGAGCGAGAAGAAGTTCCTGCTCTTTCGAGAGTCGTTGAAGGCTTTCATATGCCTCGCATCTTGACTGGCTGCCCTTCAGACGCTTCTGGAGAGTCGTGCGCGAAACACCCCAGCGCTGTGCCGCCTTTCGCTGGGACGTGCCGTTCTTGATGGCGGTTAATGCGGAGGAAATGGCATCTTCATCGGGCTGAGTCATTGCTAGCAGAGGTTTCAGTCGGATCAAACACTCTCAGCGGCCGATGACGGCTATTCAGTCGCAATCATTCGCGTCGTTGTTGTTGTTTACTTAGACATGGAGGAGAAATGGCGGTGGCCACCTAGTCCATGTACGTGGCCTGACTTTAACCTGTACCCGCAGCCACAGAGACTTTGGACTGGGGGTGTTCGTGAGCCCCCTTGATCCCGTATGTAGTACGGCAGATGTCCTCCTAATAGAGCACTTGAGCTATGTTGTAAATGAAGCACACACAAAGAAAGCCAGAGAGTCCCCTTTCCCTCCGTGTTACCCTTCAATTCTTCCTTTTTGACTTTTGCTTTGCTTTTGAACACCAAGTTCGTCTTGGTGAATGAAAAACTAGGTATCCTCGATCCATGGCTTGTTCGATGCCCCCTCATGAGCGAGGCGCAGCATACCCGGCAAAGGGCCACAGAATCTTCTCAGCAAAACTAGGACAGCACCCAATTATTCTAGAGGCGGGATCGAGTGAGTGCACGGCAATAACGACATGATTGTTGTAGTATTATCTTGATTGTCTGGACCGATTGCATTCTTGCTGTGTAATTGAAGGTGCGTCCACTCCAAAGTGCTGTGTAGAGTCAAGTGCTGAATAGCATCAGATTTTGACCATAGCCTCTTTATGTATATCTGCACACTGCGTAAGTCGTCTATTACTACTAGGGGGGCCTCTATCTCGGCCACCCTAGTAGTCGAGAATCCGTCGGCAAATGCAACACGGCTATGCCTTGTTTCCCAAAGATAGACAGCCTTGACCTATACATGCACAGCTACGCTCCGTCTCCAGTCTTGTAGATGTCTGAGTATACAAATATAACGAAAAGCGTCAGACTATTGGAAAAGCGGGTGGTTATGGCAGTAGGATCAAGTTCGATGGGGCCTTATATGGGCATGTCGCTGATGAGTATCCATCCATATGCCCCCAATAAAAGGTGGCTCATCAGTGCCATGGATTCTATTTTTGTGAAGACTTCTTTCTTGACAAGCTAGAGCATCCATGGATCGATCCACGCACATGAGATCCGCGGGCTTGATGGGTGCAGAGACACGCATAGGCAGGGATTATTAGGAGGGGAAAACTGGCGGATTCACCAGGAATCGGGCGACTTGAGATGCAGCGGCGCCGAGGATCGTCCATCCTCCGAATTGCTGCACCTGCAAAGACCGGGTTTCGCTCCTCTGGCCATCGTGGGCTGAGCTGAGACGAGCTGAGCGGAGCATGCAAGAAGGCAAGGCCCGCGGCAACGAGGCTGCAAGACAAAGAGAAATACTACATAGCATCGAAGCGGTCAGGATCGGATCACGGCATCAGGAGGAGCTGAATGACTTTTTAGCGCCGCGAGCAGGGGGGAGCATGTGTCTGGGATGGGAATGCGGTTGTCGATGAAGGGATGACTCGTGACGGGAGCAGAGAGAGAAGAAGAAGATCCGGAGGCGGCATCATAGATGTTTGATGGTCGAGCATCCATGTCTTGAATCTCGCGATAGGCCGAGGCTAGTGCTGTCTATCAATCTCTATGGCAGGTTTGCGTTCCCTGTTTCGAGCATCCTCTCCTCTAGCCGCTGAGGCAAATGCCGTTGGCAGCTCGTCGTTGCATGGCCTGGTCGCGTGCCGTCAGAGTCCAGTGATACATGCTTGACTCTACGATGGACTGCTCGAGACGGCGTTTGTTGTGTCAAGGGCCTCATCCCAGACCAGTCCTAGAGTCTTTGTCTGCCAAGCACTCCTACGTTTATCATAGTAACATCTAGACAGCGCTGAAGTCGCTGCATTGACGCATTGAAGCTCTGAAGGGGGGCAGTGGATGGATCCATAGCGGCGTAAATCGTGTGCAATCTCAGCGCCTTGCCTCCTTTTCTCCACCCAATCTTGCCAGGGAAATGCGTCGTGCCGGGGGTTTCGCCTCATCGTCAGCCTCTTGAGCGCCCTGCGCCTCCATGGCCATGGGCTTATAACGCTGAGGTGTGCACTATCGTGGCAAGCAGCAAACAATGCAGTACTACTACTACTACTACGTACCTTATGTAGGTGATCTCTCTGGGGCGGCTCAGGATTGCAGATTGCGGTTATTAATAGAGCAAGATGAAGCGCAACTCCACCTGCAAGAGAGGCATCGTGGCCGCCTTTTTTTTTCCCTTTTGTCTAATCATCCTTCCCACCAGCTGTAACGGTGACACAGTGTTGATGAGAGGCTGCCCGTATAGGTAGGTATGTGCGACTATACATACATGTAGTAGTATGTGGATGCATGTTGGCTGGCGCGAGGTTTGTGTGGCTCAAGGCTTCCCAGAATAACTTTGGGGCTGGCCCGACCAGCAATACAGCAAGCCTCAAAGGATCTTCCTCTGGTGTACACTTGCATGTTGTGACGACCATATAAATAAGGTAGTCTACAGTAAGGTATCATCTATCAGACCCTTCCCAGAGCATTCAACTTCTACCTCTCTCTCTCTCTCTCTCTCTCTTCGTAGCATCAACTCAGGAGCTCGATCCTTTGTACTACCGATTCATTCATAAAAGAAAAAAAAGAACCCACCGCTCTAGACGGATCGAAACCCCTCGCTAGGCCGCGGACCCTTTTCCCTTCCCCTGCTGGGCTGCTTTGAAGCTATTTCAACTCATTCGCTCCTTTCCAACCATTCAAATCTCCAGCCGCCTGGGGTCAGGCGTCTCTGGCGCCGGGCCGCTCGAGCAGGAAACCGGGCAGGCCAAACATAAAACACACTCATGCGGCCCTCATTCCCCCTTTTTCTGACTGCAAGGCACCAAGAAGCTCCGCGACGACACGCTGAATGAACTGAAGGATAAACCGCGACGAGTCTCATACGTTGATCGTCATAACATAACATACCTAATCTCACAACACGGCAACACACACCACACACGCCCTACACCAGCATATATATATATATATAGACGGAGCTTCACCCCGGGAACTACAAATTCCACCATGGCTGACCACCTGGACCCCGGAGCAGCTCCCGGCACCGCTGACCAGCCGTCGCCGGGGCGTCGCCGGTCGAGGAACCCCCTCAGGAACATGATCCAGCACCTGACGGTCGAGTCGCCGTCGGGCATCAGCGACGGCTCCGGCTCGCGACGCTCATCCCTCATCCGCCGCCTCAGCGGGCAGAAGAGCCGCAGCCCGTCGGCGCACTCAGACGCCGCCTCGAGCTCGCGGCCCAACTCGCGGCCCGCCTCGTCACAGGGCGTCAACCGCGACCCGGCGCTGTGCGACTCGTGCGCGCGGCTGGCCGCAGAAATCGAGGAGACGCTGGACGAGGTCGACGCGACGTTTGCGCGGCCGGCCGACGGCGGAGCGGCCGGCGACTTTGCGACGCGGGAGCACTTTGTATCGCGGCTGCGCTTCCTCGAGGAGAACCGCTGGGCGGCGACGTGTCCGCTGTGCAAGCTCTTCTGGGACCTGCACGTGGCCGGCAAGGAGCCCGGCGAGTATCACCTGGTGGCGCTGTCGACGCGCGACACGAGCTACTTCATCGACTCGGCCAAGATGAACAGCCAGGACCATCCGGCCAAGGGCCGCTCCAAGGGCCTCAGCCCGGCCTTCTTCTCCGTCATCTCAAAGGCCAAAGCCGGCGGCCGGGACCCGGATGTGGACCCCGAGTGGTTCCGCGAGGCCGGCATGCTGCTCCGGACGCGGCCCGAGATGCTGGTGGACGCGGCCAGGGGGAGGACCGGGCCCGAGGCGAGGCTGGCGGTGTCGTCGACTCCCGGAGCGTCTCCGCTGCCGTCGCCGACTCTGTGCTTGCCTGACGATGCCTCGTGGACGCAGAGGGGGATCTGGGGACGGGACATTGACAGGGTCGCCGACCTCAACATCGTGCGGGAGTGGCTTCACTTTTGCGACAATCATCACCAGGGACGATGCTCGAGGAGGCCGGTTAGGGCCGAGATTGCGGGATTCCGGCTCATCGACTGCGCCCAGTCGCCCCCGCGGGTGGTTGAGAGATCGCTGCGAGACGACTACGTTGCGCTGAGTTACGTCTGGGGAGACGCACAGGTCGAGGAGGGCAGCTGGCCGCAAGTTGTTCGCGATGCCGCCTCTGTGGTGACCCAGCTGGGCTTCCGCTATCTCTGGGTCGATCGCTACTGCACGGACGACAACAGGCCGGATCACAAGATGGCGCATGTCCAGCGCATGGACGAGATATACGAGGGCGCCGCCTTCACCATCATTGCCGCTGCTGGCGAGAATGCCATGCACGGATTACCAGGAGTAGGGGCGACATCTCGACCTGCTCAGCCAAAGTACAAATTCACCACGTCGAACATCACCCTGGTTTCGAGTCTGCAAGATCCGCGACTGCTGATAGAGCGCTCTACGTGGTTCACTAGAGGCTGGACCTACCAGGAGGGGCTCCTCTCGCGACGACGCCTCGTCTTTACGGAACAGCAGATGTACTGGGAATGCGAAGGAATGGCCTGCCCAGAAGCAATAGACCTACCCTTTGAATTCTATCACGACCCCGAGGAGAGACGTCTGTGCGATTTCGTACGGCCGGGATTATTCAACGGCGTGTCTTACATGGACGGCAGCTGGGAGCAGTGGAAGAAGCTGCCTCAGAAACGAAGCGAGGCGAGCACACTGAGTATCTTCCGAGAAGTCGACCAGCATATTACAAAGTACACGAGCCGGAGCCTCACCCGAGACGAGGATTCTCTGGACGCAAGCTTGGGAATATGGAGGGAGTTGGAGAGCACGCTTGGAAGGGGGAAGCTCAGCGATCTGGTGGGAATCCCGATGTGGGCGCCCCTGGCTGCTCAACCGACCGACGATAAGGAGGGACCTGTACTACCAAGGACGAGACACTTGTTTGCCTTGTCGACTTGCTTCTGGCACCACAAAGTCGGTACACAAGCTCGAAGGAGGAATCACCTGCCCAGCTGGTCATGGGCAGGCTGGTCTGGCCCAGTAGAGCTCTTTTCATCCATCACTATCGCCGCCGATCCCGAGTCCAGGACAAAGGGCCGCAAGATCCTCAACCACCACTACGTGACGGCCACCCAGCTGACGAGAAACGAGCAATCTTCGATACAGTGGACATACTCGCCTGAGATGGCAGTACTGGCCCCCGATGGCACCACAGTGTATGACTTTGGGGACAATATCGTCGCTGCCGGTCCTCCACGGTTCCGCCCCGGCAAATACGCCCTGCATGTGCAGGATCCGCTGGTCCTGGACCGCGTCAAGGCCAAGACGCATTCTGACGGCTGGCTGTTTAGCGGTCTGAGTGTTGATGTGCGGATGAGTCGCGGGAGCGGCACCGAGACAGCGTGCCTGGGTGGCGAGGAGGCCATAGGCAGCATCAAGGAGTACATCACGAAACACGGAAAGGGAGAGCAGATGAGCGTATTGTGGTTTGTTGAAGAGGCCTTGGTGATGCTTCTGGTTGTGGAAAAGACGAGTAGAGGGACGTGGGAGCGGGTGGGGAGGATGAGGATGGCTTTCAAGGAGGATGCAAAGGATGTGGTGAGGGCTTGTGGCAGACTGGACGAATTGGTTGGGAGACTGCCTCTGAGAAGGTTAGGGGAGAATATCGTGATTGAGTAGATGAAGAGGCTCTTAATGTTTAGACAATACCGATGACTGCCGTACCTGGTATGCAAGTGGATATCTTAATACAGACCGTATTACCACTCATTTTGTATCGACGATGAACCGTGGTCAAGCGGATAAACTGCCGTCTATTCTACGAAAGAAGTGGTAGCTAACGCAACATGGTATATCCTGCATCTAGACATCCAGCTTCAAGCTAGGCGGCAGGCTCGAAGCCCCCGTCCCCCAGCTACTCTCATTCTTCCCCAGCGTCAGCTCCAGCACGCCTCCATTTGCAAAGAAGTCATGCGTAATCCAGTTCTTGCTATACGGCTTCCCATTGAGCTTCGCACTCTGGATATAGATATTCTCATACCCTCCATCGAAGTTCACATTCTTCACCGTCGCCGTCTTGCCCGTCAAGCCGTTCTTGATGCTAATCTCAGGGAAATACGGCGGCAGGATGAGATAGACGTTCTGTCCGCCCATGGGCCACAGGCCCATCATGGCGAGGGTGCTAAAGGCGCCCATGGCGCCGGAGTCGTCGTTTCCAGGGATGCCGTCGACCTTTGTGTTGAACTGGGAGGGAATGTAGTGGTGGCTAAAGTACGAGGACAGGCCGGGGCGGCCGGCGTAGTGGAAGAGGAAGACGAGGAGGAAGGCTTGCTCATCGCCAAAGTAGAGCAGGTTGGGGGTCGTGTGGAGGAACTGGAGGCGCTTGACGAAGGTGTCGGGCCCGCCGAGGGTGGTGATGAGGTCGGCCATGTCGTGGGGGGCGAAGAAGGTGTAGAGCCAGCTGCTGCCCTCGTACGTCTATTCCAAAGAAGACACTCTGGTTAGCAAAAGAAGGGATAATGCTTCAAGGTGCTATAGTCGAGTAGGCCATGTATCAGAAAAGTCTCACCTCGTGGCCAGTAGGAACCAGATAACAGTCGTCAAACCGAAACATGGGCGTGCACATCATGGCATCCTGGTAGCCAAACGTGCCGTTGAGATACCGCGGTTGCAAGAATCCGTAAAAGCCACTGTCGACATAGCCCGTCGAGCCATCGGGGTTGGTAATGTAGATGTACGAGTTCTGCTTGGGATTCCACATGTTCTTCCAGTTCTTGGACCGCTTCAGGTACTTTTCGGCATCCGCCGTCTTGTGCAGGGCCTGGGCCATTTCTGCGATGCAAAAGTCGTTGTAGGCGTACTCGACTGTTCGGGAAATGGATCGCGAGAATGTGCCAACACCTGGCTTCTTGTAAGCACAATGTCGTAATCCGGTCCAGGGGTTGATCTTACCGTTGGGATCAAAGTCGTCAGTGGGAATATATCCAAGCGTCTTCCAGCTGGTCAAGCCACCACGTCCCTCAAGCCCCCAGTTCGCCGGCTCATCTATTCGCAAGTCAGCTTCATATCTTCAAAAGACTCTACCAGTGGGTCATACCTTCGGCATCCGAAATCAGGGCTTCGTATCCAGTATGCCAGTCAACGTCCTTGTGAAGGCCCTTTAGATATGCGTCCACAAGCACGATGTCGGCGTTGCTACCACCCTGCGTCCAGCCCTTGCAGAACGTCATCCGGCAGTCTGGAAGCTTCCCTTCGTGGCGGTAGATGTCAATCAAGGCGCGAATCATTTGCGTTTGGCTGTACGGGTCGACAATTGTCAGTAGCGGATGAATGCTGCGGAACGAATCCCAGATGCAGTAGAAGGAGTCATAGTCTATGCCCTGTCAGCTGGAATTCAGACCAAATTAGATGAAACGATGAAGAGATGAGAGAAAAACTCACAAGGCTCGCTGCTCTTCCACAATGGATTCTCTCCCGTGTAATCCTGCGGCGAAATCATTGAACGATACATCCCCGAGTAGAACGTCGTCAGAATGTCCTTGTCAACACCCGTGTTATCGACCTTGACCACACCCAACTTCTGCCGCCAAGCATCCTCAGCAGTCTCCAGGGTTCCCTGGAAGTCAAACCTCGGAATCTCGGACTGGGCATTGCTGCAAGCCTGGTTGGTGCTGATAAACGACAAGCCCACTCTCGCCAGGATCTGGTTATTGCTGGGCTTGTTGAACTGGACAAAGGCTCCTCCAGGGACAGGCGGCCCCGTCACAGTCGCGGTTTCAGTCTTTAGCTGCTTGAAGTTGGTGCCGGCCCTGTTGTTCTGGAAGACGCCCGTGTTCTTGATGCTCGCGCCCTGAAAGTCTGTGCAAAAGTACAGCGTATAAGTGCCGACTCCAAACGAGGGATTGAATGTCCCAGAGCCGGTGATTCGCCCGCTGTGCGGATCAACAGACACGCTTCCCTTGCTCCTAGAGTCGGAGAGATCTGTCAAGTCGGCCAAGATGACGGGCTCATACGGGATCGCGTTGTCTCCAGTTGCGTCTCCTCCTTTCATGGGCACAGGCTCATCGGGAAAGGTGAAGCGATACAGAGCCGTCTTGTTCGACACCGTCATCTCCGCCTTGATAGAGGTGTTGAGGGTCACGGAAAAGTAGCCCGGATGCGCCTCAATCGAGTTGTTGATTGGCATAGACTGGCGGTCTGCCTTGGTGAAGTAACAGTTGTCGAGGAGCCCTGCTGTACATCCGCTCTGAGGGAATAGGGGAAAGTTTCCAAGAGAGGCACCCTACGATACGTCAGCAGAATATCTCCCACAAGCTGATCTGACATCACTTACACCACCAGTTCCGCTGTCATGCATGTGAGAAAAGCCCGTGACTTGTAAGTCATAGTCAGTCTTGTTACTCCTTATATTTCGGGCAGAGTCAACATACTGGGACCGCCATCCGAAGCATAGCCACCCGCATTGTCATTTACAGAGTCAGCCACCGCCTTCGCGAGACCGAATGGAAGAGTCGCGCCAGCAAAGACATGTCCTGAGTATGTCGTTAGCCCAACGTCCTCCTCACCTTTCACCTTCATGTGATAAGGGGATGGCTACCTCCGTTGGCAGTTCCTATGAGAGGATCTACATAGTCAAAGACGTCGTAAGAGGATGTTGCATGAACAATCGATCCATAGGCGAGTACCGCGGCCAAAGCTCGAGAGAGGCTCATTGTGAAGAGCTTACTCCTTACCCAGGAACAAGCTGAGCTGTTGCAAAGAATGCGAGCAGATGCAGGCCAAGGCAGCAAGCTCATGATGCTGTTACATCTTCATCTCTCTTTATACTTCAGACGATGAAGCTATAAGCCCGTCGGTTATCACAAAGGACTTCACGATATCCATGGACTAGACACTCAGAGAGAACCCATGACTGTGAATCTCGCATCCGAACTTCTCTCCCCGGACTAAACCCCACAAAGTTGTCGGCATCGACTCCAAGGATGGACCTCTCAACGCGGGGAATCCCTGGCATGGTTCAAAATGCGACAGGCCAAGGCTTCGATATCCATCCCGTCTTTCTACATACTCTACTCCAGCTATCATTTCCCCGGAGCCACAAGGCGGGAGAGGCGGCCGCTATGTGCTGCCACAGCCGACCAGACTTGTCTGCAACTGGCATTCCACGAGAGCTCTGTCCAATCAATGACTTCTCGGGATACTGAAGCGTAGATCGTCCAGATCGCCTAGGAATTTGCCCGTCGGGCTTATTTCCGAACCTTACAAAGAGCAACTCTCCATAGTAAGATCTTTCTCGCTCTGCGTTCCTTGCGAGCCCTAGGCTGTATCTATCGGCAAATTCGGCTCTGCAGTAACAAGAGATTCATGCATGTACCTTTCGGCAAGCAATGGCTGTCGCTATACGAGGAAGAACTCCATGATGCTGTTGCGCTAACCAGTGATGTCGCATTGGAAACGGAGGGGCCGCCGGCACTGGTTGGAGGAAATACTGTGAGTCCCCGCAGCTCCAGCACCAGCGCCCTAGGTATGCATTATCCCGGTCGTTGTAAATGCCTATCTCGTCGTGGTCAAGAAGAGGGCAGATGCTGTCAACAAGAGAGCCGTCGGAAGAAGTATGTAAGGCTATATAGCCCCTCGGTCCGTAGTCTGATACAGAATATTAGATCTACTTGCTTTTTCTCTCGGGCATAAATTCGGAAAATGGAAAAGGTGTTAGTGTAAGAGTGTTTGTAAGTCAATTTGTCCACTCGAGTGTGAGCCATATGCCAAAAAGGCATCTCAAGATCGATGAGACATCCCCTCACATACCCGCCGCCGTTGTGATTATAGCCAGTGTAAAAGACCCGATTCTGCAGGTAGAGCTTCCTGACTTGACCATTGTTCATGCATTTTCAGCTAATCAAAGTAACCGAGTAGGTCCATCATAGCTTCAGAAGAAGCGACGCGTTGGTCATCATTGATCAGCGTAACCGCCCGAGAGTGTTATTTATATGCACTGCAGAACATGATCCTTCCTCCATCTAAGAGTACAGTACCAACTGAGGGAGTGGTTCGGAAACCGTTGTTAAGTAAGATGAAGACCACGGATTTGTTGCTATCTCGCATGGGGCCCCCTAGGGACCAGCCGTGGCATGGAATGAGCCCTGTGCGTACGAACGAGTATAAGAGGTAGGTAAGTTCGTGTATGTAGTATCAGTGAACACTGCGCCACTGGTGGCAACTCAAGACGGTCGGTAGAGCAGTCTTACTTATCGTGAGATTCGCACGATATCTTGTCTCTTTCGTTCGTTGCTTTAAAGCAATCATTTCGCTCTTCCAAATGGGGGGCGGTTATGCTCACGGCATCACAAGTTATCGTGGCAGCAGTTTTCCGTCACTTACAATGACTGGAAATTAATACCGATGACTTTATTTAGCAGCTGCAAGCCACCCATGCCCTTCTCGTTACTATGATGCTATGCTCACTCACTGTTGAACATATCAAGCTGTCTATAGCCTACTGCAATACTAGAAGCGAGAGTTCAAGCGGAGTGCTCCAGATCCTCGTCTCAAGACAGAGCCAAGGCAAGAGCGTAAGCTCCATAGAGCTAAATAATATTCAACCGTTCAATGCCCGCTTGGCTAAGCGGTATAGCGTGTCACTAGTAAATACTTGACATGACAAGGTGATCAGTTCGACTCTGATAGTGGGCATCGTTTTTTTGTTCTTTACAACCCTCCCTCTTCTCTTTTTGCACCAAGTCGAATGGTTCCACGATCTCTCATACATAATAGAAAATTCCAGTCCTTGCCCTGGTTTCAATATGTTCCTTGCCACATCACTAGCAGCATGACCCATGTCCACTTGCTGTGTGTCGTGACAGACCCTCCTCTCTTCTCTGCAGCACAGGTCCCACCACGCTCAAGCCGCTGCATGACACGCAGACAGCGGAGCTGTTTGACACTCTTGCATATAAACTGACATGCACCAATTTACAACACGGACCGTGAGTCCTTGAATGTTTCCGTAGATGCCCAATGCAAGTGTCACTAAGAAGTTGGTACGCAAGTGATAGACAAGTTCTCAATTCCTGTTCTGCTACATCCTACTAGGTGTTTATTGGTTGTCCATCTTTACCCAGATACGCCCTTTTGAGTGTCCTCTTCCAAGCATAGCCAGGCCCACCCAGATTGTCGTTCCAGTATAGCATCATATCAAGGATCGAAGAAAGTGAAGTTGATTCATTACTGCTTGTTCTAGTTCCGCGCATGTTAGTTTACATTGCCAAACTTTCCACGACCATATAGCTCAGGGGGATGAGGCAGAGACTTACGCCGTGCTCGGGTCCGCAGGTCTTGCACTCGCACTTGTCGCAGTTGCCGGCAGGGCACTTGCAGGTAGAGCAGCCGCTGTCGAAGGAAATGTTATGTTAGTGAGATATTTCCCAAAGAAAGTCCTGGTTTGAGGATGAAGAAGGTGATCATCTCAAAGTTTTGAATATGATGGTCGAGAAGGAAGCAGGTTGAGGGTCCCGGACAACTGTGGGTAGCGTGTCTCTCGGAAAACGTACCAGGGATCCATTTTGAAGTTGTAAAGGGTTGAAGACTGAAAGTCGGTGGTTATTTCTTGTTGTTCGTTGGTTGAGTGAGGTTGATGTGAGCGATGGTGAGACAAGAAGTCCCAAATTGGAGGAATCAATCGATCCTTTTATAGTTGAAAGACAAGCCCATGAGAAATATTTCTTCGACTCTCAACCTCGATATCCACCACAGAATTCTCGTACGAGATGACTTTGAACTGCCCAATTCCATCCACGAGGACTCACATGGGTGCCCGCCTCCTTGCATCTGCAGGATGTAAGAGATCCCTACAAAGTAGCCAATAGTCGACACAGAACTCTCGATTTGTATTCGTCAATACCCCTCTCTTGCCAGCTTATTGATAATTCATGATGGTCATGGGCCCTGTTCATTGGCTGCTGCGGAAGAAGGTGGTGGTCACCCGAGATTGAAATCCTGGGCTATCGAACCGGAAGATGAGCACATGTCATACGAAGTAATGACTGCAGGGGCAACCTACGCCCACTGCATGATATATCAACCATGTCATTGGTGGGTGGTGTGGATTATGGAGGGTGGTGGTGGTGGAACAACAATGAATATCAATGTCAGGCTTGGCAGAGGGTTGTCCAGGGCGTAAGACATCGAATGGCTTCTGAAGATGTATGAATGTAAAGAAGTATGTGGGCCCTAAAGATATAAGACAATCTGTACCAAAGTTGAGAAAGCTTCTTACTCTGGGACTATTAAGTGCAAAAGGCGAGAGAAGAGACACAGAGGAATACTTGGTGAAGAATCCGTCAGGATGGGGGCCAAACGCAGGCCTTTGAAACGGTACTAGGATTCAGCTGCCTCAAGCCCAATGTGGAGACACGTTGGTCACTCGATGAAGGTATTAGTGAGGGAATATGCGGCTGAGGAAAAGCTTTGGCCTCATGGCAGTCACGGTGCCATCACGAGCCGTCCCCCTCTTTTGCCCGGGACAGCGGGAAGATAACACTGTGTTACCATGTCACCTGCTTGGTATGAGGAAGTGACTGATCATGGACTTGGAGGGATTTTACAGGATCTTCCTCTCAGTCAAGGGCATGTTTGAAAAAAAATGCCATGTGTGGTGAAGGCTCGGAGTAGACGCGCGTCTGATACAGCCGCTGGAAGCACAGGCTTGCCCTCGTCCTCCTCGGCCGTGAGAGGCACAAGAGGTATCGTCATGTGGCGAAGATGGGAGCCATCCCTGTGCTTCTGGCAGACGGCGACGAGAAATCCCTCGCGGCCAGGGCGGGAAAGAAAAAATCATGGACGTGGGAGGCCGTGCCGACGGCTGCCTCCCCCACGCTGTTGGCGAGAGCCTAACAGGGGGCGACAAGAAGGCAGCAATGGGGGGCACAGGGAGAAGGGCACAGAGAGAAGGGCACAGGGAGAAGGGCACAGGAAGAAGAGAGTAGAGGCGAGGAGAAATATGAGAGGATCCAGAACCTGGATTATCACCTGAGACTGCCCAAGGCATGAGGCGTGGGAGCCTGCACACCAGCTTTACCCGACAAAACCCGGATATCGGGCTTGGAAGAGGCAAAGAACCGGGACAAGACGGCCGACGAAAGCTCCTTCAGCATGTGATGGAGCATGAGTCGATCAGTCCTCGGGCAAATATGATGAGCTCACGAATGAAGAAGCTCCTGAGTGGGAGCACGGGATGTCGTGTATCAAGCCGATGAGATGGCACAACAGGAGTGCCAGCACTCGATCGTGGTAGTTGTGCAATAGAACGACCACGGAGACGGTTTGTGAGTGTCCTTTGGGTAAGTATGATGACAAGACCGGTGGTGCCCAGATGGTGATGCCTCGCTGCTAATGCCATCCATGATGCCAGCTCACATTGAATCCGGCTCGAGAATCAGCAGGCAGGCCCAACCATTTTGGCGATCAACTTCTCATCGGTATGCTGAACATGAGACTCTTGGTGAAAACTTGTGGTTTTCCTTTGGCTCTCACAGGCTCATCAGTCCAGGCAGTTCACAAGAAAAGTGACAGCTCCCTCAGGGGAGCTGATGGTGTGTGGTCTGTGGTGAGGACGAGGAATGATGCAGGAAAATCTTTTCAGCAGCGAGAACGGGAATTCCACCAGCATTATATATTCGCAGTCTCGCTCTTGAGCTTGCGTGATTTGCCGCCTCGTCCCGCCATCAAACAGCCAAGCATCTCCGCTCTTTGGTTATGGCGCTCAGCCGCGGCCTGGAGATTGCAACTTCAGAGGATCGTACCAATCAGACTGTTGATGATTGTGGTGAACCTTGATGGCGAGGGCATGAAGGTTGGTCCCATGGCGGTGCAAACAAGCATCATCGTGGAAAAGCCTCATAGATTGGGCGAGCAGTTTAGTGAGGGTCTCAAGGCAAAAGGGGGGGGCTGAGATATCAGACTGGCCATCAAGGTGCGCGGCCATCAGGGTCCTCACTGTCAGCTTTGGGGGGATACGAGGATTTGGCTGAAATCCTTCGGTTACACGTTTAATGTTGTCAGTCAACCTGCACTGAAGATGAAAACTACTAGTATATTTTTCTTGATTATAATCGATGATTGAATGAATTCAAAGTTGCTGTCATCTATCAATTGAATTGGAGTCAGTATGCGTCCTTCGAGATTGCACTATATTCAGCCAAACTTGTCATCTATCCGTAGACTTGGCAACCAGCCTTCAAGATACATCTGCACGACGAGCTTGAGTGTTCTTGTATTCCCGCTACCTTTTCATATTCTTCCAACATGCCTCCAGTACCAGGAAAAATCTGTTCGCAATCTCAGAAAAGCGTCTCTTCAAAGACAATGTGGAATTCTCACTCTCATGTTGATAGTCTCAGCGCAACAAGCACTTCGATGCAACATTCAGTGTAAGTGCCTGAGCTCTCTGTGCAAGCACTACGACATGGTCCTTGCGCATAGTAGAAGGTTGATATAAGAACGGTGTTCACTTACCGGGCACTTCTCCCTCTTCAAGAACTGTCGGGAACGGTCGAATATCCAAATCATCTGAATGTAACGTAAATCTCCACGCCGGGAAGAGCCGCCTGAGCTTACCTCGGGTCGACGCTGTACCCTTTCGAAACCTTACCAGTCAACATACCAAAGTTATAAACCATCCAGTCAAGACGAGGTAACATTCACCTCGTCCAGAAGACCAGGAGCTGCGAGCACGATCACTGATGTAACTTGAATCCGGTGCAGAGGAAGCCAAATGCCCTGTTGATAACCAGAGAAGGACACAATGAATTAAGATCGGTGTTGACGTTGGGCTTACCAGTATATCAGTAACGTAGGGATTGCAAATGAGCCAATGTTGTACAAGGAGAGGTAATGATGACTACGTTGGAGGACTTGTTGGATAAGATGGGAGCGGTAGGTATTGGAGGCAAACCGAATGGTAGGTCCATTCATGAGGTAACGGTCGAGTCCCAACTGCAACACAAATTGCCAGCCTTGCGTTCTTTCTTGGGCACTTTTGAGCCCAAAGCACGCCGATGCTCCGTCCAATAGGGAGGCATCTAAATACAGACCAAACGTAGCTCAATCTAGAAGAGGCATTGAGAGGTGCCCACGGCATAGTACTTACTGCTTGATGACGAACGACGAATGGCAAAGAGCATCCAATGGCGAGGCAGAAGAATGGCGAGGCAAAAGAATGGCTGGGCGGATGGACACAGTTGTGGTCAGGTGCAATCCTTCGACGCATCTTCCCCAGTGCTTCCAAGAGTGGATTGCTCCATCGCTCATATGCGTCACGTTTCATCAGATCCGAAACGAGCAAGATTAATATGCTACGACCTGGCTGACGAGCAGATGAATGGCTCCGTTAGTGCAAGGTTCTCGAAACAAACTATAGGGGAGCCCTCGGGTGCTTCGGCCCGTCTCCCCGTCTCTGATAGTTGCGCGTATACTGTATGAGGAGCCCTGCATCTCGACTTTGGTGTAAGCAAACCTAGACATTTATACGTCCATGAGGCATAGACGCATTGGATCAGCCTGATCAGTCCAAGCACATGCTGGCAACTCGATGAGCCGTTGTTGTTACTCGCCTTTCGCCATACCGTCCCTAACGAATCGCAAGATGTGCAAACAAAGAGATGCAGATGCCTCTGATGAGCCCACCTACACTCAAAATGACCGGATGATATACTTTTCGCTTCAAAACCAAGCACACTGGTTTCAGCATCAGCCTTCCTTTCTTGATTCTAGGGTATACAGCTATGGCTTCCTGCTGTGGAAGCAGATGTAGACAGCGATTGACGGCACTGACGCTGACTCGGTCGCCTCCCCACAATGATGGCAGTTCTTCAACATGACCCGACGTCGATGCAACTCATTGAGAGTCCTTATGTATGCTTACATCCAGAATGGTCGTCAATCCAGCCGAGCGATTCACGGAACTTGTACGCCGGATGAGGCTGGTCCCGTCTGCCACTTTCACCTGAGCGTCTTCAACTCGGCGACCTACAGCTCGGCAGTCAAGAGTAGGTAAGGACGGCATAGTACCACTACTAGGTACTAGCATTCTCTTCGGGCAATATTTACTTACTACCTACCTAGACTAGGGTACCCTATCTGAAAATTAAACCGCCTTTGCTACTGGCTGCGAGCCACGGTGCAACAGCGGGGGCTCAGATCTCGATATATATGACAGCCAACCGGCGGCTTGAGGCCAGGAAACGACATATTGCCGGGAATCGTGCAAGCGACGAGCTCCTCGTGGTAAGAGGCCTGATATCATCCGGAAGAATCCGATACTCAGCCATACGATGAGGAATTTCACCGTGATTTGACGAAATCAATGAGATTCTTCCCAAGGCGAATTTAGAGACCGCCAAATTCTAGCCGGTCTCGGCGAGTTATACTCGTACATCGCAACAACGACAGAAGAGGAAGTCAAATGATACTGGAGAATTTTGACTCGCAGTGCTGCGGAGTCGACCTTCCAATCACGATCAAAAGTCCCTCGTTGAAATGGAGAACGACATGCAATGATGCCTGATTCGGGGCCGCTGTATGGATATCGCAGTTCGAGTCCCGCCTACAACACCATATTTCCCTATCGCGAGTGACAGCGGGCTCACATTGGCCAATGATTTACAACCAATGCCCTCACGAGTCACGATTTCTGGCCATGACGGCTGAACTGCTGACGGCGTGATGGAGCACATGCAGCGGGCATGATGCATATGGTGCAGAATCTGGGGTAGACTGCGCCCATGTACGGCAAAGTGTGAGTGTTCGAAGCGATTCGGAAACGAGCAGCTTCGATGATATGCTCGTCCTGCAAACCCCGAGAAGGTCCAGCGAGCCAGTGGAATGTCAGAGGCATGCATCCTGATGAGCGGGTTGCAGCCAACCGACATCGCAATATCACTTGACAAAGGCTCGCCTTTAGGACCACCGGATTACCCACCCATAGAAGCCCAGATTCGCTGATTAGTCCTGATACATGCTTGGGGATCGAGATGTGATGATGGCTTGCAAGAGTGGCGAGGCTGAAGTCGAGCACGCACTTGAGGCTCAGGACGAAGGTTACGCCATGAGCAACGAGAGTGACACGGACAGCAGCGGGACAGTTGTCATACTCGTACGACAGCCGACGCCAGAACGACCAACGCATCCGAACGCGGCTTGGATAGGACTCATCGGCTGCTGTTCAACCGTGGCAAACGACCTCGTCTCGAGCAAATCGCGTCGAAGCAGAGGGACGTCACCGTCGTCATCAAGCGCCCCCCCATCCTACGTGACCCATCCCCAAGCAAGACCGGGATAGTACATGCAGCCGCCTACGATCCCATGCCCATGGCCCCAAGAGTCCAAGTCCTATGGAGTATTATATGCACGTATTGATCGGTGGACCGGACAGGTGACCGCAGGTGGATAGGCTTGGGATGCATCTGCCTGTGGAGAGCGTGGGAGGCGTTTGTCTGCTTGTCGGTTTGGTTGGCTGGAGGAGCACGGCGTTGAAGGAGGCTAATGTTGCGATCGCGGCCTAAGCGCAGGCGCCGAGGGCTTGAGGACCCCGGCTGATGCGGGTTTGAGAGGTTGGATTTGCGTTTGAGATATGGCCTGGGTCGTACGGGGGGACGGAGTAATACATATGGACGAGCATCGCTTAGGACCCGGCGAGTTATCATGAGCTTGGGGGGGGCCTTTGCGTTGCGTTATGTATTGCCGAGCTCTGTACTGTAAGCGATGGAAGATGGCACAAGTTGTCCTTTGAGATCCATGTCGATGTCGATGTATAACTGACGGCTAGCCACGGGTGAGCCTCCTGCAACGATGGGCGCTCATTGAGCATCAATGCGTCGAGACGCCCTCGAGGATGGCCCTCCAGGTGATAATATGTACAGAATATATAGCATCCGATATAAAGTTGCAATAACCTATAGGTATTTTTAAGTATAGTATAGCATGCTGGCCTATAGGCAGGGCTTAGGTATAAAAATAAGCGCATTAATAACTAGCGCCTAATTTAGGCGCTTAAATTAGGCGCTTAATATTATTTAGGCAGTAAATAGGCTATATATATAGGCAATACTTAATAAGTATACCTATTTTAAGCAGCTTATTTATTTAAAAAGATAAAAATTTATAAATAAGGAAGTTATATAAATTATTATAATAAATTATTATAAAATGCATTTTTATAAAAAAAATAATTATAAATACTATATATTATGCCTTAAAGCTTTTATTATTAGCTTTTTAAAATACTTTAATAAGTATAATTATTATTAAGTGCTGCTTTATTATAAGGAATATCTTATATATACCTTTTAATATAAGTAGTTAAAGTAATAAGCTATTAGTAAAGTTTATAATTAAAAACTTAAGCTTATTAAGATATTAAAAGTTATAAACTTAAGCTAAGGTAAATAAAGGCTTATAAAAATATAACTTTTATTTTTATTATTTTTATTTTTATTATAAAAAGAATTTATTTTTTAACTTTTTAAAAAAAATAAGGATAATATATAATTAGGCTTATTAATATTTTATATTATAAAAGTCTTTTACTTTATTAAGTTTATAAGTTAAAAAAGTATAATAAAATAAGAATTTAAAGTCTTTAAGATATATAAATAGCTTAATACCTTTTTTAATTTAAAAAGCTATATATTATATAGCCTTTTAATTTACTAATTAAAGTAATTTTTATATTTAAAAAGGGGAAGTTATTATTAATAATCCTTATACTTAAAAAAATAAATATTATATTACTTTTAAACTATTTTTATATTTAAATAAAAGTAATTATAATAGTAAATTTAATAATAAATACTTTAACCTCTTTTAAAAGGAATATTACTTAATTATATAGTAAGAAAATCTTAAGCTATTTAACTTAAATAAATATATTATAAAATATAAAAAAGGCAGGACTAAAATTAATAAATAGTTTTATTTTTATAATAAGCTATAATAATTAGCCTTAAATATAAAAGTAAAAGATTTAATAGCTATACCTTTATTAAAGAAGTTATAATAAATTTAATTTACTTATTAAAATATATTTTAAAACTAGTAAGGTAATTAAATATTAATAGTAATTATTATAAGTAATTATTATAAAAATATATTTTATTTAGGCTAAATAATATTATATAAATAGTATTTTAAAAAGTATTAAAGGCACTAGCTGCTAATACTATTAAGTAATAATGCTATTAATAATAGCTAATAAATACTGCTTTAAAAGTATTTTATAAATCTTTTAATATAAAATTTAAGTACTTAGTATTAGCCTATTTTATATTAAGATTAGTATAATTTTTAAAAAGGTATAATAGTTATATAATATAATATATATCTTGATTTTTAAGTATAATTATAATATACTTTTTAAGCTTAGCTTAAGCTAAGTAAACTATTAAAATTAATAAGTTTTACTAGTATATAACTAGTAAGGATTTAATACTATCTTAAAGGTTAATTAATATAATTAAAAGGTATAATATACTTACTTTTAAGTATTAAATAGTTATTACTAAAGTAATATATAATTAATTACTTATATTATTTATTATTTATAAAAATAAGTAATTAATATTAATAAAATATTTAATTTAGTGCTAATTCTTTATTATAAAAGCTTAATATTTATTATAAAGGCTTAATAAAAAGAAGTTAATAGTATTTTTTAAAAGCTATATATAAATTAGTATTAATATTATTAAATTCTAGTATATAAGTATATTATATAAAAAATGCAAGGGCTTTTTATAATAAAGTAGTATAAGCCTTAAATTACTTTATTATAATTAAAGAAACTTAGTGCCTTATTTAAGACTTTTTTTAAAAAGCTAAGCTAGGTGTTATACTTAGTAAAATAATTAGTTAATTATTATATATAATTAATATAATATATACTTTAAGAATAGTATTTATAATACTAAAGTTATTAAAAGGTAGCTTATTCTCTTTATCTTTTAATTTATTATTATTAAATACTAGATTAAAAGTATATATATAAATAAATATTATAAAATTATATTATACTAGTTTTTATATATTAAAGATTTTAGCTATTAAAAGATTAATTATATATATTATATAATATATTTATTATATATTAATATAAGTTAAAAAGCTAAGTTAGTTTTAAATAATAGTATTTAGCTAATTAGTATTTAAGTAAAAGCTATTATTAGCAGTAATAGTAAATATATAATTAAGCAGCTTATACTGCCTTAAATAATCTATAATATAATTAATTTAAGCATTAGCACCTTAATTATTTAAAATATTAATAAATATAAGATAAATTTCTTTTAAGTATTAATTTATATTAAAAAAGTGGCTAATAACTTTAAAAATATAATATTTACTAAATAGTAATATTTAGCTATTAATTATAAATAAGATATTTATATATAATAGCAGGTTAATAAGGGTGCTTTATTAAATGTCTTTTATATAAGCAGATATGCATTTTATAAAATATAAATAAAATAGCATTTTAAAATTTAAGGAAAGCTAATAAAAGAAATTTTATAATAATAAATTTTAAGTAATATTTATAAAAAGGTTATTTATTATAAGTATATAAATAAGCAGGCATATAGCTTTAGTTTACTACTTTTATAAGCTAGCCTAATTTTTTAATTATTATATATAATTATTATAAGTAAATAAAATATATTATATAAGTAAGGTTATTCTCTTTTAAATTAAAGGAAGCTAACTTTAAGGCATTTATTTATTTATATAGTTAATAAACTTTATATAATAAGTTATTACTATTATTTTAATTATATTTTAATTTAAATAAGTAAGAGTCTTTTTATAATAAGTATAAATAACTATAGGATTACTTATTAAGATTTTTATATTAAAAAAGAAGAATTTTTAAATTACTAT